AAACAAAGAAAATGATTCAACAAGAATTCCCTTGATTAAAGATTTCCACTTGATAAAAGTTAATTTGTTTTTACCTTATTAAGTAATATTACACCATATCTTTTTCTTTCAAGCTCGTTTAAAATTATTTTCTCGGTGATAATGAATACCTGTTATCTCGTTATATCACTAATGCATCTATGACACATAGACCGAGATATTCTTTCGTATGTTTCTCTGTAAAATCAGATGTAGTAACCGTGCCATATATGGACAGGAACCAGAGGATATAAAAATACACTACTACAAAACAAAGAAAATGATTCAATAAGAATTCCATTGATTAAAGATTTGCACTTGATAAAAGTTAATTTGTTTTTACTTTATTAAATAATATTACAACATATTTTTTTTCTCAAGCTCGTTTAAAATTATCTTCTCAATGATAATGAATACCTGTTATCTCGTTATATCTATCATTAATGCATCTATGACACATAGACCGAGATATTATTTCGCATGTTTCTCTGTAAAATCAGATGTAGTAACCGTGACTGACGAGAGAAACAGGAAGAAAGAGTGGCAAAATAACGAGGCGAAAGACCGACGATAATGGAGCATCTCCTCCATGCGTATTGCGAAAAGCCGCAATATCGCGCATAAATACGTCGATGCTCGTGTTCCTTTATCAAAACCACTTGCGGCTCGCACGATATATAAATAAAACCATGACTCGCGCTCTGGAGAGACGTGCGCGCTATCGGATCATCGCCGTCACGACCATGCGATCCCCCATCCGTGCGATTAAGCACGACCTTAACCCTCTCGCAAATATGCATCCTTTTGCCAACGATCCTCCTCCTCCTCCCACGTAAGAATTTACGTGTTCACAAAGCGATGACGCTACACGACGCGTCACGTAACACGGTAATGTCAAGCAAGGATCTATTTCCCCCGAGTACGCGACTCGAATGTTGGAAACAAAACTTTCCTTGTATCGGGATCTTATTGTAAACACGTGTTTCTGATGGTGATAATTTTCTGTATTTCTTGAAATGTAAATAGTCGCGTCAAGTCGCGTTTTACTTGTCTAATTTATATAAATTTAATATTTTGTAGAAATTTATATATTTGTATAATTTTAATTTAATTTATATTATTTATATATTTATATATTTATAATATGAAAAGAGAGATGCTATGGGAGAAATACATGTAGTTTAAACGAGATAATAATTGATTTACTATCGATTTAAATTGACTTACTATTACTTGTAGATAAGATAGAGATTTATAAATACCAAATTTATTTCACTTGAATAAAGATTTATTTTATATAAATCTATAAAAATTTAAATATATAAATATTTAAATTTGTTTCATTAATACGTGATCAGTTTTCTCTGATTATCTGTTTTATTTTAATCATCTTTTTTACACTTTTGCGCGTGTTCTTGGAAACGAGGAGAAAAACCGGCTCTCTTTTCAAAACTGTCCCCTTTTTCCGATCTGCTAACTCCCCTTTAGCGTCCCCTCGCGCCTCAAAGATGACAGTGAACTAGAAAGAAGAGCGATACACACACACTGAGAGAGAGAAAGAGAGCGCGCAAAGAGCGGTACGTCGAGCGAAGAAAGAGAGAGGGAAAAATTCAATGAGCCTGTAAGGAGGTCGGTTATTTTCTTGCGGACTAGCGACTCTCGAAGTTCACTGACGTCTTTTACGTCCGGCAGCCGGTTAATTAACTTCTCTCGTCTTTATGACGGTCTTTCGCGGAAAGTGTAGTATTTATCGCGTCGTTTCTTGAAATGACGCGCGACTTTAAAACTTGATCGACGAAACATTTTTTTCTCTTTTATAAATTCCCAGATGCTCTACGCGAAAAATGCATATTCGCTCGAACAATTTATTATTCAATCGATTCGTCTTAGTTTTGTTAATTTTTATATAATTAAATAATTAAATTTGTTTCTTTTTCTCTCGCTTTTTCGTAAACCCAAGTATTTTCCAGTTCTCATTTCAAATGCAGCAAGCGCAGCCGAAACGATGCAGATTCATTCTTCGAGACATTAGATCGAATCCTTGGGTCAGCTAGGGATGAGTCATCTTTCGTTCGACTTTGTGTGCGCCTAGTGTTCGAGAAGGGTACAACACGCCCCAGAAAGAGGGAGTTGCCCCCTCATCCCTTTAACCGGCGTCCCTCGTCGCCGCCCCGTTAGGATATCGACCCAGAAGTTGCATCCTCCGCGTTTGCTGGCCGCTCTCCAACTGTCGCGTTTCTCGCGGAACCCTTTCTCGAAACTGATTCGAATCTTTCAATCGTGTAGAACGTTCGACGATACATTAATATTAGTCGGCTATGTTTTTGACGAAACCGAATATCATTTGACAATTAAATTGATAATCTTGTGCAAATTATTCCTACATTTGAGTATAGTTTTTTAAAAATATTAGCTTAATGACCGTTTTTAATGAAGTTTACTCATCTATGGACAAATGTCATTTTCCAGAAAATGTAGGCATCATCCATATGATAGTCCAAATGATGTATTGTTTTTTTTTTTCAAATTAAAATCAATTTAAAATCAATTAAAAATCATTTTCATGCATCTACAAAAGTGAAAAAGTAATCTGTGTTGAAATAGTAAATCAAATTATTACAAAAAAACTCAAGAAGTGTGTATATATGTATATATAATGTATTTATAATGTATATATAATGTAAATATAATGTATTCATAATTATTTATTTTTAAAAATAATTTTGAAATGTTTTTCTTGTAAAAGATTCAAAGAATTAAAAAAATATCTTTGGTCTATCGAAGATATTCCTCTCATTACCGATTATATTTCATCAATTTCCATGGCGCGAAGAGGAAAGACGATCGGCTAAAAGTTGATGGCGCGCGCCACGTGCCCGAGAGCCAGGGGATAACTTTAGAAGTGGATCGCCAGATCTCTTTTAGCATCGCGATTCGCGCGTGGGAAGAATTTATTTCGGTAGCGAATGTCCCCCACACGCGTATTTTGTACTCGCGAAATAAGCTTAAACGGTCCGACTGATAGGGCAACGCTAAATAGCGGCATATCGCATCGATGCGTGAAATGTCCTGCCGTCGATCTGGCACCAAATTATAATAAATTGAGATCAGACAAAATATATAGATTTTTCCCTAAATAAAAGATACCTTAAAATGCAAGATAGTTGTATGGATTAATTAATGAGGCTTTTAAAAAACTGGAATAAGAACCAGTCACAGCTAAAAGCCACTGTAATCATCTACCTCGCTTTTTTCACCACCCAATAATTTATGTTCATCGATGTTTCACTAGGCATCTGGAGTAACAGTCGCAGACGTTTGCAAGACAACGTACGAAGAGATAAAGAAAGACAAAAAACACCGATATGTGATCTTCTACATCAAAGACGAAAGACAGATAGATGTCGAAGTCATCGGACCTCGCGACGCGGCTTACGACGCCTTCCTCGAAGATCTGCAAAAAGGCGGCAGCGGAGAGTGCCGTTATGGCCTGTTCGATTTTGAATATACCCATCAATGTCAGGGTACTTCCGAGGTAATCACATATCATCGATATTTTATTTTTTGTAATATATTTAAAAAAAACGTAGAAATTGTAGAAATCATTCTGTAGTTAAACAAGTCAAGCAGTGTGTTATTTGTTTTCCAAATTTCAAATCAATTCTCTTGGAAATTTGTTCGAAGAAATTTTATTTCATTTTCAACTTATTTTTGCAAAAGTAGAATCATTTCAATTGTACATTTCCTGATTCATTTTATAATAATAATAATACTCTTTGATAACCGAAAAAATGTTCTTGGAAATATATCATTTTATGTTATTCTTCTTTTACAGGCATCCAAGAAACAGAAACTATTCTTAATGTCGTGGTGTCCCGACACGGCCAAGGTTAAGAAGAAGATGTTGTACTCGAGTTCCTTTGACGCTCTGAAAAAGTCGTTGGTCGGTGTGCAAAAGTACATACAGGCGACGGATCTATCGGAGGCCTCCGAGGAGGCTGTCGAGGAGAAACTTCGAGCTACCGACAGGAATTAGGAGTATTCCAATAAATCCCAAAACCTATTACGAGATAAGAGAAAGAAAATCAAGTGGAATACGATACATTGTGAATTAACTTCCCAGAAACAAACAAAAAGAAAAAAAGGAAAAAAAAAGAAAAACAATACTGCTCTATACTGTCGTTGCATCGAGGGTTCACATTTTTACACATTTTTCACTTTTAAAGGAGACCGATTATCAAGTATTTTGCGCTACATATGTTAGTCACCAGGGGAATGTAAGCATTATTAATAGCAAAAATGAACAGGAATGAGAAAAGAAGGATAAACAAGGGGACTTCCCTTTTCATACCGCGAACGTTGTGTGAATCTGTCTGATATAATATTAATATTATACTATTATTACATAATTATAAGGTAATTGTATAAGAATACAAAACAATTTACAACCAGTCAAGCGATAAGAATGAAATTATTATACTTTTTTTCTCACAGACTGTAGAACATTTAAATTAAATTCATTTCATTATGACTTTTCGCTATTTCCTGTTAACATAACCCATTACATTTCCGATATTTCCGCGCACGAAATCGAAATAGACTGGAAGAGATGTGATAAAAGGAAATAAAATACGAAAAAAATAAACTGATAATGCAGATTTCATTCTCTTTATGTCGCTCACAGAGACAGATTCTGCACAAGGTAAAATCCTTCCAACTCATTCAACTGACGGTATGATTAGTGTTTCAAATGGTAAAAAAGTAGATTCTCTTTCGAAATATGTAAGAGTTTATCGATGAATTCAGCTTGTTTGCAAATATTAATTAAAATTCTGTTAATATTTTTTTGAATCACCTTAGTCATGTAAATTCATGATTAAATTTCAAGGTGAGATAAAAAGGAGATAAAAATTATATATGTCAAATATTTTTACATATTATTTTTAAGAATGTAATCACAATAATTACACATGAAAGGTGCAGCAATATTTTCATTAATGGAGGATGACTTATCGATACAACGCAATCAGCATGCGCGACCGGCAACTTTCACAAATAATCATATCATACAAAAATTACAACAGTCCGTTTTATATTTTTCTCGCATTTTGTACAAACATTTAAAATGTGCCGTCAAATGATATGATTAAAGTACATGACATACATGATATCAATAATAATGTTTTCACTTGATAATATGTTGATCCATTTGCATCCGTTGCCAAAGGATAGTGTTGCGACATGGATGCGAGTTGTATAACTATAAACAAATATCGATTATATATAATAACTTTTATTTTATTTTATTTCTCTTAAGATTTTTTTTTTTTCATTATTATCTTAAGAAGCAAGTAATTTTTAACGCTAAGAAAGATTTAAATTGAATCGTGATATTTACCTGCTATCCTATTCTTTTGATCGTCATCAGTCTCGAAATTTTCGCTGGAATCAACGGCTACAAAATGAAGCGCAATATATTTTCATATGCGAGCCGAGTTTCTTCTTTGTCATGATTGTGCGCGAAAAAGTGAAAGAGAAAGAGCGACTTATCTTTATTACTTACAAGCTCCTTCGGTGTGAAAGTGCAGTATCGCTGAGGGATGGCTCCATCCATGTTGAGTTCTGGACAAAACGGTTGCCTCGTAATGGGTCGCCGCATCCAAGCCTGTCAAATTGAAGGAACGAACATGCACCACCGAGCTGAGAACGTCGTTGTCACCGGGTATATGCAGTCTGCGCCATTTATCGTTAGTATCCTTCTATGGTATAAAAATAGTCACATAACAGTTGCTGTGTGAGAAATAGAGTTGCTTTCAAGGAAATGACAAACATTAAAGGTAATATGAAAACCTACTCAAATACTTTGTTATTTCAAACTAATATAGCTCGGGGTCATTATAAAAAAAATGTCCAACTAAAAAAAGAATTATCCCCTCGATAGTTTATCATGAGGGAAGCAACCCATACCTTTCTTGATATATAATGTTCCAACATTGTGCTTTGCATTTTTTTCTCCTCTCTCCCTCTTTGCCCTTTATTCATAAAACTAATTAAAATAAGAAACTACAGATTTCGCGATCGATATCGTTACGTGATAGGAAATTCTAATAAAATAGCGTCATCATACAAGACGTTGCCTTTAATTCAATTATTTCTTCATGATCGCCCTTGCATGTACGGCAGCCATCAAAATCGTAACGTGAACAATTCACGAATCCATGAAATGAATCCCATGTTGCCTCATTTCAGAAAGATACGAGTCGAGATTTCATTCACCTTATGCAGACTTTCTTGTGGTTTCCTCGCGACAGATCGTATCATTATTAATTTATGATTTCGAGCCATTTTTAAAACAAAATCTCACCTTATATTTACGAAACCAGAATTGATATTCGATGATGGGATAATAACTGTCGACCTCCCAGATGAAGTTATACGATGTGCTTGACGTGCTGCGCGACTCTTTCTTAAAGATCGCCTGATTCGCAATCCCCGATAGCTCGATAATCTTTTCCGTGAATCCCAGAGAATTCGAAGCTCTGCAGAGATAGGAACCATAATCGCTTTCATTTACATTCCTGATCATTAGTCTGTAATCGTTTCCAATGCTATATTTTACTACACGCGATGTGTATTTCAATGTTTCATTTCTGAAATACCAATCAACCTAAAAAAATTGAAATTATAACATTAGTTTTTATTAAACATTGTTTTAAGAAACTATTGCTAATCAATAATGTCGGATCGATTATCGAATGTTGCGATAATATAATGCTTCTGGTTTCGTTCTTTCTTTCTTTTTACGAAAAAATAAAAAAAAAGATACCATAAGTCACGTTCTCTACGAATCGATTTGTCACGTGCGACTGGCTTTAAGGGATCACAGTGAGAAATTGCTTGGCAGGCGAGGCGGTTTCATTTAGTTGCTGAGCGTGAAGAACTCGTTGAAATCTAAAAGACGATTCCCAGGACGCAGAAAAATATTTATTTTGTATTTGTATTGAGTATCGAGGTCCAATCGCCAAAACCGTATCGCATATCGCTCGATTCGTTATCATATGATGTGAAAGAAATAGAATTCTAGTAAGCTTTTATAAAAATTCTTGTTTTTGAAGCGCGGAGTTTATCTCTACGATATGCGCAAGATCTGCAGGATCTCCCTTTTTCATCTCTTAAAATAGTTTAGGGTTTAATGAGGATGCCGAGATTATTCGACCGAGACGACTAATCGCGTGGATAGAATTTTTTCGTTGGCCTTGCGCAAGGGAGGCGAATCATCTATTTATTTTTCAGAAATAAATTCCTCTCGAGAGTTATCTCGATCATCTATCTTATTCTAATTCCAGGATGTCTACTCCTTGGGAATTCTTAGGAATTCTCATGGAATTTTGTTGGAAAATTTAAAAAAATATTCTTTACTTTTTATATTGTAAGCAATTGGCAAATAAAGTGTTTAAAATGTATATTTATAAATATATATATATTTATCTCTATTTATATATTCAATCTTTTAAATATTGAATATGTTATACATATTCTTCATTGTAATTTTCACTGATGAAGAAATGAAAATATGCAAATGAAAAATATTTATCTTGCGAAAGTTGTTTAACTTTTATCAGTACATTTGCAAATCTAGTACTTGAAATTTAAATAGCTCTATATCTTTTTTTCATATGAATGAAAAACATTACAAAAAATATATGTACAGTAATAAAATTTAGTTTAGAAAGTCACATTACACAAAATATCTTTAAAATATTCTCTTTATCTAAAATTTTGAATAAAAATACTTGAAAGGTCAGGGAATTTTTCTTACGATATTTGAGTAGACATCCGGAATTCTCATCGATATTTAAGGGATGCGTTTTAAAAGTGGTAGCACATCGCTCGCGCGTAGGAGTCTCTGATGTAAACCCTTCTTCCACGCTTCCAAAGTCAATTAAAAGTCCGACTGCGAATCGTGCCGCGCGTACTCGCGCAGGATGTCGCGTTAAATTGTTGTTCGAACTATTAATTAACGAGACGACAATCATGACAGCTCATGGAGAGAGACATTAGTCTTACCTTCGCCTCGGGCCAGGCGGTCACTATGCAATTTAGCTGTGCTCGTATTCCCGGATACGCGTGCACCCATGGCTTCTTCACGAAGATCTCCGGCTTATCTGTTCATATATCGATTTCCATATAGATATTTAATACAAAATATTAAAAAATCATAAGATCAAAGATTGCGAAATAATGTTTCAATCTTTTGATATTTACTTGAATTAATTATATGTACATTATTTAATTCGATAAAAAAAATTGCGTTACATTTGAAGCGTGTTTTTGAAACGCGTACGTAAGACTTGTTTTGATATCGCGAATTGTTAATACAGGTCACGAAGATGGTCAATTAATGTCTGCAAAACACTCGCAAATGTACATACGTACATACGTATGAACATAATTGACTCGCTCATGCGTTTGATTGGAATACCAAAGGAGCAATCTGTAGCAATTTCTTAACTTAATTATGCTTAGCTATGTAACATGCAGGATAGTGCGTCTGATTTACATGATCGTTTCAATTGTAATTAAAGTCACAACTAATCGCACATTTAATACAGTTTTGTAAAGCTATTATAATAACTTTTACAATGACGGGAAATGAAGAGTATAGGAAATTTAAAAATTATAGAGAAAGAATAAAAAAATACTTCAAAAATTATAAAGACGAAAATATTACAAAATTCGTCTTAAAGGAAGATATAAATGCCTTGATATAATCGTTTCAATTGTAATTAAAGTCACAACTAATCGCGCATTTAATACAATTTTGTAAAGCTATTATAATAACTTTTATAATCACGAGAAATGAAGAGATATAGGAAATTTAAAAATTATAGAGAAAGAATAAAAAAAATATTTCAAAAATTGTAAAGAGGAAAATGTTACAAAGTTCGTTGTAAAAGAAGATATAAACGCGACTCACATCTAATACGTAGATCTATATGCGCAATGGCGGGATCGCTGACTTCATTAGTGGCGACGCAGGTATACCTACCAGAAAGATTTCGATTTTCAGCACGAAAACTCAATTGCGATCTGACATCCAATAATGGGATTTCTCCCTCCTAGAAAGAAGAAAAAGGAGAAGAAGCACGAGATGCACATTGCTCTTTATCACAGAGCATACATGCAATCCACTTTTATTTAATTGACTTATTGTTCGATCGCGCGAAGCATCTCTATTTTTTGGTGCGTTTTCTTTCTCTCTTTCTCTCTACATCCGTCAAGCATGTTCACCGCACTTGAGCGCGAATCGTCTAATATCATTGGTATGGTATATCGAATAAGCCAAGGGGAGAATATCGATTTACCTCTGTCCTCCAACTTATGATGGGAGTTGGTACACCCTTCGCTACGCATTGCATGTACACCGTCTCTCCCAGATTGACCTCTAGCTCGCCGGACGCCGGTATAGTCTCCACGCTTGGTGGATCTGAACGAGTAGAGCGAAAAAGGACAAATAGAGGCTCACCATATATATATATATATATATATATATATATATATATATATATATATATTTAAAGCAACTTTACGTTTACATATACTCACGCGAAATTCAGATCTTTGCTTGGACAGAGTCGTAGGTGAAGGAATCAAATGGGGAAACGATTCTGGATAAGCTTCGAAAGAAGATAGATGGATTCGGAATAAATAGAAACGGATCCTTTCAACGGATCCTTTCGCGCCGATTCGTATAGAAGAAGAAGTATTCTTTCGGGACTTTATACTCTAGAGAAGACGCTTATCTCGGCATACATCTGTGGCCGCTACTATGATCGTACTCACACATTACTTCGAGTTTGTGTAGTTGCGTAACTCCCCCCCAGGAAGTCAGTCGGGTCACCTGGCACACATATTGGCCGCTATCCTCCCGTTGCACGTTTAGAATCTGTAGGGTACCATTCTGATACATGATGATTCTTTCGGGTGATTCTTTCGGTCGGTTTCGCTCGCTGCTGTCGGCCAGAAGAGTCTCCTCTCGCCACCACTTAATCCTAGTTTGCGCGCCTACGGGCAGAAATAACAAGCTTTTCCACACGCTCGAACGAATCCCGTCATTCCAAAAAGCCGACATTCGAACTCGACACACTTTGCACGGTTATTACTTGCTAACGAGGAAGAAGATGGTTCGCGAAGGAGAAAGTTTGTACCTTCAGCTCTCGAGCAATGATAGATTAATGCACCGAAAAGGAAAAGGACAGAAACACGTGTATGCAAAAATAAATAAATATTTGCCTTAATAAAGCCATGCTTCAACAAGACTTATGACGAATTATTCATAATGCTTTCGGCGAAACGAAACACATAGCGATAAGTGGACTGAAAATATTCCCCTTTCCCGACTTACTTTATCCCGATTTCGTACGCTCGTATAGGTAGAAATAACGATGTTCAAAAAATAAAATGGCAAAAAACGAAATATGCTATCGCGAGACTGAGATTGTAGTTTAAATGTAGCATGTGTCGAGCAATATTTGCGAATGGTAATAATTCCTCTCTACTGTGTATACATACATAGTGAAAAATAAAATGTTAATTATAACATTTTTCACATGTCCCAGAAAGTCCACTCTAAATTTTGAATTAAAATAACTCATTCATCGTATGTTACTTATCTAACTATAAATATTAAATAATTGACACAATACTTTACTTATATTTATTTTGTTATCTTAAGTTTGTAATCTTATTTACTTTATATTTATTTTTGTTACCTTAAGTTTGTAATCTTATTTTTGTAACTTTAAGTGTGTTGTAAAAATAACATACAAATTAATTAAAAATTACATCAAGAAATAGATACAATAACTCGTGAGAAATGTTGAGAACATATAATAGTAATATTAGAACTTGTAATATAGTATATAACTATAGTAATACTAGTAGTAACTATAGTAATTAATATATAATAGTAATTATTTTACTTAAATTATTTGTAATAGAAACATTTGATTTTAGTAAATTTAATTATTTTGTATGTCAAAGTTTAAGATTATTTAAAGATTTACTTTAACTTTTCTTAGAATGTTAAACTGACATTAAGACATGTTGATTGTTTAAAATGATTATGTTAAAAATACTCAAAATAATATTCCGTTTCTAAGAGACATGTACAAAGTGTCAAGTTATGAAGTTGACATAAATGTAACACATGAAAACGTTATAAAAATAATAACATATAAGTCGTATGTTAATTTTACATTAAAGTTCTAATTAAAACGCGGTGATACAAGAAAATTTCAACATAATGACGCACAATTTTTTACTGTGTATGTATACGTGTGTAGAGGTGATAAGATGAAAACTCTGATGTCAGATGAGAAACAAGTATATCAATCATTTTGAGAAAAGACAAAAAGACGCAAGATATAATCGATCGTTAATAATATACCCTGATCTTCCACGTAACAGGGCAACAAAACCGTGTCATTCTCATAGGTTTTTACCGTCGTCGGGTAGCTTTGGAAGTCGGAGTTCACCGTAGCTTGCGTCCCTGCAAAAAATGCATACAACATGTAAATGCAAATATGTAACATCATTATAATCATAATCATCAATCATAACACAATGAAAACTAATCGGCGTTTAACGACACTGTTCGCATCGTGAAATATTCACTCTGTTTCTCCTACTTTTTTCCTTCTTTTTTTCATGAAAATTCTCGGATTATTTCGCGTCGCGTGCGTGACAGCGCGAAATTTCTTTCGAGTATGCACGCGCAAAAGTCCTCTCTCTTCTTATCTGATCGATTATACTATATGACGTTGCCGCATAACGCAACCTGCATAACGCAACCTTCGCTTACGCTGTGCGAAAACAAAACTACGGTGCGCGATTATGCCCTCGCTCACGCACCCGCGGAAACTCGAGGGCGAAACGGAATCGATTGCCAAAGTTGCGTGCGCCAGAGCGAACGAGCGATAAGGCGCAATTTTATGTATACGCTCCCGACTCGAGCGAGTGCTTTTCCTTCCCAAAGAGAATCGATTCGCACATACGGAAATACGGCTACAATTATGCCGCCTTATGTGCGGGAGATATTTCAGTCCGATTACGGTGCTGTTTCGATTACGAGAAACTAGGTTGCTCGGAGTGTATGTCCTTTTTATCTCGCAACGATTATCTAAAGTGAGAAAACAATAAAGTGGATCAATCATTCGTAAATGACGCGCGAGACCATTTTGCGAGGAAGGAAACCTTTTAAGAAATTAATTTTTTTTTTCTATCTCGCATCTCTCTTAAATATACCTATTACCCATTGATATCCCTCTCCGCGTATAAATTTGATGAGTAAATTCTCGTATTTCTAATCATTTGCATGAGTCAACGAAAAATGATCAAGGTGATTAAAACAAAAAAAGAAATGCACAGTATAATTTCTCTCTCTTAGCATTCTTTCGAGACTTCCTTATTTTGATTCGAACATAAATGTCGATGCTCGGAAAAATGATAAAACGTGACAGTTCGAAATTTATAAGGTTTCAGAATTTTGACAATTTTTCTTCTTTAAAACCAATGTTGTTTCCATTTCGAGACGAATCTTATAGAATCCCAATGCACGCATATATTTGCTATAATACATTTCGCGTATGTTACCTATCCCTCCAAAAAAACCTTACAAAGGTAAAAAAAATACGTCAAGTACATAAAAAATATTCCACCTTGTATGCAACAAAACGTTTAATAAAAAAACGTTTAATAAAATATAATTTTACAAGGTTTGCGAATTATATACCTGTAATTAATTTCAATTATAGAAATATGTGAATTATAATACGATCCAAGCACGTCAAGTTTTTGTAAGTCGTTTTGGTCTTCATTTTTTAGTTCCAAATTTACTTGGAACTTATTTTAAAAATCATTTTCATTTTGTCGAGAATATCATAAATGCAAAATTGAATTTGTGACAAATATTTCAAATTACAAATCCCTATCAATTGCTTCAATGTACTTGGCTAATTAATTATTGATTTCATATTTAGTTTTGATTTTTTTTAGGAAAATTATATATATTTTTTGAAGGAAAATTTTTATAAATTATTTATTATAAGGGTATTTTTTATTAAACGTTTTGTTGCATACAAGATGGAATTTTGCGTATGTTACCTATCATAAATAAATCATAGATGTAAAATATATGTTACCTATCATAAATAAATCATAGATGTAAAATATCCAAGCGTAAATAACAAAGCGTAGCATTCTTCTTAGTAATTACACACTCGTTAACACAAATATAAAAAATTTGTATCAAAATTACACCGAAAAAATATTCAGCTCTTTTTCTCAGACATGTGATCTCTTCGGTCTTTCACGAGACACTAATCTCGTTTTCAAGATGTGACCTTTCGTATCCTATACGATCTTAACACACACACACATCATCTCTAGTAATGGAATTATGACCAGTTGCTCGACCAGCTGCACGACTTGAAGAGGTTTACTCATGTCATGTCAAATAATCGACCAAAATCAAGTAATTTCTGGTTAATAAAATTTCATTCTCGCAATAATTTAAATATTCATATCTTTGTCTGATAATTAATCGATTGATAATTAAGTTTAAAAAGTGACTGATTATTTTTAAAGAATAGAAGATAAAAAATAAATAAATAAATTTCACGCGAATAAATAAATTGCACGCATATACATAAGAGTTAAATTTAAGTTAATTTTATTTTAAATATTTTGAATAAAGAAATTGAAGGAATCTTATGGAGATTTTGGGCTATATTTTACGCTGATTGGCGCTTTCTCAGATGAAGATGCAAATTGAATTCAGAACCACCGTCTTCTTCTATCGCAAAGCCGCTGCTGTTAGGAGCAGAGGGTGTGTCCACCCACGAATACCAAAGGCATTTTTCTATAATTTGTTCAATTTACGCATGAACATGCACCGTGTATAGAGCCATTTGCCAGAGTTAGAGACTGTTAATCCAATAAGCGATTCGTCACTCCGACTCTTATTAGATCATTGCGACATCTTCCTTACGTTCCCCTTCTCCTTTAGCAATATATTCTAAACAAAAAAAACAGAGAAAAATGAAAGTAAATCGATCGCTACAAATAATTCTGTTATTCTTATATTTTAAGTTTTAATCATTTTTACTATTGTACACTTAATTTCATCTTTAATTTATATATCTGATGTTATTTCATATAAATAGGAGAAATATTGCACATTCTTATCCCCATTATTGTCGAATTATTTTCCGAGCAACCTATTTATCGTTGCAAGTAGCGATATACGGTTAACATTTTATCGGTGGCTTTCAACTTTTTTCGACTGTCGATGAGGATACCTATTTACAATTCAAAAATCAGTGTACTTTATACAACGCCACGAAACTTTTCTGCATAAACGAGCTAATCTTTTTACAGGTGTCTGTCGTCTCAGATTTATTCGATCAACTTTGACTTTCCTCGCTTGCAAATGAGAGGAGCGAACTGGGTGGCTCGCCGCATAAATATTATGATACATTTATATGCGTACACATCAATAATAAATATTGCATACATCATATATATTATTTCAGGTAGATGAGATTTTGCATGACTAATAAGGGGTTTAAAAAAATATATATAAGACGACAGAGTGTATTGTACACTGTCGATCCTTACGAATGGCCAGGTCTCTTAGTTTCAAACAGGAGCAAAGGACAAAGGAGAGAGGACCTAGAAGGATAGAGAAGCCGCGGGAGAGAAAGGTAATCCTCCTCGAGCTGCGCGCGCGCGTAGTCGTGCGAATCTATGTGAATATACTTAATCCAAGTCGAGATGAAGGCGTTCTAAAATGGTTCTCAATTATCTGACGCATCCATTAAAGCGCCGACGAAAATCCTCTTAAATGGATTTTTAAAGGAATCCTACCAGGATCGAGCCAAGAGCTTTCGGCGAGATCTGCGTCGTGACGGATCGTCGATATATTTTTCGCTCGTCAGAATCTCTCTTGATTCGCGCTTATTTACCCATATTTATGTTGCGGATACTTTCAAGTATCGCGTTGAAGTTTTATCATGATTTATTCGAGCAAAAATCTCTCGCAAAGTATATAGGACGTTACGAAAGAATAGGTTTAGGATTTATAGACTCGACAGTGCTCGATGCGAATAAAAAATCGAGTAAAAAATATTTGATGAATATAGAATCGAAAAATCAATCTTATTAGGATTTAAAGGTCATTTTTGAAGGTGTTTCGCTCACATTTATTTAAATAATATGAATAAATATAAAATTAATTCATTTGTGGTATTTTCTTTACACATCTTTCATATATAGTTTATTTTTTTGCTCGCAGATGCGCTTGAGAAAAATAAAATTAAGCGATATTTGATCTATACATCTCTTTTGAAAAATATTAAAAATAATAAAATTAAATTAAATTAATTTTAATATTAAAAATATTAAAATTAGGAATATATGAACGATTCGAAAAACTAAAAGGGGACAATGATCGTCGACTAATAATAAATAATCGAAGCTAATTTTTCCATCGCCATTCCCAGATGAAGAAAGAAAGTATATAGCAGTCATGTATTCACATAGCATCAGTTAAAAAGTTACGACTTAATTGGCACTAATTCACTGAAGTACCGCTCTCGTTGTTTCGATGATCGCGCCTTCCTCCTCATTGTCAGCTAAATTGTTTACGGAGGTCTCGTAAAGGGATGTCCACCACTCGTGAACGGAAGTGAGAAAGATCGCGTTTAGTATTTCGCTTGAAAACTTTATTTCTCGCACTCATCGTTAATCACATATCTCATTTTTTCATTCCTTTAAAATTCCAAAAAAATGTTAATAAAATAAAAATAAATTTATATATATTTATATTTTATACATATATAATTTTACTTAATAATTAGTTGTATAAAATCTATTTGCGTTATTCAAGCGAATATCTATCTTTAAAGTTATAATATTAACGGATTATTGGATTTTTACAAGTAAGACATTTGTGGGATATTTGAGGTAATCCTAGTCTTGAAGCCTGAGGGGAGAGAGATGTGGCTTATTTGACGAGATAGGGGAGAAATTCGTCGCTGGCATAAACATGAGACACGATCCAAGTCGAGATCTTCGGATATATCCGGGAGAATGATGATTAGTTCAAGACGTAATTTACAGTCGCACGAGATCCAGATTGGCGCGGGTCTTGCGGGAAATGTTGGAGCAGATTAAGGGCAAAGGTATTGACCAACAATTATGGTTATCTGTAAGTTTACCCTAGTTTTGGAGTCGCTTAGACATTCCGGAATTGGATCGTGCGGATTCAAAGACGAATTATCGAGCTTTGACTTATATAGGTAATATTGCAAATTACAAGGGTAATCTTCTGTTTAACGCGAGCAAAAAATTACAAGACGTGATACAAAAGTTCACCGATGCTTTTATTTTTATTTCTCGCTCTTTCGTTTCTTTCATTCGTTTCTCTCACTCTTGATTCAATCGATGATTAAGTTGATGGAAAATAATCGTGAATCAAAAAATGAACATGAGCGACATAATTATTTTCTCTCTCTTGATGCTATCAATTTTAGAATAATATAAATGGAATCTTGTGCAAAATAAAAAAAAGTTGAGATTAGTGGAAAGGAAGGACTGGTTCATTCGGTTTAACTCGGTATCATTCAGTTTATTTATTTTCTTTTATATGAATGTACATGTCATAATTTGACAGTTACACATATATGATATATCGCAAAAGAGACAAATAGCTGTAAGTTGAATGATACAGATTGGGCCGACATATGTCTGTAGTCCTTCTTTTCTCACAATATTAAGCCTTCTTTTGATTGACAGTATGTGTTACGTTTATATATCTTTTATCGATGCTTGACGCAGTTTGATGTCGAGCGATTTCAGGTCAAACTGGTAGTTTGGAATAATTGGTGGCGCATCGTAAATTGTGTTATACATGTGTACCATGACGGACTGAGCAAACCGCGTTAACCCCAAAATACCTAATTTTGTGTTATATCAATATTAGAGAGAGAGAGAGAAAGATAGAAATAGAAAAAGAGAGAGCTTGCGTTTCATTATTTTCATTAAAGCTCGCGCTTAACATCGTTGTCTCAATAATATAAATTGCATTCCCTTGCATTCCACTATTGTTTTATCCATTTTTTTCACAAATAAAGAGAAACTTTTATAATCGCATAACAACCAAATGCATAACACATAAGGCTTGTAATTACGAAATATGTTTTTCTTTGAACCGCCTGTATTATTAATTTTATGAGTATTATTATATTCACGCACGCATGTTTAATCCCTCGACAAGATATTTTTTTTTACCTTTATTTAATCCAATTTAATTAAACAAAAATAAAAAAATGATGAAAAAATGATTTTAACTAATTTCCCACTCACTTATAAGCCTGTTAAATAAAGTTCAAGATATATCGATAATTGTAGAGTACATATTTCGTATTGCACGATTTTATTGTGAAATTTTTTTTCTCCAGGATGGAATTTTAACGGAGCGCATGTGGCTAGCGGCGAAATCCAATTACCAAGCGTACTGTAACAATTTCGGAAAACAATTTGGCTTCAGAAGGTCCACAAAATTACCACTTTTTCCTTATTTCCCGCAAACATTCCGTGTGTATTCCGCGGTTGCTTACCATCGATTCTTCGCGAGCACTCGCGATTACTCCTCGAGGGAGCGGTTTTCCTTTAACAACGATTCTATTTTCTCTCATTACAAGAGATTACATTATATCTACAAGTGGTATACATGGTTACCCTTTCATTCGCAAAAGTGGGTCAATTTGATTGATTTGTAACTCCACGATAACTTCATCTTGCAAATTTAAAGTCAAAGACATAATACTGCGAGCGCCCTGTGAAAACTAATGAAAAAAAAAAAATCTCGTTAGCCCCCGAACATCGTGTTTCCTTTGAGAAAGCGCGTATATACAACTCACGACGAATCGGTGAGATTCGAGAGTGGTCTGTGGCTGAATTTTTCGAGAAGGTATGTTTACACGACGAATTGCCTTGTCGCGGCAAATAAGTAAAAAGGTGGAAAAAGGGAAAGCCAAAGCGAAGGAGAAAAATAGAGACAGAGATAAAAAGGGAGCCACGCTTTTGAAATAGAAAATCAAGAGGATGGATCGAAGTGAAAGACGAGGAATTGCGAGTTCTGCATTGTTGAAAGTGTGTTGAAATTTTGCGAAAGAGAGAAAAAGGGAGAGAGAGATGGAGAATAAATATATAAAATCCAAATGGAGAGATATACAACGTAAAGCAAATTGCGATTGTGAGAAATTATATGATGATAAAATATGCCGGAATACCTAAATATGCAGGAAAAGCATCCGGATATTATTTCTGTTGCGCAATAAATGCAATATTCTCCATGTAAATAAATCCATTATTTCAATACGCATGTCTGTCATTTTCGAAAAAATAACATTTACTCATCGATCATTTTACAATACGCTTGCATCCATTTATATGTATAATTAATTATACCAACAAGAAAAGTGTTTCATAAACTTAAAAAATGTATATACGTATACTTTTTATACTATATTTGTTTTACTTATTATATATATAAATAAATATTTAATAATTTATAAAAAATTTATCTATTTAATATGTTTATTTATTTAATATTTTATTTAATATTTTCATCGGTGAGGACATAAATGATCCAAGATGATTTTTATGAAGCTGAAGGATCGGTGGAACTCGTTTGCGGTTTTTCACCCGTATCGATACCACGTTTTAGAATCGGAGCTGAGATTGCGGAGTGCGAAAGTAACGCGAGCAGAATCTGCGGCCAAGGTCATATATGGCCAATGAGATAATTTGTGGCATGTAGCAGGAATGGTCGATAACCACCCCCTGCCTGCCGACGTTCTCTCGGGCGCAATTCGAACGTATTCGCGTTCACTAATTAATACCAGATGACCGTTTAATATATTTTGAGGCTTGGCTATTTACCTTCCGCGCGCCCTCATCTCGTTCCATCGAGCGATTAGCGATGAAAAGATAATTTCAAAAATACACAGAAGTCTTTCTCGTAATAATTCCAATCAATAACGCGAATAAAACTCGTAGGCTGTATCACGCGTAGAAGTAGAAGAATCATTATCATCATAACGTTTCTTTATTTTTAATTAATAATACCAAGGGAAATGGAATCCTCTAATGATGCAATACGCGAGATAGATGTATATATCACATTTTCGTTGAGAAGTAAGATAACCGTGAAGACACGTCAGCGAATATCTTCGTCATGCCGCTTATCCTCCGCATGTTAATGATGTTCGTAAAGCAACATGCGTCGCTGTAGTGTCATCGCAACGAAATAGCGTAATGCAATCCGCTGGAGGCGGTTTGTAATCTACAAACCAATACTTACATGGAGCTCTGAAATTGTAATAATAACGATAATAATACGCCGAGGGCGTATTCTAGGAATCCATCCTTCGTTAAGTCCGTATTACGATATTATTCCTAAACAATGTCTCTGGCAAGATTGTGGCACAGAGTTATTCAAAGATCTCGTTACGCATTTTTATGGCGTGCATATGCAAATCTTTCGACGGTTACGATTCGCGTATAATAAACCCGGTATATTCCCGTCTAAAATAAACCCTCCGCATCGTGCTCTACGTGAGTGCGCGACGTTATAAAGTCCAGGAAAGGATCACACCCCCGCGAGAGGGTCACACGAGACCGACGAGAAAAAAGGGATCCCTGCGATAAGCCGCGACGTGAAACCGGAATTTACGGGCCTATAATTTTCCGCGAGAGAGACCAAAGGAGCCGCGTTTGTAATCCGTTTAGGGTCGGCTCGCAGTGTCGTATGTGCCAGCCGTTCGCCGCAGAAACTAACGATTTCTCAACGACGACAGAATCATTAAAGAGGCAGTTAAGAGTTGTCACGAACATACGAACGGTAGTTTGCGATAGGTCGGTTAACGTGTAACCGCTGTTCATGCAGTCGAGTAGAGTCTCCCCTGAGAGGAAAAATCATTTTTAAAAACACGCCCATCGTCTATGAAAGATTAAATAGTTGCGCCAAATACGTCATTTAATTTACTCTAATTTGCTTAATGTTGGAAGATAAATATATAGTCTCGTATACCGCAATAATTTATTGCGTCTCCGAAGGAAAATTATTCCCGATGCGTTATTCGAGATACTCGAGAGTCCTGTCCCCATAAATCGTTGCCAGGGATTGATTCTTTTATGGGACCCTTCAACAAATTGAATCGTCCGGTGATCATACCTAGGTGCCATTGTCAGGAAGTAATTTGAGAAGGCACTATCGATCGTACCAAGAATGGAAGCTACGTATTCCCGATGCTCAGCTTGAAGAGCGTCCACCATTCTTGGCACGATTCTTAGAAAGTCTGTAATTTTTTTAAAAAATTTCGATCGTTGTTTGATGCACACGTAGCAGCCAGACTGACCGGGAAGCGGAATGGAAAAGTTAGTCGAGCCCATCAAGCATCACGGCTATTTTACGACCATCGTCATTGTATGGTCATACTATCCCTTATTCAAGAATTGCTTCGTTCAGTATCGGCTCCCTTTACCTGTTTCTCCCACCGGGCTTTAAACCGCAGATACGCGGATCATGTATCATGTAACGTATGGACGGGAACGTGTCCTGGATCTACTATTCCAGCGCCTTCTCGAACCTTCTACATAAAGGGTTTGTAAGCAAGCATCGACGGAAAATTTATGAGAGGCCGTATCGTTTTTCTCGCAAGTTTTTAATTTCCAGCACTAAGTATCTCGAGACGAAGGGGAGGAGGGGCAAGGTTTAAATTTAATTTCTATTGAGACTCTGGCTCACTCTACTATAATCTATCTGTCACACGAAGGAACGAGGATGTAAGAAAGAGGGTGCAAAGCTCGCAAGTGGCGAGAAGCTGTGAGAGTAAATGGAAAAATGCAATGTCGGAGAAGAATCTGAAAAGGAGCAAGTTGATAAAAAGTGCAATTACATCGACAACAGAACAGTGTCGCAAACAGGATCGCTCGACAAGCGACTCGCTGAGCAAACTCGCTCGTCCTTTCGATCATGTTTGCAGCCAAAAATCGCAATGTTGCAGTCCTATATACACTCAATATTTCGACATTACCAGCCTAAATTCGATATTAGCAAAATCCAACAATTACGAATAATCAAATAATTTAGCAATCGTGCCGCTGCGAGCGACGGCGACAACTCGACCAGTAACTGCTTGTTGTCAATTTGTGTAATTGTGTAATAGAGATATGGATACTGTCGCGTGCATACGCTCTATGATTCAATGTTGAATGCGTGTATCGTGCCGAGAATATAACGCCAACGCAGATGCAAGGATTTACCGCTAATAGAACTGCAGTTGATTGTTGTCGCAAAAAACTGCGTGCACTTTAAAAGAGAAATTACAAAATTACGTGAATAATAAATGGAAAAATACACAATAAATGATGGAAATGTTATGCATTTTTATCATGTTTTTGGGCAATTTTACAATTATTATTCATGTAATATTGCAATTTTTTTGCGCATTTAAATTTGTCTCTGCGTAAAAATTATATATGTATAATTACACACACACACACACACACACACACACACATTTTATTAATTCTTTATAAGGATAATATTGTATTAATACGATTTTTCAATTTATGTATTTCTAAGGGTTTTACTGACTCAAAATATAGCTAATAAAATATATGCTTTTCAAAATTAAATTTTCCTTTGACATCCTGAAGCCAAATAGTTGTCGTAAGAAATGATGGAAGAACTTTTCGCGAGCTTCAAAGACTTTTTATAATCATACGCGAATAAAGTCATATGCAGCATCATGTTTAGCGGTATGCGCTGCAAAAATTACGTAAATTTGCTCGAGTTTTAATTTAAGAAACGTTCTAACTTTACTCAAATTTTCGAGTTCTAACTCGAAAAGTAATAATGTCAAAAGTTTATCGGGACGAAATAGAAAAAAATGGCTTGTGCAGCACGCGCTTTGCGAAAATATCGCCGACGTTTAACATTATCGAGATGCAACGACGTCAATTAAGGTATCGAAATTGCATTATACTGATATACCTTTATGGCATACGAAGGATGCTACACAGTTCGCGTAAAGTGGCTCGGCGAAACGCGACACGCTGGAATAGAATAGTACTCGTATATATTTCTTGACTAAAAAGTATGTTGCAGAAAGTATATTGTAATGCAGGATGCAATGTGGAATGCATTGTGCATATTAAAACTAGCAGGAATCTTTGCATCTAATCCAGTTTTTCCAGAGACGGAAAAATAAAGCTACAACAATCAAATATAATTACTAATACAACTAAAATTGCTTAATAAAATTTTAATTTCACGCATAAATACTGTCTTTGAATTTTCTCAAAAAAATTATCGAAAAAACACGGCCAGACATAAATAAAAAAATTCAACAGACAGACTAATAAATTTAAAAAAATGATAAAAAATATTTCCACACCCAAGACAGAATTGGCACACAAGTCACTTGTAAAGACAATTTTTGAAATAATCAATTTTTCAATAATTATTTTTTAAATTATATTTTTAAAGACAATCATACTTTGACGAAGAAAGCCGCTATTAAAACGAGTTCGATCCATGTAATAGCATGTCATATATATTATGGAAATTATGCAAATTTAGAACGAAGAAATAATGCAACTAATTCTCTTACTTTCGTATTTGATTTATCTGAATATAAATTGGCTTTGTAGAAAAAGAAATTTTTATCGTACATTTCAAAATTACTTTTGTAATCAATTTTTTAAAAAACGTGTCATCGAAAATCACGTAAAACGGAGAACAATATTACCAATTTTGCGAGTTTCAAATTCGATTTATCTGAAAATCTAACTTTGTAAAAAAAACTTTTATCTGAAAATATCTGAAAATTACTTTTGTCCCATAACGGGATAGTAATGAACTACCCCGTAGCTCGTGGCAGCGAGCGAACTTAGCGTTGAGAATTGTGTCCGACGAATGGGAGAAATTGACGGCGTTTCGTGCAGTTAAAACGTTATCAAGTAAAGGGACAAATTGCCTATTTTTGCGGGGTTGTGTGCGAAACTCGGAAGACGGTCGCAGTGGAAAGCCGTAGCGCGAGTCAGGCATGCGCTCTCGGCCCAGGGCGGCGCGCGGCAGTGAAAGAGCTCGAGGGCGAAACCCACGTTTTAGTCTGTCGCGTGTGTCGGTACGGCGCATATAGTATCACTTCGCCCTCGCCGCTGAGAGCTCTCGGTGCTTGTGATCGGGGGTGAGAGATGCCGTGAGAGAAGAGGAGGCGCACGCGAAAGATCGTGCGCGAATCCCGCGAGATCGTTCGCGAGACGATGACGAGGACGGGACGAGATGTTGTTGTCGTCGATCGTCGCGGATCACCGCGTAAATCCCTCTCGTAAAACCCACGTCGGATTTAATCGGGACATTTCCGACATTAACGACGAGAGACGAGAGACGTAGCTCGAGTACAAATTATAATATTCGTCTCGTTGTAAAAATTGTCCGCGGTTCGCGAAGTCTCCCGAGTCGCTGAGATCTCCAGCCTCCAATCGAAAAGTATCGCCGGTTCAACGCAAAAAAAAGGTGTATGCGCGATATCCTATTAACGCTACGTCCGATTAGAATATGTCGCACGAGTCTTTGAAAAAGCACACGAGGGGAAAAGGTCGAGCACGCTGCGACGATCGCACCGCTCCGGTGCCCGAGAGATGACTATACTACTGCCGAGAAAACGATAAGCCTATTATCAGCCAGCTTTAAGTGACGCGAGATTGATCGCGTAAAAATAACCAGCGCGCGGCACAAAAAGAGAAAAAAAAACGTGGCGGGAATGCGCGCCAAGTACACCTTGCGACTGCGGCGATTATATCGGTACACCTATCGTCCCACCTGCGGGCCGTGACTCGAGGTTGACTTCCGGTCTCGCGGTATGCGTCTCGCGTGGCCTCGCTACGCGTCGCGGATCGGAAATGATCGCGTCGAGTGACGACCGAGTCGATTGGCGAGCGAGTTGTCCGTAATAAGATCAGATGATGACGGATTCCCCGACACCATCGACCAGCAGACATCACGACGATAAATGCGACAAGCCCGAGAAAACCGATAGGACGGTGTTCCTGGTAAGCGAATCCTGTAATCCTGACGCGAATCGCGATCGCGCCGACGAGCCTCCCGTTGATGTAACTTTAACGAGCTCTCTCAACGTAATCGACTCGCGGTGAATTTTTCACGAAATCTTATTAATCCGCCGGGGACAGCCTCTCGATTCTGTTTTTAAAAAGCCTCGTCGTTACCTCTCGGTTTCGTCCTTTTTTTACAGAAGATATAATAGACATTTAATAGATATATTATAATAGACATTTAATTTACTAATATTGTATAGTTATAATTAATAAATGTTGGATAATAGATGGATTATAATGGACATTATTACAATAGTTATTTAATGTTAAAATTTAATAAAAAAGATTATAATAGTTATTTAATGTTAAAATGTATAACGCTGAAATTTTTACGCTTATATAATTCGCCTGTGAATAATCAAATTTGGTTACTTTGGAATAATAGCGGCTGGGGGACTGGGACTGATTAATGCGGCATTATTTTTTAATTTTCCACTCTTGTTCAGTCGTAAATCACATCGGGTGAATAATAATTATTCGCGACGCAATCGATTCATAAACTATAGACGATACAGCCATTATCTGTCGCTTTCAATTATTTAATAATACTCCTCGAATGTCGAATTATGCGGCCAGCTCTGCAAACATATTACTACATGGTATATATTTGATAAACGTAAATGAGGAAAATTGCTCAATGAGAGAGAAATATAACCGAGGGGATATCTATATATATGTATAATCGAAATATATAATATATACGTGTACTTGATGTCGCAAAGCGCGTATTTGCGCGACGTTATTTCCGTTATTCCCTAATCGAACCGATCGATGGATAACCGACTGCGAGTTTCGCTTTTCATGCGTTTCAGCAAATCCAGGACATAAACAGCCAGGTAGCGCAATTTCGGGATTTACTCATTAATATCGGACAACCGCGCGATTGTCCGGAACTACGGGAGAAAATACGAAGGCTACGTCGTAACTGTGTGGAGGCTTGCAAGAGCACCTCTCAACTGGTACTGCCGCATGTGCAGAGGTGAGTTTCAATTTAGGGACAAGCCCGATTTATTCAAATCGCCCCAAGATTCCAAGTGATCTCGCAAGAATGGAAATCCTGTGGCGTTATTCGAATTTTCTCCAAGATGGTATCCCGTAAAATCGTTAATATCGCATATATACACGTATACGCGAAGCCATTAATTCGATTTAATACGCCGAACAAGTTCCACAGGTTCAAACCATGCGTGCTCAATGCGTTAATTCGCTCGGGAAACACACATTATACGCATTTGTCGGACGTTTAAGTCTATAAGAAAATGAACGCGCTCGATCCTACACGTTCGTTTCCCCTTTTGCGATTTTTCCTCTTATACCCCCGTGTACTCTCGTAAGGGTCGAGGCTACTCTTGCCAATTTTTCCGACGATAATAACGAGAACCGTCCTTTGACCTATGCGATTTACATGACCGCGGGAGAAAAGGAGAAAAGGCGCGCGAGTAAACCGTGGGATTAACGAGAACGACGTGGAAAATATAGGGCAAGGTTCCGCCGTCCTAAACTCCGGATTCAAACTAGTTTGCAACGATGAGAGAGGAGGAGAGAGACGGAGGGAGAGAAACTTTTCCTCGATTTCTTATCCATCGCTTCCGTCATCCCGTCGCACAATGCAGGTCACAAATAGACGCCGACGACGACCGAACGCTCCCAAGAATCATGGTCGTGAGAAAAGCGTCACGTGCCGTTCGACCCTAACCCGAGTACCTCTTCGATAACTTTCATTCCGTAAGTTTGCCGGGCGCACCGCGGGTGTCCTTTATCGCCGGGTTACGTAGGATTTCCTGTCGTCGTCCTGAAATTTCGATCGAACTTTGATCATCTCCGTCGACGGGAATCTAATAAAAATCTCCGCCGTGTGTAATCTCGATCGACAGACTTCGTCGTCAATTTTCTCTCGTATATATGTTATTATCTTCGACAAAATTTTTCGATGACTTCTGTCGAATTCGGTTACTCAATTTTAGATCAAATTCAAGCGAAAGACATCCGGCTAGAACGTCGTCGTAATGTCCGTAACGCGAGGATTTACGTAAAGTCAAATGTACGCGTCGCGCGGCGGTACCTCGTCAATCTCCCTCGCTTGATCCAGGTCGCGGCGGCGCGCTCGCTCACGGAAAGTTTGCGCTCTCGAGAGCCGGAGCTTACGACGTCGATCAAGTATTAATGCCGGGAGTATTGTGTTTCTCTTTGTTTGTGTTTTCGTGTCGTTTGCGCGACTTGTAACTTGCTCGCAGTAAGAAGCAACGTATAAAAGTTGGCGCGACGCATTCCCCGCGCCTTTATGCGCCTCGCAGTCCAGCGGAAATTGAACGGTTTGCAATTTAAAATTCCAGACCTTACTCGCTTGATACGCTCGCGAAGCCGAGCTCGAACGACAACTGAATAAATACCGGCTCTCGTCGAGATGCTCCGGACATGGCAAATTACCAATAAAATATGATAACGAATAAACTAACGCTTAAAAGCGCAATAACTCTGGAGTGTATTTTCCAAACTAAATAGGACAGGTATACAAATTATATAAAAGGGGAAAAGTGAGCTTAACGTGAAGCTAGAGAAAAAGAGAATCGCTTTAAATCTTGCAATCGAGATAATGTAATAACTGAGCGCATAGGTCTGTACGTGTATATGTGTCATCTTTCTGCGGGAGATTCTCTTATTAATAACTTAATCGCCATAAAGAGCTCCGAGATGCACAAATACTATAGTTTCCGCATCTTGGCATATCGTATATAGGAGTTGTATCGCATTTGAAGCTCGAAAAGCACTGCCAAAAGTCAAAGTCCCTTTCGTATAATCGCGGATTAATATGTAGGCGAAGCTGGCGGTGAATGATTATTCTTTTGATCCGTGAAAAAAAGGTCGCGCGAATAAAAACAACGGCGTGTATTTTGCATAATCGATGCAGTTGCATGTTTCGCGGCGCACGAAATCCTCGTGACGTTTGCGCGAGAGCGCAAATTCGCCGATGTGTATGTACGTAATACGTGATTGAACGCGCATGTAAAGGTAATCGATTGATTGTACCTCGCACTTCGAAAAAAAAAAAACTACACATGAATATGTAACATTGGCAAACAGATAAAAAAGTTTATTATACCCTAAGCTTTTTCCCTGCCTTTCTCTCTCTCTCTCTTTAATTTTTCGAAACACGAAATAAGATTCGAGAAAAGCATAACAATGCTCAAAAATCGAATGAAAAAAAATGTAACGATAATGATAAAGACGGACCTTCCAGAAGTAATTAATAAAACGATCTACATGCGACAATAGAGTAATTTGTGCGAACAATCGGAGCTCGTTGTGTCGCCGCGGTGCAGGTGCTATTAACGTAATCAAATGCGGAGGAAACGCGAATGCTGGTCACGTAGCAACATTATTCCGGGCTCTAACTGAAGATAAACAGCATTGTAACGAGAAGCGGAAGGGGATTGCGATAATTATCGTTCCGTAACGGCCACACGTTGATCCGGCTTAAGTGAAGTAAATAAAATAATGCGTGCGCACATGTACGGCAGGCGCGATAACTGCTCGATGCGGCTATCTAATTAAACGTGTTGCTCGTTCAAAATCCCGTTGCATGTTTAGTATCTCATATTATCTCATATTTAAGCGTAACAATTCAATTTTCGTGGCGAATAATTATTTTCGCCCTCCGCGGAATCCAGCGTACCAAATACCTTACATAATTATCCGGCATTTTTCAGAGACGGGTATACACATCTATAGCTACGAGCTCGGTAAATAGTATTAAGGTAATTGGTCAACTTTCGAGTCAAGGAGAATCATTTCAATCGACGAGAAGGATCGTTATATAAATTAATGGAGAAAATAAAATTCCGACGTTTACACAGTTTACAAAATTGTACGTCCATGTGTTAAAATTTTCTTGTGTTACCACGTTTTGATAGTACTTTAATTAGTACTTTGATAGTACTTTAATTGATTAGTACTTTAATGTAAAATTAACATACGACTTATATGTTATTATTTTTATAACGTTTTCATGTGTTACATTTATGTCAACTTCATAACTTGACACTTTATACATGTCTCTTAGAAGTGAAATATTATTTTGCGTATTTTTAACATAATCATTTTAAACAATCAACATGTCTCAAAGTCAGTTTAATATTCTAAGAAAAGTTAACGTAAATCTTGAAATAATCGTGAACTTTGACATACAAAAGTAATCAAATTTACTAAAATCAAATGTTTCTATTACAAATAATTTAAGTAAAATAATTACTATTATATGTTAATGTTTTCAACATTTCTTACGAGTTATTGTAACTATTTCTTAATGTAATTTTTAATTAATTTGTATGTTATTTTTACAATATACTTAAAGTCAGCCTTTTGTCTAAAAGTTGTCGACGCACTCATTTCGCTCTCTTAGATTAGAAGTTCTATCCGTTGCTCGCGAAATCTATAAAATTCAGCTTGAATTTTTCGTATTGTGACTTTATTAAAACTGTAAATTTGTGATATAGAATAAACTTTGTACATATATATATAGTTATCGGGAGTTATCCTTCTCTTTCTCTCGTGCCGCGCTCACTTCCCGATTTATTCTCGCGCTCTTTCAAACATTTGCTGGTGATAGCAAAAATGAATGTAAAGTGTTGTGCCAATTATTTAACACTTTTAGGCCGGTATTCATAGTCCGGTCTTATATTTAAGATCATCTTAAGAACTCATTCAACCAATCAAATAGCTACAATGCAGCCATTGATTGGTGGAATGAGTTCTTAAGATGATCTTAAATGTATAAAGACCGGACTATGAATACCGGCCTTAGTTTATCAATAAGTAACATACGAATTAATTAGTCTAACTTAAAATTGAGAGTGGACTTTCTGGGACATATGAAAAGTGTTTTAATTAACATTTTATCTTTTACTATGTATTCACATCTCTGAGGCTTGCGCAACTTTTGTGTATTAAATAATTTGGCGATTAAGCTCGTCGCATTAATTGTCTTTTAATGTGAGGATATAACGTGCTTGTTTTAATGTTTCATGCTAGACTATACATGTAACAATGTATGCTTAACGTTCATGTATATACAATATTGTTCATTTAGACAATGAGAATGAACAAAAAAATCTCAAAGAGAAACACAAAGTCGTCAAACATTTAAATTTTTATTAACATGTGCAAAGTCCCAGAAAGAATTATTCAAAAGTGATTGAATGGGAGAGAAAAAGAAAGAAAAAAAAAGGAAGAAAAGAAAATAGAAACCAAAGGAAAAGGTAGGGAAAAAGAATCTGTAATTGCGAGTGGCGCTTTTTACGAAATCCGCTCCTACCCTTGTCTCACCTCCCCTAACTTTTTGCGAGGAACTAATCTGTGAAATCGATAGCTCTCTTTCCTTCAGTGCAAATAGTTAGACGGGGGTTATACGAAAGTGGAAAGGGATAAACTATATAAACCGGACGAGAGCTTGTTTGCAAAGGAATTTAAATTCCGACATATTGAAATCCGAGCCCTTACTACGTAGTTTATTACAACCGCAAAATAGGGCAAACAAAAGTAGACTTACTTTTGCGTTATATATTTCCTTGTTTTTGCCTTCTTCATTAATATTTTCATAATATAATTCAAATTTTATTTCTCATATTCTCCTTAATATACAATATTTGGCCAAGAACTAGATATTGTTAATACACGGGATAAATAATAAAAAATGTAGCTGATATACTCAAAAAAAAGAGATATCGTTCGTCTTGGTAAGGAGATAAGAAACGATCGCGAATATGCTCGTAGATCGAGGTCGGTTGCCTTAGGTCGCTCCAATCTATTTCACACGTTAATTGGAATCTCATTAGCCGGAAGCCAACCGAAATGGTTTCTGCACAAGGAGTACGTTCAATGCTAGACCGATACGGTAATTGACGTAAAACGAATTAATCAGAGTACTTGATTTTCCTGCGGCCTTTTACCGCTCTCTTATGTCACGAATCAGCGTTATTGGATTATGTTTCGCGGTGTATTTTATTACTTCGCGAAGATATTACTCTGGAAATTTAAAGCAACATACTTATTACACAAAAAATAATTTCGCCGAGAGATGAAACTCTCTCGTTTATCTCTTCGTCTAATAAAATACATCATTAGAGTTAGGAATCACCGCCTCAAGTCTTATTTTGTCGTTCTTGAAAATTTTTACGTATATAATCGCGAGCGCGTTGTGATGTTTTAATGCCGTGATGTTTTTATGATGTTTTTATCCGCCACGTCGCAAATATTAGCGAAAAGAAAAAGCGAGAGAAAAAAATGCACGCGACTGGAGCGGAGGAGAAATGTTGCTCATGGTGACACGTCAACACTTGAACACGTTTACGAAAGGTGCGCGCGTTAATGAGGCCAGCACTAGTACGTTACGCTGGCGGTGCTTTCGCTTAAGTAATGGTAATTATGTTTTTAATATAATTAATTCGGCAAACCACGCACCGCGGACAAAGGAAATCGGATTTACGGACTTTCTACTAAATTCGCATCCTCAGCGAAAGGAAGTCATTAAAGTAATTCGTACCTCTCAATATCCAACGATTTATTTTCATTAAGCAACGTGATTTAAATCAGTATTTTACTTCTCGGGACTCCTCTATTTCTTGTATTAATCAATTAATCTGTAAAAAAATGTCCTCTTCATTATTCTAAATAAGATATTGAAATAATAAAATTACATGCGATTTATACCTCTCGTATTTTATTCCTAATTTCAAACACCGCTATGATAATCTTTTGAAAATGTATTTGATTACAGCGCTATGGACGTTGGAATACCAGTGGATAGTCCAAATTTAGTGTTATTATTTTACGTGGTACAACTATTTCTACGCGAGCTACACAAGAGCAAGAATCTTATACGAATCGTACCCATGGACATGTCCGGATATTACGGTAAGTCGTGCATGTTATATAAATGTTTTTCTTGGTATAATATAATCATGTTGAAATTTCTCAAGGCAAATACAGGAAAATACGAACGGAAATACGAGAGCTCTTTGTATAAATCATGTAATTCTTTTTATAAATTGTTATAACTTGATTTCAATCTCAAGAAATAAATGAGTATTTATCGATCAAAACAAAGTTTTAATTTATATCATTTGTCCGCTATACTTTTTTAATGTTAGCTTTACACATGAGAAACTTGATTCTATCTAAATATCCTAAGAGTATAAAGGCGGAATCGAGTCACACGTTATCGGTTTGCGAGAAGCGTAGCATTAAATCAATTTCTGCGGCCGCTTTGAGTTGAGGACTGGATAGATTGATTTACGACATGTATTTCATAGAGGATCATAACTCTGAAAACTATCGCATACAGTTGTAATATTGAATGTCGTTACACACATTCGATAAATCCTAATTTCCACCGTGTATCATTCCCTTCGATCGAAACACAGAGAGCCAAATTTGCCTCGCGATGAATCGAGGTAAATAACAATAACTCTTATCGCAGGTATTTTCGTATTAAATCAAATGTTTGTGCAATTATTCATCGATTACGAGCAATTTACTATAATAGAAGCTATTCGTCTCTTTTAGAAAAGCAAAACTTTTATTACTTCGGGTAATTTAATAACTATTTGCTTGATATTAGCGCTAGCGAATTACTTCGAGTGCTCGTTCATTTCCCTCTCGACTGCATGTGCTAAAGTTCATGCGGACTTTTTTAAATCTCGTCGGAAAAATATGAGAAATAGCCTGTGCACTTTTATATTAAAACCGCGCTAAACATAACATCGCAGGTTATCGTTGCAATAAAAAACATTATTGTTATTCCCCAGTATTATTTCGCTCGGAATATTTTTCGCGTATGAAGAAAGAGATGTCGGGGGGGGATTTAATGACGTCGTCAAAATCTAACGACACAGTTTTCGTTATCGCGTTACAGAGAGCCGCGCTGGTCCCTCGTATATCGGCAATGTGGTCTCGCAGATCCTCCTGTGCAAACAGATCAGGCCGGATTTCAACGAGGAGGAACTCTGCAGCATCCGAAAGGACTCGGAAGAGATCGGTCAGCTGATATCGGAGCTACAAGAATTCATGCCCCAATCCGAGGCTGACACGGGTACAATTTCGTCGATATCTTGGCTCGTATCCCTCGAGACCTTTTAGTAATTAATAATAATTTTCCTCACATGTAACAATCGCAGTTCTCGAAAGGCAAATTTATCTCACGCAAAGGCAACTTGCACAGTAAAAATAAGATTTTTATAACTATTCTTATTTATAAAATTATATTCTTTCACTCTTTGTTCTTTTCATTCACGCTTCTCAACTTTTTATTCGCTTCTCAAGGTCGAGGTTGGATAAATGTCGACTTTTATTCGCGTAACGACGTTGTGCAAAAAGTATGCTAATAATAGAAAAAAAAAATATACAGATGAAATACACGGATGGGAAAGAGTCGGCTCTTGAAACGAGATACGGAAGAGATATGGAATAATGTAGATTGATATAATGAGAGAAATTGCGGATTTTGCGAGCATATTAACGCGTGCACGACGTAACGAAGGATCGCATCGATAGTGGACGCGAGAGAGAGAATCGTCCGACCTTAGACCCTGATAATATACGGGTCAAGGACGATTCATTCTGCAAAATCCGCTTGTCCGACCTGCATCCCCCGCGGTCCGTGAAGAAAGCGTGACGAGCGAAAGTGGCAAATGCCAGAGGGCATAAATGCGAGGACAAGAGGGAATAGGGAGGAAGAAAAATACTGCTCGTTGGCCAACAAATCTAGACTGCCATTCGTAAAACAATCTCGCCCGCTTGTTCGATAAATATTGCTTTCCATTGTGCTGCCGGCAGTTGACTTTAGTGCGGAACGGAAGGGAGGAGGAAGGGGAGCGAATGAGGGAGCGGAATAGACGAGACCAAGAGATGGTTTGAGCACAAATTAAACTACGTTTCTCTTTCATAAATCAATGTGATGGGGAGCAATAACACAATGTTATATTCATCATGATCGTAATGTAATTAATGACATTCCTGTGGATCCGGAATATCCTGTAACCGCTTCAAATTCAAATATTCTAATAATAATGACAAATAATGTGAGATACCGTTGTTGGAAATTCTCCCCTAATATATAATCTAGCAGTCAATACCTTATCTCGTAAACGTAAAAATTTCCGAGTGAACCAGAAAAAAATTGTTGCGATCAATCTTTGCGCACAATTTAGACGAGAAGAGCATGACACTGTTATCTTCTTTCTTCGAGAAATTAAAGGGAAATACTACTGTAGAAAAATAAAGTAAAAAAGATATCGACTTTTTTTTTCTAAAATTTACACTCCGATAAAGATAGACAGCACGCAATCTATATTTTATACTGTATGAACCAGACTAACGAATGTGAAAAGAGGAAAGGCACACATGCAATCCAGGATTTAGGGAAACAATATCGCACGATGAATGTTTTCATATCTGCATTCAAGTTGCAAATTTGTGAATGGCTGAAGACGTTAACGTTATGTACATTTTTTTTATCTTAAAAATGCGCGTTTTTTGATACGGAAAATTTTAATTTGTCAAGTGTCACAATTAAATATATATATTGAGAGTACAAGTATATCAAGAGTTGTGCACTATTGGCGAAAATTTTTTCGCCAATAGTGGACATTGACTCAACTGCAAGAAACAAAAGCGCAAACTGCCTATCAGAAATATTTAATAACATAACTTTTCGTCTTAGTTAAATAACTTTGAAACGAATCAGTAGATAAAGAGTGAAAATATGCGCATATTAAATTTCCGAATGAAATTTTGCTCGTTAGAAGTTTGTTAATGCAATATGGAAAATGTTTCATCCAATGCTAATAATATTTCTCCTTCAAATTTGTCGATAAGAACGCTGCGATGCACATTTTTCGATGGAGAAAAAATTCGAAAATACGCTGGTTCCCTCTGTTTTGGTTCGCATAATAATTACGACGTAATGGTATTAATTTTTAATCGATCTTAATACGCGTCGCTATAAGAGAGGAAGCGTTATTTTGCAAACGTATTCACGGCTAAATTAGTAATTAATAGTCGGGGCTGATACGGTGCGCGCAAGGTTCGGGAGCAAGGTCGGGACCGTGCAACCCAGCTTTCGAGGCGCGGCAGGCAAGGGACACACGTCAAATGGTGCAACGAGTCCGCGCGGACACGGCTCGGTTATCGAGAGGAAAAGCAGCAGCGTTTGACATGAAACGTGATACGGGTCAAGGTCGCGAGTCGGGCAAAATCTGGTTTTCGCTCGCGGAGAAAATGAGGATCTCGGAAAACGAAAAAGAAGGGAAAAAAGGGGGAGAAAAAACGCGGTCAACCGTCTCGAGAGAGTCGTGGCCCGAAAAGAGCCCGCGATATAAAAAGCGCATTTTCCGCGAACGAGAATCACTCGTCGGGCGATGTACTCGTGCGATGGATTTGCAAATTTTCGCCTGCAATATTCGCGAAACAATCCCGCCGTCTGTCACTCAGGAATGGGAATTCAACGAATAACTTCCGCTAAGGCAGAAACGCGATCCGCCAAGAAACGGAATTGCCGCACGCCTCTTATCTGACTTCCTCCCCTCCGCCCCTTGTCCATAATACAGCTACGTTGAATTAATCCGATGCCAGTTAACGCAATATTCTTCGTTAAAGCCACACAATCCAATTTTTCCGTGACGCAAAACTGACCGGGAACGTTGCGTATTGTTCATCGGTGGCCCGAAATTTTTCACCGCACTAAAAGAATTTTCCCACGGTGAAGAATTTGGTGAAGAATTTTCTGAAGAATTTTTCAATTATAATCTGCAACAAAAAAAAAATTTTGATTGATTTATTTAATTTCTGTGATTACCCGTCATTTCGTTTCGACGATATACATTTCATGCTTTTTCCGCGTACTCCGATTTGCGGTCGGATTTGCACGAGGAGCGAAATTAATTTCGCGATATTTGAAAGGACGTATACAGTCGGTGAGATAACAAATAGGGAACTTATCTAAGCGGAATATATTATACATCCGCTGCTTAGGATTAATACGGGCGTCGATATCCTCTCGCGAGTTACGTCAAACCTCGCGAGATTATCCTTGTAAGCTTTCAATCTCACGCGGAATTTCAATATTCCTGTCGCGACCGACAGGTGTTATTCGAGAAAATTCCGTCGATGGTATTGCAATCTATAGCAATCGTCACATCGGAATTAAATTGTCCTCTCAATAGTAACTAGAGAAAAAAAAACGATCCTTTTCCCCTCGTTTCTCGCATATTTCTTCAAGATTTTAAATATATTGTATCTATTTCTTTTTTTTTTATATATATAAAAAGTTGTAGCTCTTATATAATATCATTGTGATTCCTGTTACGTTATTTTTTTGTTACAGTATTTTTTGTATTTAAGTCTATGAAATATTTTCAAAATTGAGAAAACTTATATTTCCTTAGGCAAAGGCACGCGATAAAATCACGATTATCCAAAGACATAAGATTCTCTCTCTGATTCTTCGCAGAAAAACCTGTGGCCCTTCATAGCACTGGGAACAAAATCAATCGGAACAACGGAACACGAAGAATGCACCGATGGAGCAGCAACAGAGATCGACAATCGTCCTATTTCCGCAGCGGCTTTAGATTTTTGTGCTGTGCCGCGAGCACAAATTATGTTTAACGTATAATTCGTTTTTATCGATTTAAAGATACGATATTTTCGATTATATGTGTATGAAAATAATTATTGCGCACCGATACTTTTGCAATGATTCCGACTATATTTCGTAAAATAACGTTGACAGGTATCTTAGCTCGTAAACGTATGAGAGGAAAGTTTAATTTATAAAGTACTTCAAGTATTCTGTATCTAATTATGTGATAATTTATTCCAGCCGGAACTCAAAGTCTCTCTTATCCAAACTTTGATATATTACGTCTTTACTTTTACCGTAATTTTTGTTCGGTAAAACTTTTAATGTTACGCGCGTTTATTTATCGCAATTTTTTAATTTTACGACGTCATCCTCCAATTTATTATTAACATGCTCATCTGTCTTAGATTATTTTTTTTTTTTACGGAAAACAGCGGATAACGATAAAATGTCAACAATAATGCCGGAAGACACGTGGAAGCCTAACCGAGGCCTAAACTTATCCTACTTGAGAAATATCCTCGAAACAAACTTTTAATCACATAGCTGGTGACAATCAAAGAGCAGGAGCTCGAAACTCTAATACCGAAAATTATTAAGAAGTCGCACCATAATGAAGACGAGTAATGGACGACGAGGATAAAGAAGAGGGAATTTCAGCCTCACTTTTTACACCTCTCAGCAAGAATTCTAGTGGCACTCGATACCCTTTTCATTTTTTTGAACGCCCTCCTATACTCTTCTCAGAATTTCCAAGTCGCGGAACAAAAGGCGCTCTGGCATTATGAGGGGAGAAACCCTTTATTCAAGTTCGCTAAAATCCTTTAATTAATCCTACTGATACATTGTTTCAAATCTAATTTGGGTGTGTGTGTGGTGTTTGTATGTGTATGTGTGTGTCTGTATGTCTGAGTCCCTTCCCAAATCATATTCCTTGAGAATTCCTTGAGAATTAACGTCAATTTTCCCAATTTATCGCGTTTAAATCTTTCAACGCATGTATTAATTTTAATCAAAGGTTTCGACTCGAAATACTCATACTCGTAATCAAAGTTAGTTAATATTAATCTAATCAAGTCTAAGTCTTTAAATTCTATATGAAAAATCTAGACGAATATATTATATATGAAATATAGAGAGAATCGTCAGAATAATGTGTCTATGTCAAAGCGGTAGATACATATTGTGGAACAATTATGTCCTAGCATATTTACAAGTGAGTGGACCAACCTCGATCTATTTATAACGCGCGATGGGCACACACGCAATGTAGTCTTCTAGTATGCGCGTTTCGCATATATAATATAGGATGTCCCAAAACGACGCGAATGTTCTTCTAGTAACAAATTCTCTTTGACCGATTCGGAAACGATTTTTCCTTGGCTGAAATATCGGGGTATCAATAATTTTCTAATTATAAACGATTAAAAAAAAGGGCTTTTTCACAAGATAAATCTTGTAGAATCAAAAGATTAATATTACAGAACAACTTTTCAGTTAATTATAGCTGGGATTTAAAGAATCTTAATATTTTAGACTTAGTTTAAGATATATGACGGAGAAAAATGATGACCTTCTTCGATATTTTTGCTAAAGAAACACCGACTCCAAATTAGTCAGTGCTATTAAAAGGACATCTGGTCTTTTACGTATAGGGCATCCTACACATATAGGTACTAGAGATTATTTACAAAGCAATACGTAGATATACGCACACGCGCGCGCACATATATCTACACCTACACACACACAGACACACGTACACATGTGCAAGACGTACGCAAAACTTGCGTGTTGCGTGATCATGATTTTAATCCTAAACAAAATCGATATTATAAAAGTAAAATATGGTAAAAAATGCTCTTAAATTGTAATAATAATTATTTTTATCTCCAGCGATTCTCTCGCATAAATAAAGCGCGTTATCGTTTTTGGATTAATAATCATATTATAATCATATGATAAAAAATATTATTAGCAAACATAGAGGAAAAAAGAGAATTAATAGCCTCTAAGGCCGGTATTCATTTAAATTAATCAATGGCTGCATTGTAGTTATTTGATTGGTTGAATGAGTTCTTAAGATGATCTTAAGGCCCGGTTCCACAACGCGAGTTAATCCGAGTTTAATACGTTAAACTGGGTCCTGATTGGTCCATTCACTCCTTAAACTCGGATTAACTGGATTGTGGAACCGGGCCTAAATGTAAGACCGGACTATGAATACCGGTCTAAGAACATTACAACACACACACATAGACACAATTGTAATTTATGATCGTGCGTATAATAATATATAATACGAAAAATATTTGAGATATTTTCAAATATACAAGATATTTTGTTATATATCTTTTTTTTATCTCTCTCTTATCGAGTGTGTATTCTTACATATCTTTCTTACTCTATCGTGTATACATCTTTAATTCTTTCCTACCTTTAATCGTTAGGTTCGCAAAAGATATGTGATATTTTGAACGTTTTATGGTAACTCGATTAAGTTGTTATGTATGTAAATTAGATTAGAAGACTATATACTTGTATACAATAGAGCGACTATTTTATATAAACATTGCGGAAATGACAACGTATATCTCGTTCTTCTCCTAAAATCTAACAATAAGTATAATGCGAGAAAGTTGTATGTTCGATTAAATTACACATATCAATTATGATATCGAACAAGCTGACCGAATCGTTTACCTGATAATCATTAATCTTCATATAGCGAATGACCGATCTCGCGTAAAATATTAAGGCAGAAAAATTGACGTAAATTGTAAACTATGATATTTGTCGATGTATATCGAGCAGATGGATCGATTCGAATCGTTTCTTCGAGAAGAAGATTGTCTTATCAAGACTCGATGGGATTTATTCTCACGAACAATTGTTACGCATCTCGAATTAATGATTCGATTATTTCTGCCATTATTCATTTCATCCAGAACTGGAAACTTTTGAGCCGATTTTCGCAATTGATACTCGCTCTATTTCCCCTAGAGTTTATTAAAAGAAACGCTGTTCTAGCGAGGGAAAACAACGGGTGTCAATTATCAGTAAAAGTTGATCCGAAAATTGCAATTTTCAGTTCTGATTGAATCCTACCACGGTATGAAAAGGGGACCGAATTATACGAATATTTTACTCATCGAATTTTTGAGTTGAGGGAACATTAAGAGACAAAGATTCTATAGCGCTGATACGTCGTACTTTTAGACAGTAAGAGAGACATTGTAAACATTAGAAAATGATTCGAACTCGTAAGATAACGCAAATGGCAAAATCAAATCGTTCAAATATAATGTATATGATGTTGAAATAAATTTGAATCGTTCAAAACGAACGGTAATAGTTACGATAATTAATTCATTTGCAATTGATTATATGAAACCGCATGATAATTAAATCGCGAAAATGAATATCGATGAAACAATAGGCTGTCTCTCATAGATTATTAAACATATTATATGTAAAGATGTAAAATTGCGGAAAATTGGACGTTTATTTTATTTCCCTAGTCTTCACCATAAACAGTCGTAGTCGTTATCGATATAATAATCGTAAAACTAATCAAGCTCGACCGTAAAAACTATACGCTGAATAAAAATTGGAATCGTGTTATAAAATTGCGATGTTTTTTTTTGTTGCAGAAAATTACAATCTATATATTCAAATTTTTCACGCTTTCCTTATTCATTTATTTATTATATGATTATTACATGAATTCTGATGTGAAATATAAATCGATTCTCTTCGAAAGGTCACAATTTAAAATTTGAATCGATTAAAATATTAATAACCGTATGTAACAGATGAATTTAATACGTCAAAATTCATAATCTCTGTGTTTTATAAAAAGCCAGGTACGAAAAAACTTGCAGCGGCAAAAAAAGTGAAAGCTATATTTAGCATCTCTTTTGCAAGGCCATACTTTCTAATTCAATGATTTAACGGATTTTGACGATTGGTGATGTACGCACATATTTTGAATTTTAAAATATGGATGAGAATTTTTGAAATCTTTTTTTTCGCTTTCAATAATACGCGCTAGTAATTTTTATAAATTTTGTGAATTTTAAAATTTAAATGAGAATTTTTAAAATCATTTCTTTCAATGATACGCGCTAGGAATTTTTATAAGTTTTGTGAATTTTAAAATTTGGATGAGAATTTTTGAAATGATTTTTTTTTGCTTTCAATGATACGCGCTGAGAATTGATTCAAAATACAAACATAATCATTTTTTTTTCGTAGTCTGGCCGATGGACGTTCGTACAATTCTCACATCAAGGCGAATATTTTAAGTGTTTGCGGGCGTGCATCGCATACACAATTAATTAAATACATATGTAATGCATCACGGGCGTGTGCGGTGCGACGAGAATATTCGCTATAATCGAATCCTTCGTGATAAACGATTCGGAGGCGATCCGTCCAGAGTCGCTGCGCAAATCCGCGACTTGTTTCCAACGCCGACGCCGACGCCACCACGACCTGAAAAAGGGGAAGGAAACGTCAAAGAGAGCAACAACATTGACGCGCGTCTCGGAAACTCTCGTCGATCTCCCACTTAAAATGTGTGAGCAATAAATTTTCGCGAAGAAAACAGTCGAGCCTCTCGAGTATCTCGAGAGCGTTCCTTTCTCTCTCCCTCTCTTTCTCCCGCGCTCGCGCGAGAAAACATCTGACAGAGCGTGCATATTTTGACTTTTAGGTTATACACGGGCGCCAGGAAGCTTACCAATGTAAACTGACGTAAACAGATAAGCGAGAGTGGATTCTCGGGTCTCGACAGGTTCTCGGAACGGTGGGCCTCATGTACTGGAATAGGACGACGACCGGGACGTCGGCCGTGCGGGAGGAGATGCCCCTGAGCTCGATAAGTCACGTCGCGAGTACAGCCACGGCGGAGAGCGTGAATCCTGGGACGAACGCGCAGATCACGTCCACCTGCTGCACTCCACCGCCGTCCTACCACAACATCAATCTGCCTCTCGGACACCCCTCCACGTTGACCAACGAACGCGGAGAGCCGCCCTCGTACGAGGAAGCGATAGATCCAAATGGTATCCTCGAATATCTCTGTTGGTTGTTAGCGCTTTGCATCTCGTCGCTTATTGTTTGCAAACCGGTGGACTATCTTTTTCAGCGCCACCGCCGTCTTACGATTCGTTGTTCGGTCGTATGAGAGAGGCACGTAAAATATCTAAAGGCATATTCGATTTCCTGAAAAATATCATTTGCCTTCTCCTGGGTACAAGTAAGTCACGCTTTGATAGTTTAGATTAGGATATGTATGTAGACGGAAGCTCTCTTTCATAGGACACTTCGCAAGTGATATTTATTGCGAATAATTGACATTTTCCAGTTGGATGTACCATCATTCTCGGAATAACGATACTGGTACCAATTTGCATGATGGTGATAGGTGGACTGTATCTTTACGACTGTCCACAGGGTGAATACATTCCCGTATACTTGTTAGTAGGTGGTGGATTTGGAGTATTTAAGCAATTGTTAACTTTGTCAGCCAGAGTACGACAACGTCAAGAGGAGAGAGACGAAGAAAGAATCAGACAGTCGCCTCTACAGACTCTGATCAATTGCTTTATGCTCGGATGGTTCATTATTGGTATATCACATTATGACTTTTAATTACTATTAGATTGACTAATTGGTTATTTCGCGAAAATAACTTGATAAATTTCTTTCTTTTCCAGGTTCTATGTGGGTATATAAGGAATACGAACCAAATTATGATCCAGCATTAGGAAAGTATTGCAATAAAACATTGTACTTATTCGCCTTTTGGCTGATCACGTCAGTCTACATATACCTAGGTATCTTAACGGCCGGTCTATGCAGCATTTCCGTAGCTAGCATAGCGTTTCAGAGACCACCGCCGGATTTGATGCGAGATTTAAGTGTGGCTTAATCATTTTGCGTTCACATCCACGAAATGATATACATCTAGGATCTTCTGTATTTAATACATACGTATTTATCGATAAAAAGAAAAAAAATATCCCATGTGTGTGGACGCAAAGCGCGCATATGGTTTTTCATCTCTCATGGAAATACTCCGATCGATAAAATACGAAAAGAACGAAGAGCTGCTCATTCTTTCAAGAATAATAGATTGAAGATAGATTGATTATTATTAGCTTGAAAGAGTTTAAGTATGGAAAGCTCCCATTTGTATATAAATTCGGATCTATACACGTAATAAGCGGAAAAGAAATCTCCTTTTTGGGAGCAAAACAATAAAAGTCACACTCGCTAAGGATGGCGCAACATCGTCCACAGAGTCGCTTCACAAAGGGCGCAAAAATTTCGTCCATCTTTTACGTACCTGAGATGCTTAAACGATTATTTCGGAGAAAATCGTTGGCACGTTAAACGCACATAGAATATTCACGCACGTGCAAATTGCGTGCGCACGGTACGAATTTCAGACAAGGATCGTTCAAACGACTATTCATGACTAAGCGCGATTATTCACGTAATTACTCAATTTTTGTCGCAGGACATTCGTGACGTTATACGAGAGATTCGGAGAAAATAATATAATACATCGAAGTAAGTTTTCTCTTAATAGCCTCTCGACGAAGAAACGAAGGGATGGCGAGAGAAAGCAAAGTCAAACTTCGACCGGCTGTGTAAATGTCGCGTATTATTCGCGAATTTTTTATCTTGTGCCAAGTGGACGCGGAGTCGCAGACCAAATTATTTTGCTATCACCAAGTGTTGCTCGCGTCAGTGCGCTCTACGGTTTCTATTAAATTTGTTATAAATTCGTCCGAGAAGGCAGGAATTTAATGCAAATTCGCGGCGACTACGCTTACACAGCGACGCTTTGACGACGGTCTAACATAATTCTACGATAAATGTTAGTCATCGCACATCTTTCTCTCGATATACTTATCTCTGTTAAGCACTTTACGGACTTGACTACATATTAACGTACGCACTTCGCTGGTTCGTAACTTATTGTTAAAAGACTGCGAACTTGCGCGTGACAATTTCTCTATATTTATTCTGCCCTCTCTCCTCCGTCCTTTTATGCTTCTCATCTCCATTAGACCTTTACGTCTCGATACAATTTGCATTCGTTTTTCTATAAAAAAAAATAATAAGTAGCGTAATATGCGATTAAAAAGATAGGATGTTTTTTTTTATTCGAAATGTCTTTATCTGATAAGAGAATTATAGAAAAAAAAACAGCAGTACCCGTAAATATTGTTGGAGTTTGCTGTTTTTTCGGAAAGGCCCGTTCTATTACGTGAAATAATGACGTAATGTTGATATGACGAATTTTTGTGATTCAGATTAAACAATTGTATTACCAAGTGTATTATGAATATTATTGTACATACTTATATATGATAATACCGTTCTTTTCATTTATTCTCATATGACTTTATCAATTTTCCGACTGAAATTTAGTCTTCCCTCAGTCCTTACGTTTGTAAACGTAATTATTCTGAGCATAAGAAAGTAAGCATAGAACATAGAATACATAAATGTAAGCATGGACTAAGGAAATGTAATCGTATCTTCAATATCATCTTTTACAAACAAGCTTGCGCGCCCAACGAACAATAACCAAGCTTGTGCTTTCACAATTTCGCATAAACATTTAAAGAGATATGTATATAATTTGATTCTGATCACTAACAGATTGTAAATAAGATTACGTAAGATTTTAATGTAGGACTTTATCGATCGCGAGCGAACATTGTATCTCTCTTGCGCATTTATTATATAACTATTATAAGTATTATAATGAGATTATATCATTTCCGACAGTGTAATAGAATTCCTACGTTTTTTTTGGTAAAACGTATGCGCACGCACGCGCGCACACACACACACATACACATATATATACACACACGTATATATTCGTTGTTATAATTTCCTAAATAAAGCGCTTAAAATCATTCACTTTCTTTTTATTTCATTTGTGTATAATACGACAATATAATTATATCAATTAATGCGATTTGATAGTGATACGTGAAAAGTACGTACGGTAATAATGCATGGTAATGGTCGATTGATTGATGGGCTCACAATTTACGATTTCATTCATTTAAGTCGATGCGAGACGATGCTTCCCCCTGATAATATTCTTCGTGATCTCCCTCCGAATAATCCGAGTCTCGCTCGATTTTTGGCCAGATATCATCCTCGCTTTTGTCAATCAGCGATTCCGTTGACGCCTATGCGAATGAGGATTGTCTTATCACAAGACGCATGTTTTTATTTCTTTTTTTTTTTTTTTGATATATATTTTACATTAGGTTTTATTCGGGCGTCGTAACCGGATACTGGTGATGCATGTCACAGCAATGAAAAGCGACATAAACACAGAAAAGAAAGACGGCTACCTCCGGATATCGTAATTCTATTAATGATTGACGGAAGTCTGGCAATGCGCTGGAAATAGCGACCGGATACTCCTCTAGTCCTCTCTCGCGCGCGCGTTTGGTACAAAGTGCGGTCGATTAAAATTCATTTTAATCCGGAAGAATCGTTTCCGTTTCCGATATGACGCAGACACAGTGACATTAAGGAAATCCTCGTCGAGAAGGGCCGACCGGATACGGAACGCGAATTATCGTTTCGCGCTTTTCAATATTAATCCGCATTTCGGTGTCATCCCGAACGAGACAAATGCGTCTACGTATCGCGCTTGGAAAATTTTAAAATTCTATCACTTACGCAAACTCGTCGTAAATTTTATCGATTTGGCTTGATGCGTGACGCGCGTTAATCATTTATTTATAAATATAATACGATATATACTCGAAGTGATTCTGATCAAAGATCACTGATCAAAAACGCGTGACTTACTTCTTCTCGCAAGGGTACTGCTTCTGGCGGCAATAACTCCGGATTGTAAGGTGTGATGCAACGAGCACGCCATACTGCCAGAATGGCTATCCTTGGAGAAAAGGGTTCTTCTGTCGTTACCGTTTTGGCCTTGTCCTCGTCATCTTCCTGCATCGTTAATGTAATAAATAATATTTTGTTAAAGAACGTTTTCCTATCACGTTTGCTGAGGAATCTTTTTCGTGGTAGTTTTTGTATTCATTTTATAATCGCGAAAAAAAAAGTTTATTCCGTAATAATAAGAATATTTTTAATAAAAGAACACAAAGATTTTAAATCAGTGAAACTCGTTTAAATATGTACTATGAGCTGGCACTTGATTTAGATAAGAAAGAAAATTTTACCTCCACAATTTTATCGCTATACATCCAAGCCTGATCATCATATGCAGAATCTCTCACATGTATGTAATGACCATGTTGCATGCACAAGTTTTCAAAAGTGAAGCAACCGCGTCCGTATGGCTATAGTCAATGTGTAAAGTTTTTTTTAGTTCGTTTAAAGCTTTCTCGAATGCGTGTATAATATCTTCCACACACTTAGGTCTTATTTAACGAAACGATCACATTCTACTCGCGAGATTTAAATATATAATCACGAGTACGCATCGCACAAATATTTTTTTCTCTATTTTTATTTCATATCTCATGTATATCTCATGTACCAAATTTAATTTCCAAAAACCGTGGAAACGATAACGCTCATGAACGAGTTGCCCAGGTCCTTGCATGCGATCCTCCACCCACGTGCCCATAAATTTTGTCCCTGTATTAGCGTATACGTACGTTCCCAAACCGTGACGAAGATCTTTCTTCCATGAGCCTTCGTAGATGTCATTATTCGCGTAATAATAAACACCGAAACCGTGTTTCACGTCGTGTTTCCATTCCCCTATAGATTAACATTTTTATATAACTCTTACTTATAATAGAAAATCGTATTTATTAATAATAAAACGTTCGACTCGCTGAAGCTGACGTGTCATTGAATCTCGATGTGAATCTTATGGATTTGTCACGACTCGCGTGCGCTCTTTCTCTAGATTTCTGACGTACGATATAAAAATAATTGTATGGATATATACGCATGTGAAGACGCACGTATATCGCGACGTATCCCGACTTCCTCGAGTCTGATTCGGATCCTATTTTTGTACATTCTTGCGCGTACCTTCGTATCGCGTTCCGTCAGGGTACCAAAAGATCCCTTGACCGTATTTGCGTCCGTCTCTCCAATCACCGTTGTACCGGGCACCGTTTCTGAACACGTAGACACCTCTACCGTATCTAAGCCCGTTACGATACTGGCCGATGTACTGATCACCGTTTGGTAGTAAAGCCTTTCCATTACCATGCCTCTCGCCATTCTCATTTCTCTCGCCTTCGTATACCTGCGATCATTCTCGTAGAAAGCTCGTCATGCGCGAACGACATGTTTGATATATCAGAAATTAGCGTATTACACGATGTTAACGCAATTTTTTTTCTTAATCGACTCTATATAACTCTAAATAATTCTATTTGATAAATTTCTATTACCCAGAGCGGCTCAATCTCCGTCTCTCCGAGTTCGTCCGGATGCCGATCTGATAATGTTTCCATTTTACGCGTGTATGTTGCTTTGTAAGCAGCCCTAAATTAGCCTAAATTTGCCTCGATTTCTAATTTCGCATTCTAATTTCTAATCGATCTATCGCTTGTCCTTTTTTATTAACATAATGTATGTACATACTATGTGTATATGCAGAAAAAATTCTGTGTTTGGTATGGCAGTGTTATCGCGTTGCGCCTCGTTCATCCGTAATGTGAATGGCAGCAGCGAATCTTCGTTGTAAATCGTCTATCTTGTAGAGGAAAATATCCTGTAACGATTCCTATACAATAATATCAAGAAATAAGATGTAACAGGATTTGTAATTATGCAAGTTTATTGACATATACTTTTGCGAAACGGTTGATGATGAAACTTGTGAATATCCTCGCTCATAATTGCACGATGACTCTAATGCTTGTTCTCTTGTATAATCAAGAGTGAAATCGATGCGATTGTCAATGATTATATCTATATTCTTGTCAATGTACAATTTAATAATGAGAATTTCATCTCGCCTCTCTTTTTCTTTCTTATCGGCCAGTAAGCAGTCCAATCAACGCTTGCTTCTCCTTCTCTTTTTTCCGCACAGATTCCAGATTCCTCTGTTTCCAGGAACTCTTTCGAAGCTTAATCGGACGCGATCCGACGTATCGTCCTGAAACAAATAATATGACTAATCAATTATTTTGAAATTTTAATAAATAGCTTCCCTATTCTCTCTCGTCATTATATCTAATCTATCATGATCTATTAAAAAATATATTGCCTGCGATCATAAATATTTATATTTTAGCTAAATCATAATTACGAATATAGAGTCTATTACGTCGTATATAACGTCGTATGTAATCAAATATTTGACAAATGAAGAAGAGTATTAGTTTGCGATCGCAACATATTGACACTGATGCTTTTCGCAACAACAATAACATAATACTAGTAACGTAAGTCTAACATAAAGTTAAGCTTATCGGCTTTTCGGTGGCAACAGATAACAGACGACAGATTACGTTTTCTCACGCCGTTTTCTTATTCACCCAAGTATGTATTCCGCGAAGAAGGAAACGAATAGGAATCGATCCGTCCATTCGTGGATTATGTTGCATATGCGCGCCATTCATTCCTTCTCGACTTTCCATTCACAATTTCGAATTTCCTACGGGTATCTTTCTTGGAAACACCAACGATATCGATATTCGCAAAATTTATAAACGCGCAATGTAAATAACTCGTCAGGGATTGCAATTAAAATTCAGAATGCGAGTTGCAATTCTTTCTTTTCTTCTCGCGATGCGCTTCGTGGCTGATAAAAATCCAATATACAATTAAGCTTAGCGATAATGCAAATATTAAAGATGTAATATAAATGTCAGGCAAAACAGAGGGGAAGGGGAATCTCACTCTAATCAATTAAATTCTCACACACATCCGTCTTATAGCGTTCACCCACGAATAAACCTCCTCCCTTCCGTCACGACGTGTTACGGTTGAACGATTATAAAGGAAAACCCAACGAAATTTTCGATGACGCACAAAAAACTTGAAAGCATTCTAAAGTTACGATCTAAAGAGTAGACAGAATTTTCCACCGTCGTCGATCATCGCACAAAGTACACTATAATGTACACCATACACGTGATATCTTATATTACGATATCTACATACACTTTACGTAGATACTCTCGTATTTCGTATCCTCGAAGGACGTGTAAAAGCTAAGCGCTATTAAATCAACAGTATCGGGAAACAAAAGCGGCTTGTGCGTAACCCATATATGCAGTTGCATCGAAATCCCGAGAGCGCGAGATAGTGGGGCCAAAAATATCCATTCGAATAGCCGGGCATCAATGAGAAATTCCGCCAAAGAGAACGCATTACGTCGAAGGGGCTCATGACCTCGGTCCTCTCATTCTCCTTTTTTCTCTCTCTCTCGAGCTCGCCCACGCGTCGAACTCTTTGTCACTTTCTTGCGGCTTCTGCACGGAGAAAATTTTACAGTACAAATTACATGAAAAATATATTTCCTTTTACAACATTTATTATAAAGCTGGAACATGACATTAGAATATTTATCAGAATATTTATAGAAATTTTAAATTATGCATTCGTTTATCAAAATGTCAATAATTACAATATTCCTTTGTGAAATATAATAAATGTAATATTATTGAATAAAAATATTATGATTTTTCTCTTATATATTAATATGTTTTACAATTACAAAAATTATATATTGTCATTTTTACTATAATATTTTCTCCGTGTGTGGATGATGCGAAACAAATTTTCATTTTATCGTGCTTTAAACCGGATTCGAATATTACAGTGTATAAAGTGTAATAAAATTGTATATTATTTTTTTCTCGTTTGCGCGCAAAAGTTGGATGCTGCACGTGGCACAAACATCGCATTTACCGCACAATCGTATCATATCTCGATTCGAATATAAAAGAATATATTCTATCACATTGTCGTATTTAAAATGTTATTTCTCGTTATTAATTTTGTTCAAGCTGTAATATTAATATTTAAAAAAATTATATATAATAATAATTTAATATAATAATATTAAAAATTATGAAAAAGCTAAATGCTCTTTAATATGAGAATACAGAAAACGTTTAAACATCACTCAAGTGAAAGTTATTCGAGAAATCATCGTAATCGAGAGGAGAATGTGGATCAGCTGTGTAAGTTTGATCAGCGTATTGCGAGGTTGCACTTGCGAGCCATCGATTAATCTCTGGTTCTGCAAGTACCTCAAGCAACTACGAATCACATATCCGTTCTATCGTTCATCATATCCAGAACTCCTTCTCGTGCACATTATATGTATATATATATATATATATATATATATATATATATTTATATGTATGTGTATGTATTATATATACGCACACGCGATATTCTCAGCCTGGCATCGCGTTTACTCACTCGTTCATTCAAACTACTTGTTGCGTCTACTCGATTCCGCGATGTATCCCTAGTAACTATGTCTGAATCTCTGTCCGAATTCTTCCTTTCTCTCTCTCTCTCTCTCTCTCTCTCTCTCTCTCTCTTCCTCTCTCTACTTTTATATATTTTTATTTCGTACAAATAATATGAAATCTATCTCTCTTATATTATTTCATATATGACATATTTTAATATATACAAAATATTCTAGAATATACATAATATTCTAGAATATTTTCAAATAAAAGAGAGACCTCGATTCCTTTGACATTATATGGTGGGGGAACGCATTCCACGTTGTGCGATAAATCCTTCCACAGAATCCCACGTATTCGTCCGCGACTACGAAATTTCGACAAATTTTCATGCGTATCTTCACCACCGTATGAGTCACCGATCTTTCAGCGCGCGTATTTTATTATCGTACATTACAGCCATCGAAAATTGAAAATGAGGGTATAGCTTGGTAAATATATAAATAATACAATTTTACAACATTCCTTGCATACTCTCGTCTTGGATTACCTTGTCATCTTCGAGTCCGAAATATTCGATTGTGCGTCGTAATCCGAAGGAATTATGTACGCTTTGTATCTCGTTTTGTTACATTGTTACATTGTTCCTGCCGTGAATTAAATTATCAGCTGATTGTCTTGATTGAATTGTTTTTGATGAAGCATGTGTTAAAATATACTTTGTATTTTACAATTACAATTTTTTTTTGCATCGCCTTTTTATATCGCGAAGGGATAATGTGTCATGATACTGCTATATAAAACCAAGTTTTTGCTATATTATAACTTGTTGAATTTATCATTATCTGTGTTGTAAATATTGCAAGATATTGAGGAGAGCTATTTGAAAAATCCAAGTTGTTCTTTCAACTTGGAATAACACCTAGGTATTAAACGACATACGTTGTAAATCACAAGGATTCAAGATAATGTATAAAATACCTGTATAATGTATAAAATACCTGACTCGTTCTACCTGTGCAAAGAATCTATTTAAAATGGAAAAGAAAAATTACAGAAAAAAGAAAAATTACAATGATAATGGCTACGATGATGATAAGAATAGTGAGGACGAGAAACGACGATAATAAGCAAAAAAAAAAAAATCTGCTCGATTCGCGCGGCCCACCGCGAGATTTTCAATTGGTTGTCGCAAAGAGGGTGGGGTGTTACGAGAATTCGTACTAGAAGGGTAGGGGTTGTTGAATGAGTAGCGAAACGCTCGGCTTTCTGTCGCACTTGGTCGCATCCACCCCAACGGTTAACCGGGAACCGGGTATATAGTCGATACGGTTCCGTCTCGAGTTCATTCCGAGAGTGTATGCCGAGGAAGTGGACGCGAAAGTCAAACGAACGAACGAACGATCCGCGTATCCCGAAAAGGTACGTGTTTTTTTTATTCTTCTCATTTTTCGGTTACCAAAAAAAAAAAAGAAAAAAAACCAAGCAAATTGCAAGAAATTTTTCGCGAAACACGAAAACTGATTCAATCTTTTGCTGATATTTCTTTGGACTTTTATTATAATTACGTGATTTTATCATCGAATTATAAAATTCTTACGGTGATTTTAAATAATCGTATGCATCTGTTCAAATCGTATAACATATATTCGCGAGAGAGGGTAATTTCCGTTATCGCTACAACTACACATTTTTAGTTACAATCTCGAAAAAATACTTGCTAATTATAGAAATGTGTTGATATATCATCGTGCGGTAATTATTTATAGATGTGATAATGTCTATCACGTAATAAAGTATCCCAAATATTCCACCGTGTTGTATCATTTCGATTTGAATTATTTTCGCAAAACAAATTAATGCCTTCGCTCAGTTGTTTGTTATAAAACTAGTATAGGATAAAATGATTTCGCGTCGACAAGGTCAACTTTTCGCGCCACATTGTGCTGATATATGACAAAAAAAAAAAAGATAGAGATATATGAAAGATAAACGCGAATACATACTATAAAAACAATTATAAAAGCGCGATAAAAATGTAATAAATGGATAATATTTAAAAATATGAATGACATCGCGACGAAAGGAAAAGAAGTACCGAAATTTAATGACCCATCTTCAGTCTCTTCACTCTCGTAAAAATGTCATCGGGTACCTATGAAGCCGGATGTTTCGGATACTTTTCCTCTTTTACTTACAACGTAACATTGAAAAGTAACATCTCTCCTCTCTATCAGCTCCAAGTTGCCGTCACGACGTGATAGCACGCGTGTATGTTTAAGCGTGGCGCTAAAATTAGGAGTAACATTATATAAATAGCATTACCCGTTGCAGAAATTTCGCGGCAGAACGTAAACAGCATACTTGTCTGTCCACAAAGTCGCTATTGCGGAATGATTAATCGAGCCTCTTCACTTTCCCAGGCGTACGATATTAAAAAAAAGACTTCCTTATACATTCCTTGACATTACTTTCATCGTAAATGTCATTTCGAAAACAATTCAAACGCTAAAACTATGCCAACATTCCCTTTCCTTCGTGATGTTTGTCTCATCCATTTTTCAAAACGCTGGAAACAAAATATCTACAGAAAGCGAACGGCCTACAACGAGTTATCTATTTTAAAAGCGGGCTAAAAAAAGCACAATGTTTAGAAATAGCTACATAAACATGGTGTAGTGGTTTATTTTAATGAAATTCTCTCTCGCACTTGTGTATACGCTATTTATGTTTTATATTAAATGACATGTGATAAAAGAGATGTAATATAAAACAACTATATAAAATATAAAATATATATATAAAATATATATATAAAATATATATATGTTTTGTCTTATATCTTTTATTTTCAAATTAAATCGATGATACGCGGAGAATATGTTTGTTGAGAATTTTCGCATAATCAGCTTTATAAATTTATCTGTATTTATCTGTATTTACTTTCTTTTTTTTTAGGCAAACGCGAGCGCAAACGCATAATTTTTCGTTAGCGCAGAGATACTACGACGATAATTGATTGTACGACACGCGTCAAGTGTCGCGAATACGAAATATTCTATAAGAATGGAGATAGTTTCTAGACTGCTCTTAATATTCGTATTAAATATATTCGCATTAAATATATTGTGTACAATGACCGGTTACGCAGCGCCATTATTAGATGCGAAGGACATTTGGAGCCGAAATGTTTTTGTACCTGTAATAAAGGCGTGTTCCTCCGATGGACAATGCTGGGGATGGTTACCGAAATCAGAAACATACGACAATACTAATATTATTGTACCCGAACAAGACAGCGATACCTCAAGGTGTGCACATACGTAGATGATTTACTTTTTTCCTTCACTCGTGGTTATATTTTGCATACCTTATGCGTATACTTTTTTGATTAATTGATATAATTCCATGTCATACATTTTTAATAATCAGTAATATTTTTATGTATCAAATGTCCTCTCGTATTTGACAGATTGCAATCGCGGCGTCAAATTGCAAACCCGGTATCCGAAATCATGTTAGGATCGTGGAAAAATAGCATGTCGGAGGAGGCAGGGCGAGAAATTCGAGCGCCCTTACCAGTTAATAAACAAATACCAATTAGAATCACGAAGAAGGATGTATTTATGTCCCGCGGCTGGGGCGCCGGTGGAATGCCGTTTTCAGTTCTGTACATGAATCCGCGATCAAATCACGCAGTTACAGCAACATCACGTAAGTATTAACGCGGAGAAAATATCTTTTAATTTATTTTATTATAGAGTAAAATATCTTTTAATTTATTTTATTATAAAGTAAAATATCTTTTAATTTATTTTATTATAGAGTAAAATATCTTTTAATTTATTTTATTATAGAGTAAAATATCTTTTAATTTATTTTATTATAGAGTAAAAATAAAATAATTTGTTTCACAACAGCGTCTCAACGACAAGAAACCGGTGCAACGACTGAAAGTTCGACGCCGTTTGTAGAACATCCTAATTCGCGTATCGCCCCACGAAACAGTCAATCTACTGTACAACCGAGGAGACAATATTGGAACATACCACAACTTTTTATATCGTATGGTTGGGCCCCGTTCGGAAAATAGAAACGAATAACGGTGATATATTTAATATCGAAGTATCACCTTGAAAAAGAGAGAAGAGAGAAAGAGAGAGATAGAATGTGAAAAAAAGAGAGAGAGACATTGATCTTTGTGATATATTTTAAAAATGTGCAAATAAGTAGCTTCTTAATGCAATTGTCAATATTTATCTCAATGATAGTCAATTGTTTTAATATCCGAGAGTGTAATTTTTACATCTCTCTCTATGCAGTATTTTCTTTAATATACAATTTGCATAATAAATTATATTTTTATCTAAATATATTACATCCACATTACGTCAGCGATAGCACTTGAATATTATGTGAAAATACCATTATAATTGAAAAAATTTCTGTCCAACATAGACAGTCTATAAGAAAATAAATAAATAAATAACTTACCATTCATTTCTTTCATTGCTTTGATAAAATCTTGTGGATCCTTAAAAGACACAAATCCAAAGCCTTTGGTTTTATTTGTCCGTTTATCTCTGACTACCTTTGCTTTTTGAAAACTAGGATATTTTCCAAATACTCTGACCAACATTTCATCAGTGACATCATTTCCTAGATCCCCGCAAAATATTCTGAAATCATCTGCAACATGGATATTGTTAGAACGCAATTTTCTGAAAGAGAATAGTAAGTAATTTTTTTTAAATAAATATATTTGTTTATTAACCTTCGTCCCATTCTAGCAAAGAAGGATCTTCCCACGTTTGACCGCCAGCTGTTCTTATAATCTTCTTATTTTTTTTTCCTTTACCCTTGGGATGACTCTCCTCTGCACTAGCATTAGCCATAATGGAACTTGCTTTGCCTTGGCTAATAGCTAACTCAGCAGCTGTGCTGACACCCTTTACTTTTGGTTTCTTTTTACCCTCATCTTCAGGTATTTTTGTATTAATAATTTGTTCAATAATTTCAGGATGGATCATTGGCGTTGACGTAGAATCGTATGTTTTTGGGGTTGCACTTAGACACGGATCAACCATATTTGATATATATGGATTACTTATTTGTGCGGGTGAGGAATATGTTGTAATGGGAACTGTACCTGTAGAAATTGTAATTACATTATAAAGAAATTTCTATCATATTATTCTTGGATGTATATGCAATCTTTACCTTGTCGTGCAACTTGTTGAGGAATTAACATTGGTGGAGGTGGAGGAGGAGGTGGAGGTGGTGGCGGTGGAGGAAATCCAATCATTGGGGGAAATGCTAACGTCGCTGCAGCAGCTGCCGCAACTACTGGCGTAGGAAGTTCATGTTGTTCCAATTGCCTAGCGACTTGACTATATGTATTTGCACCAATTACTGGTCGTACAATTGGTGTTACAAGCTGCCCTCCGATTTCAGCTTCAAATCTATTCAATTAACATTTAAAGGATTAATCAAGTATACAACTTGAAAAAAGCATATCAAAATTCTCAATCTCAAATATTAGAGATATAGATCCAAATTGATAAACATGTACTCACGTATACATTGTAATTTATTACGTTATTTCGAATTAGCACATATACAGTTATACATATGCAGAAAAAAAGGAATGGCAAGTAAATAAGATCGCATAATATCTTATAATTATGAAAAAAAAAAACAGAAGATTACACAACTTGAATCGAAATTAGATCGAGCGTCATACCTGTTCATTTCATCTTCCATTTGCCGAAGTTTGTCGTCCATATTTGCAAGCTGGTCGTCCACAAAACGTTTATTCAATTATAGCGTCTATTCTGACGCAAGTGCGATAAATTGATACCTTTTTAACGAAACGATTGAAACGAAACAATAACTTTGATTTCGTAGCACTTAACCTAACGTGTCCACTCAACGCACCCACATCTGCGCAGTACTGGCGCAGCTACGTCATGCGCGTTGATGGCCCGCATTTTTGCGCATGCGCAGGCAAATTTAAAATAATACAATGAAGTAATTTAAATTTTAACGAATAAGAGTGTGCATAGACTCCGTTTAATTTTTTTTAAATTACTTTGTTAGATATTTTTGGAAACTAAAAACATAGAAATAATATACATAAATTAAATAATATACCTATCTAACACGCTAATTTTATGCACAGAATAAATAAATAAATAAATATATACAATAGTTATAAAATATAAATGTTATTACAAAATTAATATAACAATATAATCAAATTGGAAAGTACATAATAATATATAATAACATAATGCATAACAATAATATAGTATATATACATAATAATACATAATATACATATATTGTATATTCTATTTCGCGGGACAAAATATTTTTAAAATAAAATATCATATATCAAGTTATGCTTTGTTGTAAAAATTATAATAAAACTTATTGTAAAACTATAATAAAAATTATTTATGACGCCACGTGAAACATTGTCGAAAAACAAATAAATCTTGCCATACCTTTATTTTTTGAATAATTTTCTTACTTCTTAATTATCTTCTTCCTCAATAAATCAATAAATTGGAGAACGCGACTGGATTCCTTTGATCCTTACGTTCAGATTCCGTTTTTTCTCGCCGGCTGTAGATATTCCACAATGTAAATTGGCTGTAGACATTCCACAATGTAAATTGGTTTGCTACCGGTATTTCGTGCACATACAAAACCAAAAAGTGCACGTTATATGTTACCCTCTGAGAATATTCGTGGACCTTTGGCTTCGTAGTTCATGTCTACGTTTTAGTGTCCATAGAGGGCGCAGGGCTTTCGCATCGCTTTCAGCGACTGATATAACCAGAGAAACGTTGGTGACGTTAATATACAGATGAGTGCGTTGAGGTTATAACGATTAAAATGATCATTATGAAGAAAATTCTGTACTTATTCTTGATTTTTGTTAATTTATGCGGGCAATACGTAATTGCGGAACATGAAGAGGACGCTTCTACAGATCTGTACGTAATCGAGGGAAAAGTATTTCCCTGGGACAATGCTGCTTCCAGTGGATGGCAACTCATGACGCATGTAATGGCCAACGGTGGTGAACATTATGGCTTTTTGAGGTATGATTATAATTACACATATATTTCGACAAATTTATTTCTTTTCGTGTGTTAATCACTTATTAATCGAATATGTTTTATTATTTTAGGGAGGATGGCACATTTATCATTTCAAATGTTCCATCGGGATCGTACATGGTCGAAGTGGTGAATCCAAATTATGTTTATGAACCAGTCAGGGTGGAAATTAATTCTAAAGGAAAATTCCGAGCACGTAAAGTAAACTTGATACAAACCTCGCAAGTGATTCAAGTACCTTATCCGTTGAAAATGAGGCCTTTAGCACCATTTCGATATTTTCAAGTTAGAGAACAATGGCGAATGACAGACTTTTTATTCAATCCTATGGTAACAAAATTTTCAACAATATGCATAGAATATATATATTTTACTACTTTTGAAAATTTTTCTTTATTTTCTCCTTTTTATAGGTTTTAATGATGGTTTTGCCACTTCTCCTGATTATGGTCCTGCCAAAAATTATGAATGATCCTGAAACTAGAAAGGTAAGATCTTATAATATATAGGAAGAAATGAGTAATTGATAATAGTTTAATATACTACAAATATCTATAAATTACTATTCTATTTGTTGACAAAGTCACAAATTATATACATTTTGTAGGAGATGGAGCAATTAAATAATCTCACTATTTATAATATGCCAGAAATGTCTGAAGTGATAACATCTTTCCTTTCTGGAGGAGAGAAACAAAAATCAAAAGCAGTAAAAGCTGCTAAGAAAAGGCAATAATTTATTAATTTATTGCCTGTAGATGATTGTATGTATATGTTTACTCTAGTCTTTAAAATATAAAAGGATATCAACAACAAAAATGGAGCACTTCTGGGGAAAAAAAATATTTCAATGATTGAATATTGTGTAAGATTATGATGGTTAATGCACCAAGTCTTTAACTTACAAGTTTGAAAGTGTCAGTAATTAGCGTCTTGTAATTTAACGTGATTGCAAAAATAATTTTGCATTTTTTACATATATGCAAACAAAAGAACAATAAGATATCAGTAATACTTAAATTAATTATTAGATCTGTTATATAATTGCTGTGTGCATATACTTATATTGCACCAAGTTTTGTAAAGTGGTAAAAAATTGTATAGAATAAGTAGGAGGAAATTGACACATGATGTATAATCAGTCACAATGATATGCATACTTATAATTATTATATTTTACATAGTAATAACAGTTTTATGCTTTCATGCTTTCTGATATTGATTTGATTATCTTACGCACTTTCCATATATATATATATATATATATATATATATATATATATATATATATATACATACATATATACATGCATACATACACACATACATACATGCATACACTCTCACTTTTGTGGTTACATTAATTCTGTCTTATACGAAGTATTGCAATTTCCATATTGTTACAATTTTGTAAATTATAAGACGAGTATTTATAATATAAATAAATAACAATGTATCAATCCACACTTCAATTTTATAGTTATTTAAGCAGCAGTTTCACTGTCATCTTGCAATGTTGTTAATATCAATAATTATTAATATTTTGCATGTTACATTCTATTAAAAAATGTACAAAATAATAGTTGCGCAAGATAATATAGCAGAATAAAATATCCGAAAAAAAAATCAAGATTGAACAATGCATTTATTTTTTTCGAGATGTGTCTCGTGTATTTTAATTTCATAAAGAACATTTCAAACTTTATCAATAAAAGATAAGACAAGTGTAGATTATAATAAATTCCGATCAACCGTTAAATAAATTTAAAAAGAAATTTAAAATTTAAAAAATAAATTTTAAAAAAATCAAGATTGAACAATGCATTTATTTTTTTCGAGATGTGTCTCGTGTATTTTTATTTTAATTTCATAAAGAACATTTCAAACTTTATCAATAAAAGATAAGACAAGTGTAGATTATAATAAATTCCGATCAACCGTTAAATAAATTTAAAAAGAGAAAGAAAGCTTTGCAGAAAGAGTTGCTTTCTTTCTAACGTAAAAATTGAAAAGAGATAGAAATTCTACGCTTTCTCTTTCTAACACTCGCGTCGCTTATCTATCACGATAGAGATAGAGAGTTCACAGTCTTTCTATTTATTACGTTTATGGACAATTATAACCTGTCTCGTTTCAAATATCTCAACGAATTATCCGTAAACTGTCTTCCTCGTTTCGCGACGAACATTACTTCGAGTCATTACATATCACGTGTCAAACGATCGTTAATAGATTTGCATGTGTTTCACAACTCGAATCAGTCACAAAGAAATACGAGAAAAATATTCTCGGAATAATAACAGTCATATCGCGCAAAAAACTGGCGTTAGGTATGTATGTACATTATACATCCGCTTTCTCAAATGACTAACACATGTTTTTTTTTGCATCTGCATCATTTAAATTTTGTACGCGAATTTCAAAGTATATCATTTATAACCAAATCGTGCTTTCATATGATAAGAAAAATGCAATTCCTCTTTATTTGTAGCAAATGCAAAGATACTTTCATTCGAAGCGAAAAAACAAGCGATCTCTTGTCACCGAAATATTTTCCTCGTAGAGATGAAGTCTGTCAAACGCGAGGATCTAAGATAGAGATGAACAACGGGAGAAAGACGTGATACGTTATCAACTCAGTTTTTTAAAATTAACGTTTGGATGCGCGAAAAATGCGGTATAGGTCCTTAATAATATAGTAACGATGGGAATCGGCAAGAAGAAAAGGAGAAAAAGAAAGACGTAAGAGCAAAGATGAGCAATCGGGCGTGATTCAGCGGTCGGCGATGCACGGAGCCGAAAGCAACTTGATCGAGAGTGGCCGGGGCCTCGTACGGCTTTTAATTCCGGGAATTCATATTTCGCCAATCGAGCCTTCGTCTTGCCTGGCGAGGCCCGACCCTCGGCATCACCCGTCATTTCGTTTCGTTTACATCGACGACGATGGCTAGATCGCTTCGATAAACCGATATTATTACGCGCATCGCGATAAAATTATATCGCGAGCGAGAAACTAATTGAATGCGATCGATTTCGCGCCGAAATAATTGTCTAGATATCCGTGATAATAAGTGTATTATTAAAAAAGTGTATTATTATAAAGTGTATTATTAAAAAAGTTGCAGAAAGAAATATATACAAAAATAAAAAAAAAATACAAGTGCAGTATGGATAGTGTAAAGGAAGAAGAATCCATGAAATTACGAAATTTTTGGAATAATTAAGTACGACGCGAAGAAGGACGAATCGATCTCGACTTGCCAAATGCTTATACGTGTGTAGGTATGTGTTAATTTGAGTTTAATCCAGGCAGAAAATGTCGAAAGTCTCTTGTTAAATTTTGTGGTTTCGCTCGGGAAGGTCCAACTTCTCGATCGATGAGTCAGCCTATGAAACTTGCTTGGCGATGATCAACAGTGAGAATTATCCTCTTCAATAGATTACACCTGATGAAAAAAATGGCAACAACAAATTACGAAATTGCGAGAGAAAGGCGCAAGTTCTATCGTCGAGGAATGAATCAAGACATCGTGTCGTCTGAATCATCCGACTCAAGATCGAACTTGGAATCGGAATCAAGATCGAAACAGCACGATAATAAAAAATCTTTGAGCTGCAAACAAACTTGTTTAGCGCATAAAACGGATAATACCGAAGTCGTAAGATGTGTAATCGTATCCGAAAGCAACGAAGAAAATAACTCCAACAATGAAGATGCGGATCGCTCGGAGTCTGAACGAATCATGGTGCCATCCGGTGAATATCTAATCGACGCTGAAATAATGATGAGCTGCTCTTAAAGTCATTGTATCACGATCGAGCGAGAAATACGTCTCGATTATTTCGGATTCATCTTTCAGATCCATCCGAGTGGAATTCCAGTCACATAGCCTCGTGGATCTCGTGGTGCAGCCGGACATTCTCTTTGAGACCGATTGCTGCAATACTTCCGCCGACCGGAAAGGAATTGCTAAAACTGTCCCTGCGAGATTGGCAGAAGATCGGCAGCGGGACGGAGGGTCGCATCCTGGCGCGACACTTGGGCTACCTTCACCTACAAGCGACCGGCGTACACACTCCCGATTTATTGCAAGAGAACGAGAGCAGTGTTGGTGAGTCGAGTTCGATAGATAATAAATTCAAAATGATACGCATTGATAGACGAGTCTTTTATTATCGATTATGTTAGTATAACACAGGAAGTAGTGTATGAAAATATTAATTAATGTGTAGAGAGAGAGAGAGAGAAAAAAGGAAGAAGGATATATCACACCAAACTCCTAGATTTCTTAAATTTCCTAAAGGAAAAAATAACTTAATCAAAGTGATTTGAAAGATAAGTATCAAAGAAAAATTACAAAAAAGGCAAAAAAACCACAAGCATTGGTGGACGATGAAATCTGATTTGCATTGTCCACCAATGCTTGTGGTTTTTTTACCTTTTTTATAATTTTTCTTTGATTCTTAAATTTCCTATTTTTCAACAATTAAGGGCTAAAGTTTTTTAGAGTTGATATGAAATGACTTTTAATTATCTTATTCATTAGAAGCTCATAGTTTACTTTTTTATATGATAAATTGGTTTTTATGAGTTTTTATAAATGTTTGTTTTCCTTTTCAATTAATTATATGTAATCTAAATTAATAAATTGGTTTAAAAAAAATTTTAAATAATATTAAAATTATAACATAATTTGGTAAGAAGCTATGGCAAATATCTCTAGGTAAAATTTTCATTTTCAACTTGCAGCTAAGAGTTAGAACTCCAAATAACACATTAATTAATAAATCATTAATTTTTCAATTAGTCTTCAAAACATTATAAAGTACCGAGACTATGTAACACATTTTCCTCTTATCGACAGTAAATTTTTCACGCCTACGTTTGCTCGTTGCATGATAAATAAATCTAAATGATCGACGGTAAAGCTTGGAAAAGTTAATAGAGGTCTTGGAACCTGTCAGGATTGGATGGAGAGTGACCGGAAAAGGCTAACCGTTCCCCAAGGACCGATTCTGGTCCGACTCGAGCTTATCTAAGAGCTTTAACGATGGCTGCGATCTATTACAGATAAACGCGGTCCAGTAGAAAAGTAAATACCGATATCATCGAGTGTGTGGATAGTTTCGTCGGAAATTTTCTTCACGTCGCGTAACCCAAAAGGAAAAAGCAAACTTTTTGAAATAAAAGTACGTCCATGCATTTTCTCGATATAAAATTGAGGCGATTGAAAAAGAAAATATCCCGATATATTAAAAAAATAAAAAGAATGTAGAGAGAAAAAAAAGAGAGTTTAATAAGAATAAAGGCCAAATTTCTTCAATTTATACGAAAATACATCTCGGTGAGTAAAATATTTTATAACAAAAATATTAAAATTATCTGTATAATGATGATGATAAATGTATTCCGATATTTTTCGATATAGAATTGATCTCGACTGTGCGATGACATAAATGAGGAAGCTATGAAAAAATGAAGAAATTTCCTTTTGTCTTCTTCTCTTTTACTTGCTTCTCTTTTTCGGAGCACAGATTTTTCGAGCACCGCCTCTTTGGATGCGAAAGAAGAAAAGCGAAAAGTGAGAGGTAGCAGGAGTCGTGGCAGCGTAAGCCTCAGAGATATATCGTCCGTTTGAATAACGTTGCAGCTTTCTCTCTCTCTCTTTCTTCCTGCCTCTCTTTCTCTTTCTCTCTCTCGTTCTCGGTGTATGTACGTTGCCCCATCTCACCCCGGGAGCAGCCGTTTATTAAACGAATCAGTGTTATCGCGGTGAGAGAGTCCTCATGAATAAACCATCGAGTGTTTAGGGTAGCGGAAAGGTGGTGCCACGAGGGGTTACGAGCTTGCCGCGACCCCGCGCTTTTACCCCTCTTTCTACCCTCCTCCTTTTGGGGGCAAGCTCTAACGGGCTTGGGGGGGTGGTAAGCTCACCGCGGGGCGCGACTATATTGTTTTCGTGATGAGCGGCAAACATTCTCGGGATCTTCAACGTATACGGGATAATTTTACGCATCGTGTATCTCCGTCATATATCGCTGCATTTATTTCGTCTCGCGACACGTTCGACATTTACGGGACGCACACTTTGCTTTACATATAATTTCAATGTATCTTTGAATGTGAATCCGTTCGCACTTGTTCTTCGAACTCTCTGTATGTCATTTAATATAACGGTTAATATGTTAAAATGAAATTTTATGCATATCTCGTTCTCGTATATTTCATCGGATTTTGTACGAATAATATATGAGCGATGTATATTAAAAGCTGACAGACTCTTTACTTTATGATATTTTTTTATTTATCGTCATAATTTCTCGTAGAAACAGATATTAACATGATATTTATTTAACTGTATATGCACATAGAACAAACTTGAATTTCTTAACGTATTTCCACACATATCTTGTTCTATTTTTATAAATTAATCTAAATGCAATTTAGCTTGATTTATCAAGGTAACATTGAAAACATAAATATATATTATTGACTCAGTACAGATATTAATATCATTATTAAATACTAAGCAATGCGAATTTATTATTTGATATAAATTGTTATTAATTTATTATATATTATACTATCATAACACATAAACATTGAGCAATAACTTTAATAGGTTTTTCTTAAAAAAGTGCACGTAATTATTTAAATTATTATTATTATTTTTGCAAAAATAATAGGCTGATACGAACATGAAAAGAATCAATAAGGAAATCGACAAAGAAATTTTTATTTAAAGAATTTAGATAATTGATGCTTGTATCTCTTCAGCCACAAATATATTGTGAATGATTATGGAGAGTAAATGTTGAAAAACGTCATTTATATTAAAAATATTTGACATTTACATTCTTAAAGAAAAAGAAATTTATTTTATCACCTGTTTTTCTTTTCATATAATACAAAAACAGATGATAAAATAATTTTTGTTTTTAAATAGGTAACTATAGATAACAACACAGTGAAAAAAGATTTATGTTTTAGCTAATCTGTTTATACTCGTGTCGACCTATGATTTTTGTACTTGTTTTTTCAATATAACGAGCTTCTTTATCTAAATTTATTTTTTTCTATTTTATTATTTCGATATTAAGGAGAAAAAGAGAGGTGAGGAATCTGTAATTAATATTTTTATTTATATCTATAATAAAAACATCAGATAGACTATATATAATATAAAATGTATATATAAATTTACAGAAATGAGACTTAAAAAAACAATTATTTAAGCGAGCGCTTGAAACAATTATTCGCAAAGGGAAGGAAAGAAAAATTCAAACGAATTTATATACAACTATTTTTATTTGCGCACGTACACGAGATATCGAGAGGATATTGTAAATTTCAGAAGAAAGAACGAAAGAAATGGAAGAGCTACCGGTAAGTACTTTAAGCTCGGTATGTCAGAAGAGAGGGGATGTAAAGGTATTCCGTTCACTTGCCGAGACCACGAGTGGGAGGGAGGGGTGCGAAGGGCTGAAATAACCAGGAGCAAAGGTCGCTCAGTCGCTCTCTGTCCACTGACTGGCGAGTTTTATTCCGAATGCGTCAACGTCCTGTCATCGATTCGATTCGCCGACAATCGATTTACTCGCTTATTTGCGTGATCATTGCGTCATCGAAATTAGTGAAATGGATGTCGATTCATCCTTAATCTGTATCTCGTTTTTTCGCGAGACGTCGTGGCGAATACACTGTGACTCATGTAAAAAAATTATTCGTGTTGTATGTGATCGCTCGACAGTAAGCTTTTATGAAATTAATTTCCATATCGTTTCACTAGTATACGAAAAAAATCATGGTGTTATACATGTTCTTCTTTTTCAAACTCAAGAGGAAGATGTGAAAAATTACGACAAACAAACGTTTTGAAAACAGCGAGATCAATCAATTCACATTAATCGAACGGAACGGATTTTTTGGATGCCTCGAAGATGATGGAATTGTCATTTATTGGTTTTCGAAAGCGCCGTTTATATGGCACAGGCGATTAGGCTGAAACATCACATTTGGCGCGTAATGTGGAGAATTCAGACGCATCCGCTACATCTTCAGCAGGACACCAGATTGCATCCTTCAGCCGCTGCAATTCTTTACAACGGTAAATTCAGGAAAATTGAAGATTAATCGCGCGAGTGAAATTAAAATGCTGAGAAGATACTTATCGCGCACTCCTCATCACTTGTGCATATATTTATATTCAAAATATATATGTAAATACGAACATGTATACGTGTATATATATATGTATAGCATTCTTAGGTCAAGTGGCATCAACATTACTTTGAATTTAAGCGAGACTTAAATATGTGTCTATCTTTGTCTCTCTTTCTACATAAATAAAGGCAGACACATATTTGTTGCAATTGAGCCTCAGATATATTTTAGAAAAGTGATATGCATAAGGACAAATGCAAAATATCTATTCTGACGCGATATATTAGATTATTAAAATAATTATGTCGCCTTTTCGTAATCGAGTCCGAATTGACAATCTCAATTAAATAATTCTTGATTTCGTTACAGATTTTTTTAAAATAATGACTAACAATAAAAATATCTGTAGATGAATGGTAATAAAGAAAAAGATGAAGAGAAATGAAAATTTATGCGTCGAATGAGAATGAGAAGGCAAATGTGCTGGAGGAAGCTGACAACCATCGCTCTTTTCTCTTTTTTTCTCTCAACAACTCGACCTCGAGATTCGAGTACTTTGGAGCTTGGTGCATGCGTGTTTCGTTTTTCTGTTCATAGAGAGGTTCAGCCTCCTACAACGAACTTGCTCGCTGATTGGATCGACGGCTGGAGCCGGCAGCTCGGGGGCGGTCGGAGGCGGACAGGTCCAGCTCTGGCAATTCCTGCTGGAACTACTCTCGGATACGTCCAACGCGTCCTGTATCGCGTGGGAGGGCTCGAACGGGGAATTTAAGCTCACCGATCCGGACGAAGTCGCGCGTCGATGGGGCGAGCGCAAGAGCAAGCCGAATATGAATTACGATAAACTGTCACGCGCGTTAAGGTAATTCGATAAGCGAGTATCGTATGTTCGCCGATTTACATAACGACGGAGAATCGTGTGCGCAATCATTGTTTGCTTCTCCTTCACTCTTTCTAGATCTAGATTTTTATCTTTTCATCACATACATCATACAAATCCTTCATGTAGACTTGTAAATTTAAAATATATTGAAATGCCATACATGTAGCACACATTGTTAAGAGAAAACAATGCATTATTTTGCAGATATTATTACGACAAGAATATAATGACGAAAGTTCACGGTAAACGTTACGCTTACAAGTTCGATTTTCATGGTTTGATGATGGCTTGTCAGTCACAAGCCGGCATTATGACGTTGGAGGCATCAACATCGTCGCGTTTGACAAACAGCAACTGTCATCCTCATCACCAAGCTCATCGTACTCATCGCTTATATCCAGTGGGGCCGTCGCCTGCTCAACACTCTGTACAATCCTCGTCCTTACAATCGGGATCAACACCGTCCACGCAACAACTACCGCCGCCACCACCAGCACCACCGCCACCGCAACCACCACCACCACCACCGCCACCCCCGTCATCGCTACCACATTATTGTTGGCCGTATCACCGATGTTCGCCTCCGACATAACATAGTCTGCAATCGCTAGGCATGTGCAGTTACTTTGACTGACTATTAGTGTCAATTTCAATGGACGATGATTCGCGCTCATTCCATTTATTTCATCCGTCTCTCTTTTTTTTGATCATAGATTGATCATAGATTGCAATATATCATTGATATTTGAATAGATAGACGGAGCATTATCTATCGATTAAGACGAAGAGGGAGGCTTTGATATTCGCGGGGAGACTCTATGAACTTCGGTTAAATTCGGTTATTCCCGATAATGATTGGTTAATAATTCATTGAAATCAAAGTTCAGCTCATATGTATTGTGCGAAGTTGTGTTGTGACTAATGTCATATTATTTTTAAATTTATATATATTATTTAATATTATTATATTTTCATATTATTTTTATATTTAGCGACATTAGCGATTTTCTCTAAATAAACACTGTTTAAACATTTCTGTGAAGATCTAGTTGAGAATCGATGATGTCAATTAAATCGTCATGTAATGTCAAATTGTGCCGAATATAGTCGAACGTTGATGGAATTAACCGAAATTCATGCACTCTCCCCTTACTGCATTTATCAGTTATCCCTCTCAATGCAATATATCATTGCCGACTTTTGAAATGAAAGAAACATTGTCAAAGTTTGTGACTTTTAAATGAAAAATTAAGTACATTAAAATGTTGCACAGCAAATCTCTTGTTTTATTTCAAAATCGGCAATATGTGTATGAGTGTATTGCAATCTATGTTCAAATGATTTAATAGCTTTTTTTATATCAAGTAATTTATAGCAAACAATTTATTATTTATATTTATATTTTTCACTTAAAAATCCTAAAACTTTCCTGGATGAATTATACATAATAACAATTTTAATGATATTGAAACCATAATAATTTCATAAACGCGAGTGCAAAATATTTTTAATTTTTAAATGTTGCAAAAGTATAAAATATATCCTATTACTGTTTCATGACTTACCAAATATATGGCTAATTGGATTTATTAATTATAATACTTTAATAGAAGCGTATTCGCAAATGTATATTTTGTAAACACGACTTTCTATCCAGTAAATATATAATATATAATGTAGAAATAATATTTACTAGTATGTATATATAAACCAATCTAAAAATGAACACTTTTATTAACATGCTGTAATTATTAATTATTTAATTGTATTTTTTAATCTGAGTAAAAACTACATTTTTCTTTATATCAATTAAATTCTCGTGATTTACATTATATTCTTAAATAATATTTTAATGGCTAATATATTACTATTGTCGGCAAGATATTAAATATATTAATTAATCTTGCATTGTCTTGTTATATTTTATCATACGATATACATGTCAAATTTTTTTACCAATCGTCGATAACAATGTGTTGCAATTATATATATATATATATGTTCATAGATGTCCTTCTATGCCAACATATTGACCGATCGATAAAAGCGTCACCATCGAAATGATGCGGTGAACGACGCATGCTCAAAATTCAACGCATGAAATTCCTCTTCTCTTCCTTGGGAAAGGTAAATGTATCCACGCTGAGTATTAACGCGATTAAAATCCATTTATTGTGACAAGATCGTTATACACTTTGCATTAAAAGACATGAAAATGTGATCTTTGGAGTAAAAATAATAATATTCTGTAATTATTTCTAGGTCCTCGGCTTCTTAAAACATGTCTGATGTGGAAAAGTAAGTGTATTTTAGAATGTTCACAATACCGCTTATTTATTTTTTATTGTGTTGGGATTAATTTTAATAAATTAATAAGTTCACGGATATATAGAAATATATAAACTTGTGAGAAGCATTCGATATAAGAATTCAGCAAATAGTAAATATAAATACATTTTGCACCTATATGTAATGATGGATAGTATAGGTTAAGTTGCATGGAAATACTTGTATATACAAGTTTCAAAGAAATTTATAATTTATAGTTTTAATGAATTATAAATTCAATATTCATTATTTTAAAAAAATGTACCTTTAAATTTTAGTAAAAGAAATTGATACGATTGATTTTTTACTTTGAAATAAACTTTAAGTTAATTTAAGTTTGATTTATAAAAAATTTTATCACTAATATATTTAATGTTAAAAGTTCTTTGCAAAAAATAATTAATTAAAATAATTTTCACTATTAAAAATTATAAGTATATAAAAATTGTTCCTAAAATATTCTATATTTTTGAAAGAGTTATTGTAATTAAAAGAACGTGGTTAGTGTATGATAGGAGATAATAAATCAATTTAATATACAAATAAATTAACTAAAATAATAGTATTCTTACTTACTATCTTTAACAAAATTATTTTTTTTTTACAGCGATGATGTGCCATCTGCGATGGCAGCAGGTGGCAGTATGGATGTTAATACTGCACTACAAGAAGTATTGAAAAACTCTCTCATTCATGATGGTGTTGTACATGGTCTTCATGAAGCTGCCAAGGCATTAGACAAGTAAGATTCAAAAGAAAAATATATAATTTTAATAAACTGTTTTTTTTCTTTAGACAAATTTAATTGTTTAATATATTTTAATATGCCTTTCTGTTAATGCATAAAACAATATTACAATAAGTTATATAATATTAAATATCATTAGTAAATTAGTAAATGTTTTATATTGCAGAAGACAAGCCATGCTTTGTATCTTGGCTGATAATTGTGATGAACCAATGTACAAAAAATTGGTTCAAGCATTATGCAATGAGCATCAAATTCCACTGATAAAGGTAGACAATAACAAAAAGTTAGGAGAATGGGCTGGATTATGTAAAATTGATAGTGCAGGCAAAGCTCGTAAGGTAGTCGGTTGCTCGTGTGTCGTCATAAAGGTAAGTTATTGTTAAAAATTTCATTTTATTTATTTTTTTTTATTAAATGTGTAATATAATCGTGACACTTAAAAGTGCATATTAAAAAGAGAAACTATAAAAATATGATGATATGTTTGGCTCCCTCTACTGAGCAGAACCCGTATAATAAACAGACCATGCTGTGCATACGCCATACTGATATATCTTTATTACACTTTTTTCTATTATATTATATTGTTACTCCATTATCAAATATACAAATATTACTCGCAGGATTTTGGAGAAGACACACCAGCAAAGGATGTCCTAATGGAATATCTGAAACAAAGTGCTGTACATTAAAAATCTTTTAATAAAATATTTGACACAAATTAATACAAATATGATATATTTGTTTCTGAAATTTTAATATCTTTAATCTTAATAATTTTATTAAGATATGTGCATATATAATCATGAGTAAAAAAAGCTAGAATTTTTGATAAGTTTTGAAATGTGCAAAAAGTTATTAAGTTCATAAAAAAAACGTAAATACAATCTTTATGTTTACAACTATAAAATAAGATGCTGAGATTGAAAAAAAAGCAGTAATACATAGTCAAATATGTGTATTGATGAATACACATTCTTAATCTATCAATGATCCAATCATTATTATTTAGCTTTTCTTACAAATCTTCTTATGTTCTTCCCAATCTTTTATTTGACATTGTCTGCAAAAAGAATTAAGATTGTCATTTTTAAACGCATGTTTTGGGAAATATATCTTCAGAGCATTTCCTCGACATACCTACTACAATACCAGACTTCTTTACATTTAGAGCATCGTTTCTTAGACACTTCTTGACATAATGAACATCTTTTCAACTCTATGCGATCTAATTTTTCCAAATCATAGCCATCACTTAAAATTTGCGCAGCATCTTTAATATAGTTTTTATCTGTTGTAAATAGATATTTAGACTGATGTCTAGCCAATTTTTTCCATTTTTTATGATACTTTTCCAAAATCGACGATTTTATCTATATAATATTTTGTACATTTATAATTTTTTGTGTGATATATTATTAATTGTTAATCGAAACAAAAAAATAACATAAAGATAAAAGAGAATGATGTTATACCTGTGGTATTACTTCAACGTGAATCGCGCAATTTGCATTAGAAGATGGCATTGCAGTTATATTTAAATAAGATAACCATCTCTTAAGCTCTATTAAAGGAGCGATTTGATCTAGTAATTCTTCATGTAAATATTTCTGTAACTGAAGTGTAAAGAATCCTATTTCAAATTATGTATTATATGCATTGGTGATAAATGGATAAAATTAATACCTTAGATAGCTGAGACAACCTATGCTCTGTAATCTCATAATATGGAGAGCACTTTGGATTGAGAAGTAATTCTCTCAGACCAAACCATACTTGGCCTTCTCTCTTATTAATTTTTCCCACTTCATTTGCTTTAACTTTTTTCCAGCTGGCATCATACATTAGCGTTTCACCTGTATAAAGATTAATGTTAATATTTTAATAACATTTCAAATATTTTGATTATTCTTACTAACGTGTAATCGTGTATGTTGTAATCTCATAGAAACAGAAGAAATATTACCATCCTCGTCTTGCTTCTTCCACGGTTGAGTTTCTATTAATTGCACAAATAAGTAAGGAATATCGTGTGTGGTTAGCATACGCGAAACAGCACAAAGAGGTAAGCTGTCCAAAAATTCTATTAAATAGTAAAGAATGGAGATACATCGCATTCCAATGTCAAATTCAAATACCTTCAGTTTCTCCAATATTTCTTCAAGACAAGAGCTGCCGATAAAAAAATATGCGATATTAATAATAGAATTCTATACACATTTAATAAAAAATTTTATATATATTATATATTTTGATACTTTACTTGGGATCTTTGATTTCGAATCTTTCATAGATCTCGACGGTTTTCTCATCGAAAAGTACTCTTACATGCTCGACAGCATAATCGATAAGATCAATCACCATATCATCTATCGTTTCCGCGCTTTCGCAGTGAAATAATATATTCTCTAATAACGAAATTACGATGATTTCATGATAAAGTACGCTAAACATCATAAACGTGTTTTGCGGTTCGCCATTGAGATCAATTAAAAGCGGGAACGCTTTATGTTTCCAAATATCGATTTGTATAGCTTCGTATATGAGAATAGGAACCTAAAATGGAGCGATTTATGATTTATATTAATTGATATTAATTGATATTGCTAACAAAAATTGCGTCTAATTCATATATTTATGCTGTTATCGCTTGTAGCTTACTTTTTTTAACGAGATAAACCATTCCATAACACTTTCTTCGCGCAATCCTGTTATCTCGAGTACACTTTGCTGGTTTAATAATGTCAGTTTCTTATGGAAATCCAACCAGCTAAAATATATTTCTGCGTCTTTATATCAATTTCTAAACATGTAATACTAAGTAATTATAAGAAACATATAAAAATGTATACTTTTTTGTGCCGATGTCATCCAAGATCGAAACGTTCAAACTTTGCACGTAAGCTTCGATTTCCCATGGCGGTACTATATATTCCATATGATCTGCCATACTTTCCAAAACTCTTTTAGAATTGTTTCGAATAACCCTTATAATCTAAGATTGCCATTTACTGTGATAAATAAATCTAAAATACTCTGTATCCCTGACGACAAGTGTGTATATTTAATCGATAAATGCACACTATTCATGTATTTAAATAAATACAGATATTATGAAAAATGTAAATTTTTAATCTAGATTTCATTTAAATAATCTAAATTTAAAAATTTGTATAAATACTATCTGTATAAATAATTATATATATTTCATAATTTTGCAATTTTATTATCTCGCTTCTCGTGTTATTGATCATTTTATTTATAATTCGCAATTATAATATAGAATTCTATCTTTAAATCTATCGAAAATTTGAATTCGCGCTTAGCAGAGATTTTAATTTTATTTAGAGCAAAGAGATTCGCATGGAATCCATTCTCAACAAAGATTCAAAAAGTCCGCTTGTTAGCGGAGATTCAAACCCATTTAGTGAAGATTCAAACCTGCCTAAGGGAAATTCGAACTTATCAACCGGGGACTTCAAAGAATGCACGTTGACCTGTCATAATCGCTGTCATAACCTATGCGTGTTCAAACTTTAAAAGTAATAGGGTATAATAAAATGTATAAATGTGCCGTATAACTTATTAGAATTGGATTTGGATTTTGCTAGCAGAGGAGGAGAAACCAAATAAAATAAGATTTTTATATAAGGGGTAAAGAGTAAGATTTATGGCGAAGACTGGCGAAGACGTTGCGATTAGATAACACTCGCCTGTATTAATTAAGGCAATATGCCTCGCACAAAAGTAGCATGGCAATAGCACAATTTGACAGGATGGGTGCCGTCCTTGTGCGTCCTGCAAATCGCCCGACAAACTTATAGCGGGATGGCGAAGGTGAGGGAAAGCAGGGTTAGCTTGGTAACTGATCCCTGCCCCATCAAACCTCGTAAGATCGGCCCGCAGAACGTGGTGATTCGTCTGAGACAGAGGGAGACGATAGGCTGCCCCTTTCCGGGCACGCATGTACATAGCGCGAGGCAGTTCTATCAAAATGTCTTTCCCAACTTTACCGTGATGAACGTGGAGAAACCGCCGTGTTTCCTCCGTAAGTTCAGCCCGGACGGGAAGTACTTAGTGGCGTTTAGCGCGGATCAAATGTCTATCGAGGTATACCAATATTGCGGGGCCTCGGCTGCCGCGGACTTGTTGGCCGATTGTGAAGGCGAATATATCGGCAACAAGAACGACGACTGTAGCTTTCACATACGAAATAATATCTTCACACGATTCTTCAAGGTACTTACGCTGTACTAATCCACCTTGGTGTATACGTCTGTATTTGCAGATTATAAAGATTAAGAAAAAAAAAAAGAAAGAACCGCTGAAATTGGTGTACCAGCATAAGCATATTTGTAGGTAAAATGGATTATAAATGTAGTACAAAGCAACCAACAATTGAACAGAGAATGCAGTCTTTTCACAGACGACGCGCGGTATGTGATTGTGGGTTCAGCTGCTCATATCCCTGACGAATTGAGACCACATTTTTATCAGGTAATCATAACGAGCAACAGTTTTTACTTTGCAATAAAGAAAAACTTTTTAAATTTAATATAAATTTTATTCCTTCAAGATTTACTCCAATAACGAGGCGTTGACTCCGAATCCTCGGTCTCCACTTGAAGATTATAGCTTGCACCTTGTCGATTTACGTGGTGGAAAGTTATGTGACACTAGACATTTTCAAGTTGACAAAATTTATTTGTCGCATAATCAAGGTATTATATCAATTGATATCTCGACAGATTTTTGTGATTAATTACATGTTTGTAATTATAAAAGAATATAAAGAAAATCAAAGTTTTCTTGTCATGATAATATTCATAATATTTATTGCTTTTTTATATTAAATTAAAGATGCTTAACAAATGTCATTTAAATGATTAAAATTATGTTAAACTTTTAGAATAAATCTTTTTCTTTTTCTATATGTAGGTCTTTATTTATACAAAGATATATTAGCAGTCTTATCGGTGCAACATCAAACTATACATATCTTTCAAATCCTGGATGGCATGTTTATAAATGTCAGGACGATAGGAAGGTATTAAGTGTAAATATATTAGCCAAAATTATAATTTATATTATAAATATTTTAAATTATAAATAATTTATAATGTAATATATGATAACATATATAAATAGATGATGTTCTGATAATATAAATGATTTGTTTTAAGGTTTTGTATGGAAGATGATGCATATTTAGTTACAAGCGCTTTTCCTGGAATCAATTGCAGACCATTTAAAGACATTGCGATAAATAGTCTTAAACATAGGTTATTAGTATATTTATACAAACGAGCAAAATATATCAGCAACGAAACAAAAGATCCATATGAATTGAGAAGATTTTATCAATATTTTGACCAGGTATTATATTCACAAAAAAATGTTTTTATATTATTTTAAAAGTTTATCGTTAATCAGTAATTATCAAGTAATTAATTGAATAAAATATTCTAGCTAAATGCACTACGTATGTGGAAAATGCAATTGTTGGATACAAATCATATCTTGGTAAGATATGCGAGCGAAGAAGTAGCGACTCTGCAAGCAAACGAACCAAATGCACAGCCTGCGCTATTGGTAGTTTATGACATGGTTACGGCAAAGATTTTGGCGGCATATGACAATGCATCGACTCAACTATTAACTCTATTTGAAAATTTTAGTGATTTTTTCAGAAATGCCAGGATGAGCACGGATTGCCAATATATGTGTTCGCCATCTAATAATATATATGCCAGGTACAACATCCTTGGATATCTTATAAATCAATGTATATATACGTGCGTACAGATATACATGTATTAGATATACAGATATACATGTATACATGTATTGTTTAAAATTATTTAACTATGTTTCCTCTTTTCAGATTGTTACAACAAAGGTTCAAACAAACGATAATAAGCGCTAGATACGGTGGTATTACCGAAGCCACGAAAAGGCTACTCGCTCAATTGCCAATATGCGCTCAGTCTTACTCCAGTTCTCCGTATCTCGATTTGTCATTATTTTGCTACGATGATAAATGGGTGTCTATGATGGAACGCCCTAAAGCATGCGGAGAACATCCAATACGGTACAAACATTTTTTTACGACTCATTTTTAATATTTCCGCGATAGACAATTATTAATAAAATTATCTGATTGTGCTGTGACTTGTTCTTTCTTTTTTATAGCTTCTATGCCCGCGATTCGGGTCTCTTAAAATTTAGAATGTATGCCGGTATGTTAGGACGTACAACACCAACGGCCGCAAGACGATTGGTCGCATTCACGTTCCATCCGACAGATCCGTTCGCAATTTCAGTCCAACGTTCTAATGCAGATTATATCGTCAGTTTTCATGTCAGGCATATTTGAAGCATTTCTTTTCTTTGACATGTGTACATTTGGATGTAATGTCAATAAGATTTTTCATTCATAATATGAAAAGAAAGACAAGAAAAGAGATTGTTGTTGCTAAAGTACAAAACAGATCATATATTTCAAATAAAAATATTATCACAACCATGTGATTATCAGAGTCCGGATCTTGGTGCCGTTTTCTCCACTCCAAGTACATGCTGGCGGCCGAGCGCCGCGAAAAGCAATACCGTCTATGCCGGTCTAGTAATGGTAGCAACCACACAGCATGCATGTCCAAAAGATGTCCAGAAGGTATCCAGAAGATATCTTTGGGCGATTAGACATCTTCAGGATGTCTTGTTAATGTCTTTTGAACACAATAGAAGTCTTTTGAACAAATAAGATGCTATATGGAAAAGAGGGCACCGTCCCGTAGAAAAAGAAAATATAATAATTTATTATTTTATATTTTATATTATTTATATATATATATACAATATATATATATATATATATATATATATATATATTATTTTATCATATTATTTTGTATATTATGTATAATATAAACATATTATACATAAATTTAAATAAACATATATTTGTAGAAAAAGAAAATTAATAATTTATTATTTTATATTTTATATAATATATATATTATTTTATCATATTATTTTGTATATTATAATATAAACATATTGTACATAAACTTAAACATATTATACATAAATTTAAATAAACATATATTCTATGTTAATATATATATATTTTTTTTTTCTACGCGATGGTGCCCTTTTTGCTATCATCACCTAGACCAGCATAAACGGTACTTTTCGCGGCGCTCGACATGCTAGCGGCATCCACTTGGAGTTGAGAAAACGGTACCAAGATCCGAACTCTGGTGATTATACAAAGCTGCATTGGATTCAAAGACTTTGCTATTTACGGCTAGCATGTAAGATGTATAATGCAATGTGTATAATATACACCTAATTTTAATACAATTAGGAATTGAAAGTTTGGAACTATAAAAGATGTGAAGTATGTTTTGTAAAATTAATTCTACAACTATAAAAAAATCGTACTATTATTCTTAAAAAGAAATAAGAAATATTCTTATCTTTTCAAAAAATGAGAAAGACATATAGAAATTACAGGCGAAAGAATCTATTATATTAATAATATCGTTTAAAATATTTCCAAGTTAGATAAAAAATAAAAACATTAATGAAAATGTTAATGAGTAATATCTTTGAATTTCCTGAAAAAAAGAGGAGCTGAAACTTTGATTAAAAGAAATTATGCAAAACTTAAAAGTATAAATTTCTAATTGGCCGTTCGCGTTGAATCTTTTCGAATAAAATGCAATTCTTGTTCAACATATTTTAATATTCTCTTCCTTACATTTACTAAAAAATATTTTACACGATTTATATTTTCTTCCTTCGAAAGATCAAAATAGATAAAATTGAATAGCGATTAGAAAAAAGAAATACCTACAAGATTTTAAATTTTGCTATGCATGTGCAATCCGCTGTCACAATTCCTTACACATTCCCATTTAAAAATTATACAGATAAAAATTTTAAATATGAGATATTCTACAAATTAATATAAGTTTGATAAATATATTGCAAGAGATAATAATTCATGACGCATTTAAAGGAATAATAATCTTCAAATATTAGGAAAAGAATTTGAAACAGAGCAGGGCAAGAAATAATTCGCGAAAGCATTTATTTTCCATCTATTTTCGTTTTTGTGTATATTTCTCTTTAATTTTACACATATTCTTGTAATAAACAAAAAATAATCAATTATGATACATTTCTTGATATATACACATATGGTGCAATATTGTTTTATACGACAAAGTAAATTGTACATCGATTGTATGTTGCCGCGAGTGAAAAAATGCGTTTTCTATTTATTTCTATCTATTTCTTAACATCGTGAAAAACTTTTATCGTAAAAAAATTACATAAAGAAAGAAATAGAGCATCCACAGTACTATCTATATCTGCATGTGCGAAAAATCGAGAAATTAATCGGGATGTTTGAGATATAAACGTCAAATAATATGTTTTATCTAATACGGAAGAATATTACTCTCTAAAATTCTGCGTTTGACTAAGGATTAAATTAGCGCGAACGTTCTATCGGGCTTCAGATGATTCATCGATTCTTCGTCGCCTCGGTCGTTTTGCATCGCCATTTTTTCGACCAATGCAGGATTTGCCTGCATCATTCGAAATAACATTTCCGCGGACACGCTGTAATCGAGATACTTTATGTTAATACAGGCTTACGAGCATTATAATTAATTGTAATCATTTACTCGAGAATTAATGACACACAAAATTTCTCGAATGTTTTTTTCAATATATTACATTCTTTGCGTTTAAATTCGGTGTCACTCGTAGTAATTTTACAATAATTTACGTAATAAAATAACATATAAATAATCTTAAAAAATTATCAAATAAGATAATTTTTAATTAATTTTTTAATTATTATTTGAGCTAATTTATATTGTAATAAATTACATCATAAAAAGTTGTAGTTGCATAATGCAAAAGTATTAGTTTTCGCATAATTTGCGCTAAAAGTTACAAAATTATTTTCAAGAAAATTGTTAGTAAGTGGAATTGAGATCTCACATTTTACTCGAGATGTTGTCTACTACTTATATTTTATTAGACTCAGGCTTGGTTGCACCAACATTATTTTAACTTTAAGTGAAACTTAAATATATGTATGTCTTTATTTAGAAAAAAAGATAAAGATAGACATATATTTCAATCTCGCTTAAAGTTGAAATAACGTTGGTGCAATCGAGTCTCACAGAGCCCGGAGCTTACTTACCCACGCGGGAAATTTCTCAGAACGGGCAACAGAATCCTCTCGCGCCCACGAAGATCCGGGATCCTTTCTGCCGGACTTTCTCTCTTCCCGAACCCGATCGCTGTAGAGATGTATTCTGGTTTGAAGCCGCGGATTTCTCTCAGCTTCATTCGATGTTTAAAGAAACGAGGATAATTGCGTCCCTTTGATGCCGTTGCGATGAAGGACCCCGCCACGAAGAGCAACGTGATCGCTAATATCACTCGCATGATTTCCTGGCGCAAAAAGAAAGATTCATCAGACGCAATAATGAAAATGTTTATCGACAATATAATTACGCATATTGCTTAAGGACGATTCTTTCGCTTTCGGAAGCCTGTATGTATCGTCGTTGATGTTTATTATAATTAATTGACCGATACACATGGCTCACAATATAAACTTCTTACGAGATTTCACGAGACATTGAAGCATTTAAATCGATCTGCGCAGACAATTGTATTGCACAGATATAATTTATACTTACATGCAATATGAGATAGAAATTTATTTTATTAAAATATAATAAAATAATATAATTTTATATAAATATATAAATATTATAATATTTATATATTTTGAATCTAATTTCTAAAGGAAGCAAATTCTGTTAGTATTAGTAGCGAAGTGACAACTTCTATTTTCGCTTTCAATATTATAAATAAAAATACTCGAAAATTTATATACATATAAATTATTTATAATAAAAATATTATATATTTTTTGTAACTTTGGATTAAAATATTTTTAAATTTTCACAAAAAATATTTTTTATTCATTTTATAATATATTTTTTTAAATATAATTTTCAAAATAATGATTTAAATCGATTAGAGAGAGAGACACTTGCTCTTAAACAAATTCAATTATTTTAATAAATTTAAAATATAAAGAGATGTCATCGAATGCGGCATATTGTGTGTTGTGTGTCCCACGTAACAAAAAATAAAAGTCTAAAAAAACCAATGTTTCTAATCATATTTGTATATTTTTTTCAGGTAATCGAGATGAATTTTTGTGATACGCGCTGATCAAAGATCGCGCGCGAGACCAGAGATTTTTCGAATATTTTTCGATAGGAAGAACGTCGACTTGATCCACGTACGCATACGAGCTGAGAACTGGGCTCAGACACGATTTCGCGTCGTTTTGTACGCGTATGCGAAGCCGCCGACATCGGCGTCACGACCGCCGGCGGCGTTGTCATCCCCGTCGTCGCCCCCATTGTCACTGGACCGTATTTTTCTTTAATTTCTTAAAGTTCCTGACCGATCGATATTTTATGGTCCCATTGAAATTCCTGTTGATGAAATAGCCGCAATTGCGGACGCGCGGATGGCTCTTAGAATGCAAAAGGGTATTTGAAAGCGTATACATTCTTGGGAATGGAGGATATAAAGAGACGCCGAAACCGCCGTCGCCGCTATTGCCGCCATGTATATCGCCTTCGTCATCTAGCCGCCGATGCGTATGCGAAATTTCCCCGCAATACGATAGTATACGCAGTGGGCGATGTTTCCCCTAAGGACATCATTTCGTAATGATACATGCCACGCCTACGCTTTTATCTAATTTACATTGTAAGCTCTGTGCATTTCTTCAAATGTATACATTAGATTTGACCGATAAATTAAAACAGAGTAGAAGACATTAAAATTAAATTAAATACAAATTAATTTTCTAAATGGCTAAATTAAAGCTTCAATTTGCAAATTAGCAGGAAGGTGGAAAAACGTGAATGACAAGAAAATAATAAGAAAAAAATTACGCAATTATTTTTTTTTATTCATTATATGAAATGCATATATAACGTCTATATAAGAATATAATAGTACAAGATAAATTTATATAATACACGATATTAGATTACAATTTTCATATCAGTTGCATCATTTTGTCATTTTAATTAGAGAATGATCTAATACGACGACAGGTATCTCCTTAAGAATCAGAGAACGTGGAATGCCAGAATATTTCACGAAAAGCTCCAAAAAATGGATATTGGCAATTGCTTCAGTTTCTATATCACTTCCTGCTTTTGTGCTAAAAGATAAAATATTTTTATTAATATTATTACATCCGTATCGAGATTGATAAAGTTATTCTTACCTTTCCATGGTAACAAATGATAGGATATACATACAAAGATATTTTACATAACGATTTATTACAGAAACGTGAAATTGACAAAGAATTGTTTGTATTCCTATCGCAAATACTACAGCGTCAATGGGATCTTGATATTTCTTACTTAAAAGACTTGCTGCAATAAATAAATAAAATATATATATATATATATATATATATATATATATATAAATGTTTAATTATAATATATAATTTTATTATAGAATATCTAATAATATATATATTGTCGAATTAATGTATAATAAAAAATGATAAATTTACCTGTATTTTTACAGTAATATAATTTATTCAATTGCGATGCTGTAAACAAGAAGATAATAAGAGCTATATTATCTATTTTTGGTGATTTGATATAAACTTTATTATGCGGATCACTGATGCCAGCCCAGTCCAATCGCACACTCAGTTCGTGAAGCAATTCGCTTTTTTCTGGTTCAGTTTTATTATTGCTATCTTTTCTCGCTATTTCGCACAAGACGGCTCTGTAAAGAATAACGATTGTAAAAAAAGAAGTAAAATTGAATTAGTCTTTTTTACATACGCATTTAATGTTTGAAGTGCCGCTTCCATATGTTTTGCTTCAAATTTGCAAGCGGTATTTAGCTCGTAAGCAATTTTTTTCCTAAGCAATTGATAGTGACCTATTTTCAATGTCCATTCAAGCGCCGGTAACCATAATTTATTATTGCTTATAGTATTGTGAAGTTTTGTAATGTTACCTAAGGTATATATATATAGTTAAAGTTTACTAAATAATATTCATTAGTTATTTTTCTCATACATCTCAAATTTTTACCCTTGGCACTGTCTAAAGAACTCAGAGTAGCTTCACAATCTTCCAACAGAGACATCCACGTTTTGTTCCGTAAACTCTTTTCTATATAATGAACCAAACTTTCTAGTTCCACGACAATAAAGAAAGAAATAAGTTTATCCAGTCCTGATAATCCCGGCGTACCTATCGTTTCTAATATCACAGAGAAGACTTTGTAATTTAAAACTTCAATTTGTGTTTTAATATCGTACCATGCTAGAGAATGTTCTATATACACAGTGGTTCTAAAAAAATATAAAAGGATTAAAAAGGCAATAATTATTTAATATAAGCATGAAATCTAAATAAATATAACATTATACCGGGGTTCGGTAATACGGATGATCTCCCTAGCGAGTCTACCCATGAAGGTCAAGGAATTATTATCTGTTGAAAATGCATGTTTATCTTCTTGAAACTGTCTCCATGATTTTCCTAATACCGAGGAGGAGCCTCTACGTTCTTCTTCAACCGCGTTATTTATAATATATGTAATCTAAAATTTGTATTATATACATATATGTATATACAGGGTGTCTGGAAAATCGCTCGCAGTAATTCGGGAAGTGATTCGGGACCCAAAAAGAAGGAAAAAAGACTATATCATAGGTCCGAAAATAAGTCGTTTCCGAGTTATAACCACTTTTATGTTTAAAAAATCGTAATTTACAGTCCGCTTAGCATTCCTCTTTTTTAAAGTTTTTTTAAATTTAAATTTTTTTAATTTGAATTTAAATTTAAATTCAAATTTAAAAATTTAAATTTAAATTTGAAAATTTGAATTTAAATTTAAAAATTTGAATTTAAATTTAAAAATTTGAATTTAAATTTTTAAATTTCAAATTTAAATTTGAATTTTTAAATTTGAATTTAAATTTAAATTCAAATTTTCAAATTTCAAATTTAAATTTGAATTTTTAAATTCAAATTTTTAAAATTTAAATTTAAATTCAAATTTAAAAATTCAAATTTAAATTCAAATTTAAAAATTTAAATTTAAATTTGAAATTTAAAAATTTAAATTCAAATTTTTAAATTTAAATTTAAATTTTTAAATTTAAATTCAAATTTTCAAATTTAAATTTGAATTTTTAAATTTGAATTTAAATTTTTAAATTTGAATTTAAATTTAAATTCAAATTTAAAAAATTTAAATTTAAAAAAACTTTAAAAAAGAGGAATGCTAAGCAGACTATAAATTACGATTTTTTTAACATAAAAGTGGTTATAACTCGGAAACGACTTATTTTCGGACCTATGATATAGTCTTTTTTCCTTCTTTTTCCCGAATCACTTCCCGAAGTACTGCGAGCGATTTTCCGGACATCCTGTACACACACACACACACACACAAAATAAAAAATTTATACGAGTGTGTGTGTACATATGCATATGTAAAAATTTATTATGTGTTCAAGTTATTATATATTAAAATTATATATAATATTCTTACTTCTTCATGCCATATTTTTAAGCTATTTATGTTAATATAATCCTGAATATATTGAAAAGATTTTCTGTATCCGTCCATAATTGAGGATAAATTATGTAATTTTTGTAAAAGAGATGCCTAGAAAAAAATATTTGGCAAGTTTATAATATTATAAATTAAATTTTTTTTTATTTATTAAAATTTACCTTGGATTTTTGATCAAAATTGAGACCATTGTGTAAAGCTAAAGTGACCTTTTTAACAAGTTCTTGACGTATACCATCCTCTAAGAGACGATGCGAATCGACCCTCAAAACTCCCAAAGAAACACTTCTCAGTGATAAAACGCCGTTTGTAAAAACTGACACAGCGTATGTTAATTTTGCCATCTATAAAAATATTAGCACGTGTATTTGTTTCTAAATTAAGGAGACTCATTAATCAAATATACTTGTAATCTCTCTGCCAATTGTGCATAATCCTTGAGTTTATCTTTGGGTAGTTTAGTTGGAATTTCTTTAAATGCATTCGTTTCAAGATGTACTATCTCTGCTAATAAGCCAAACACAGTTTCAGGTATAATTTGCAAAACACGTCTAGCATATCCTTCGAGTTCTCGGCTATAATATTGGGACACCGAAGATAAATCTGCACTTCGTGCTTGGTTTACTCTAAGTAACGGAGTTTCCAATGCCGATGCCATCTAAAATAATATAATATATAAATTTGTACATATAAGTATAAATTTGTATATATAAGTATAAATTTGTATATATAAGTATAAATTTGTATATATATATATATATATATATATATATATATATATATATATATTTCCCCTATAATTTTTAATAGTATATATTTACTTTCAGAAAGAGAGCTTTTAACTTGATGACAGTTGGTGGATTTTCCTTTATACTTTCTTGCATTACATCAATAAAGGATTCCATTATATTCCACGCATAACAACAATCTGTTACAATATTCAAACTTATCATGATATCTTCAGATATACTACCCGTACGCAACATATTGCGTAAAGTCTCGCGTGTATCGCCCAAATATTGCGAAATATGTAGATTATTTTCTAATTGATGAAATTCTGAAAACATAAATATATTATATTGACATACATTACATTTATATTGATCTCTTTGATAGATATATGTTAATTGAGCTTCTTTACCCTGAACTTGTTCTAATGCTTGCAATAATTGTACTATCTTCCTCCCATCTTCTTGTTTTAATGAATCAATATGTTTACTTATTTCCATAAACCATGTATAAAGATTCTGATTTTTATCAATACCATCTAGAGGTTTAGCACCTCCAAAAATTTGTACAAGATCAGTTATACGTTCAACGCATATTCCTTTATCTTTCAACCACTTGGCTTCTTTTCCAAGTAATAACTAATATATAAAATAAAAAATTTAATATTGTATTATATATAATTTATATTAATAATTAATTATATATAATTCTTAATTTGTATAAGCAATAAATATATAAGTTGACAAATGATGATGACAAATAATTTTAAACATACATCTTTATACATCTGTTTAACATCTTGTTCAATTTGGGCAGTGCTCAATAATAATCGAAGACACTTTACTGTGGTATATTTGCCCTCGGTTATAACCAACTGACGCAAAGTACGTGAACGTTTTGAATCTTCTAATGCTATAGTTGGTGTAGCTGTGTGCAAAAGAATCCAGTGTAATGTAACATTACACTCCCTTACTAACTTGACTAAAGAACCTGTTGCATTTTCATCCAATGTGCCTGCCAATTGTACTTCTTCAGTCTCTTGTAACAATTTCTGGAATATTTTTTCTATGAAGCAAATAAGAAGAGATTCTAAGAGACTAAACGAGAGAATATAAATCTATCCTTTTATAATCCTTTTATAATCCAGGAATATTGTATAAAATATCTTTTTAATATATAAAAGTATTGTAATGATTTTCATTACAATATAAAAAGAGACAAAAAAAAAAACAAATATATCATTAACTCTAAAAGAAAAATTGGCAAATTTTTATATTTTTTCACATAAAAGTTATTTTTACAATATATTACACATGTTTATTTCAAAATGTATAATCACTTTTAAACTTGTGAAATTTTTACTTACATCCATTCTCACTCCATATTTTTGCGCAATTCCCTTCATATTTGAATTCTCAAGTGTATTATTCAATGCTGTTCGTGCAGCTTTATATGGAGACCACCAATCACATAGATTAATCACTGTTCCCATATAAATACTAATTACCCAATTGTCAGGAAAGAATCTGTCCACTATTTCTCTCATAATGGCAGTTTGTGTATGTAATATAGTTGGTTTAAAAGACAAAATTATGACTAACATTGATGCTTGTGCAGCTACAGCGGTACTACGATGTTCTGGATGCGGAAAAGCAAGAGTCTGATTATAAATTTCGTCTGAACGCAGTCGACCAATAACAAGATCTATCAAAAAATCGCGCAAAGCTACTCTCCTGGAAAAATATGTATGTTCAATTGTAATCTGAAAAGATAATTTATTGTCTGTTCTTTTTATATTTATATATTATATATACTTGAAATATTCCTCAGGATAATTAGCTGGTCTTTTAGATAATGTCCTCACATATCCTGTCGAACGAAGAAGCATACAAACATCATCTACTCTAGTTGCAGAAGATCGCTGTGCGTTATATCGATGGTAAGACACAAGTAATCTTTCACGTATTCGACCTTCAAAATGGTAATCAACCAACAGCAACATGACACCATATAAATATACAGCTTCGCACTGCACAGAGATACAATTCTCTTATTTTAATATGTGCATACTAGATATGTTAATATTACAATTTACACAATGTTCTTTTGTGCCAAGTAAAAATTGTTGAGCATTCATAAATGCAAAAAAACATATACCATTAATTGTTTTCCTTCCTCATTGACCATAATAGATTCTATCGATTGATGTATATAAATGCCATCTCCCAACTCATCAATATAAAAATTTAGATCTGTGACATACTTATGTATACTTTCGAAAGCTAAATAAAATCTTGAAAGTATGTCTGAAAAATTATTTCGAAGTTCTTCATCAGTTTCTTGAAGTGTCTAGAAAAAAGTACAGATAATTTTATATTCATATATTTCTTTCTCTAACAATATATATGTAATATGATCTTATAGAAATATTATAGAAAGAATGCTAAGTATTTACCGGATCGTCCTCTATTTTTTGTTCGTAAACACTAGCTGCTTTGAAATATGCAAAATCGATTATGATCGATCCATATTTTTGCACCAATTGTTTCGAATCCAAGCTGATCCATGTAACAAGAAAATAATGTAACAATTATCGCACACGAATATATGTATAATATAGAAATTATTTAAAGGAATATTAATATAAAATTAATATATATCGACAATATATAATTAATTATGCGCTCGAGTTAATGAGTGATGTAATTAATATATTAATTATGTGCTGGAAAATGAAAAAATTATATTTACGATAAATAACTAACCTAAAGACCGGTGGCACGTAATCTTTCAGTCGCATTAATTCAGCTATGATAGCATTTCCACGAGATACCAATCGTAGTAAATTCTGCCCGCAAATATTATTAGTTGCCAAAAAGTCGCCCATTTTTTTAAGTAATTTCAATGACCATTCCTCATCGAAATACTTGTCAACTTTTGACAGGAGTAGTGTTAAGTTACGCTAGGTCGTTGTATATACAATTTAACATTTGACATATCATTATCGTCCGTCGATAATGATTACTCGCCGCTTTCCATTTTAACCGCAATATGTCAAAGGAGCGTTATATAAATGTTTTTTCCTTAGGAAAAAATAAAACTACTGGCTGTAAAACTGTCGCAAGTGATTTCAATAATCTTATTTAGTGATCGGAAAAAAATACAAGTCGATACAGGGAATTAATTACACAAGAGTTATGCGCAGTAGGTTTTGGAAAATGCGAAATCATATGAAACATTCGGTTTATTATAGATTTTCATCTCAACGATGCTTTGAAAATAGCTCTCGGATGTGATAGCGTGAATACGATTGTCTCCAATTTTCTCAGGATTTTTCTGTCAAATGTTGCGAATGCTGTAGTAATGAACTGTCACATTCCTTCCGCAAGATTTTACGAATAATTTGAAGCACTTGAGGGGAGAGACCGGGAGAACCTCTCTTGCTGGTTTAGAATTGCCGATCAATACCGATGAGAACTAAGGTTTCTCGGTATTAATTTCATCAATTCGACAACACCTGTCTATCCCTCTCGTCTCGTTAGAATGGAGGTAAGACTTTGTTGTATTGATAAGGAAGGATTAGAAGCATGCTCATGATTATTAATAAATAATTGATAAAAAATAAATAAACTTCGTCATAAAGCAAGTAATTTATAGATATTTAAAGTTAAGAGTAATCATTTGTAAATTAACTCTGAAAAATGAATATCTGAAGAAATGTCAATATATCTTTAAATATCTCCTTTATATTCGTTATAAAATAATATTCTTAGAGATAACTTAATTGCAATAATAAAATATTTTTATTCATCATTTATAGCCAGACACTAAAGTTCCTTTGCCATTAGAACCCATAAAATCAAATCAAGTTGAGGATAAGCGCTTATGGGTAGGCAATTTAGATTTAAGAATTAATGAGTAAGTATTTATATAAATTTGTAATACATATATATTTTTATTTCATAAAATTTAATAATATTTTTAAAATAAATTTGATATCTAAAAATATATGTTGAAGAATTGCATTATATATAATTTTGCATTATAGTAAAAGGAAAGCAATTTGTTCTATTTTATATTGAAGTATACACAAATTTGAAAAGAAAAACTAACTCTTTTTTCGTCAATCGGTACCAACTCCTGAAACTTGTCCAAAAATACGGCACAATCGAAAAGTTCGACCTGCTATTTCATCGGTCGGGGCCTCAAGCTGGTCAGCCAAGAGGATATGCATTTGTTACTTACAAAACAATCCAAGATGCCAAAACAGCAAAGGATGCTTTACATAATCTAAAAGTTGGAGCTAAGAACATTATTGTGAGATGGGCACATAGTGTTACTGAGGTATGATATAAAAATCATAGTTGTCATAATTGTTTAATATAAACTTTCTGTCTCAATTATTTATAACAATGCATTATAGTTTATTTTATGAAACACACCATATACACACACACATACATTAATTTATAAGTTTTATAATTTTAAATATTTCAAAATTATACAAGAGAAAATATGAAAATAAGTAGTAATATAGATCAATTTTTATTTAGTCGGACATGGAGAAACCAAAGCCAAAAATAGATATTCCTGCCTTAGCTGGTGCAAAGAAAGAAGATAAAAAAATAAGGTAACAGTTTTATACATTTCTTAAAATGATGATTAGGAATAGTTTTTTTATAATTAGAATCTCTACAAACATTATCATACAATTTATGTGCAGTCTTGAAACAGCAATCCAAGCTATTGAAGCAAAACTTAAATTGATGAAAGAATCAGAGGAGGAATTTGAGTTGAATAAACCGTTGGAAGGATCGCCAATTATACATCTATATCAGAAAGCGGAAAATCAAAAACCGTCCACCTCTACACGTTATCACAACCGTGGGAACTATTATCATCATAACAAACCATACAGTCGCCATAAACCAAGAAGATAATTTGTGTATAATCATATTTCATATTTATTAGAATATTTCATATTCTTTCATTTATCACACATACAATAAAACATTTTTTTTTTCATGACGATAATATTTATGTTATTTATAATAATCTACATTTTGTAATGTTATTTTTATTAAAGATTCTATTCTTTGCTGTATTTTAAAAAATTTTATATACATTTTGTGTTGTGCAATGCTGATAAGCAATGAAATATGATTCCTATGATAAATATGTGAATATTTTAAATTCCTATAAACAAATACTAGAAACATTACAACTAGAAATTCATGTTTGATAATACTTAATATATACATTGATGTATTTTCGTAATATGTGAAAATCTTTTTTATAATAAACGCATATTTGTGAGATGCTTTGTAACAAAATATTGAGATGTGCAAATTACTTTTACTATTCATGTTTTTTGGATAAATAATGATTTATATAACATCCAATTATTATAATACAATTATAATAAGAATTTTTAATAACTTTTAATAGCTTGTGTCTACTCTTTATTCTGTAATTTTTCTATTATATACTTTCCACGCATATGATGTGGTAAAGGTACTACACCAGGACATGGCACTTGTCCTGGGATATGACACATACAGCTTTTTTTGCATTTTACTCCAAAATTTGCTGGATTATCCTTCTCTTCCTTGGTTAAAGCTTCTTGTTTTAATGTTGCTTTTGATTTTCCTACTACTCTTACAAGATGCTGAAGTATTTCGTCCTTTGATTTACTATCTATATCTATTAACATTGTTTTTCCATCTTCTGTAAATTTATATTTTCTACATTGTAGAATACGTACTTTTGAATGCAACTATATAACTATTGTTATATTAAATATAAATCTTATTCATAAAGTAACAATATCACAAATCTTACCATAGTAGCATTTTATGAATGGCGACGGTGTCATATTTTTATAAGTAACTATTTGCACGGTTGGATTTTTATACTGCAGTTGCGATAAATGCCAAAATATAAAGTCTCTAAAAAGATTGAAATTATATTTATATTAAAAATCAAGAGAGATAGGTAATACAATATCATATCACACATAACCTGAAATCAAAAACCTTACCTTGCACCTCGATGATGATCACTATGTGTATTATAATTGATGGCTAATATCTGTATTTTATCCTTTAAAACCAACGGACCGGACATTAGATATTTCAATGTTCGCCGCACGGGCTCCTTGCCTATCATAAACGGCATTTTGCATAAATTTATTTATTGTTGTCACATTTACATATACATTGACCAGCTGACAAAGATCGTTCTTGAAAATCGATCAATTTAAAGGCATTATTACATTTAGCGTTCGACAAGCTTTGTCAAATATATTCATTGGCTACCGTTGCAACTTTCGAAACCCTAAAAACTCTATCCGACAACCAATCAACAAGCTCGTCGTTCGATATGTTTTATATTGGGTGGCACCCGATTGACCACGTCGCCAATTGGCCAATTCAAAATAGGACTCTCTGATTGGTTAATCGTTGCTGGTTACCCTAGGCACAGGTCGATATAATTGGCTGTGGTCAATCGCAACGTGGTCAAACGGGACGCTCTCTTTATATTTCATTAGCTTGTGTGATATCAGTACAGTGACTTTTTTTCCACTTATCAAAGTTACCGGCTCACGACAGTTCACGAAAGCACAAGTTGTATGCATGTGCTCTGAATTTTTTTCTTTTTTCTTCCTTTCTCTTTTTGTCTTCGTTATCAGTACGACCAGCTGTGTTTGCCTAGACTTTCCAGTTCAGTGTTTTATCTGAAAGTAAGTTATGCATCAAACTGTTATGAATTTCTTTTTTTTTATATATAAATTTAATATATTATTGGTATTATAAAATATAACTGCATAATTTTTCAAAAAAAATATCTTTTGTCGTTGCTTAATAAATTTATTATTTTGCATCTCACGTGAGATGCAACCTGACACCATATGCTAACTATTGCAATATATGTATATGTATCTTGATATCTCAATAATATACTGTCATTTCTTTATAGAAGAGAGTTGAAAAAATCTAGAATATCAAAGCATCAATCAATATGAATGCAAAACAGATACGGCAAGCCTATATTGACTTCTTCAAGAGTAAGGGTCATGAATATGTGCACTCGAGTTCAACAATACCTCATGATGATCCAACTTTGCTTTTTACGAATGCTGGAATGAATCAGGTACTGATACGATTGTAATTCTTGCAATAATTATTTTGTTAAAATTTTATATGATACATTTATATCTTACTTATAAAAATATATTTCAGTTTAAGCCGATATTCTTAGGAACAGTTGATCCTAATAGTGATATGGCAAAATGGGTCCGTGTGGTAAATAGTCAAAAGTGCATTAGAGCTGGTGGCAAGCACAATGATTTAGATGATGTTGGTAAAGACGTTTATCATCATACTTTTTTTGAAATGATGGGAAATTGGTCCTTTGGAGATTACTTCAAGGTAATCAATCAATTAAGATTGCAAGAAGAATGGATAATATCTCTTAAATTTTAATATATAATAATTTTAATTATATCTATAGAGAGAATGCTTATTTTTTTAGAAAGAAATATGTGCTTGGGCTTGGGAATTTTTAACAGATGTATTGAAACTACCAGCTGATAGATTGTATGTAACATATTTTGGTGGTGATGAAAAGAATGGATTGGCACCAGACGATGAGTGTAAAGATTTGTGGCTTTCTCTTGGGTACTCTCTTTATAATCACATTTTAGAATACAATTATTTTAAATCTGTAATTTAATAACAATATAATTTAGTAACAATAGTAATTTTGTATATTATTTTATATTCTGTAATTTTTTAAATTCTATATTGTGATCTTTTTTTTTCTTTTTTATTGATATTTTCATTTTTTTTTTAATTTTGAGATATAGAAATTTATAATATAAATCTGCAGAATACCTGCCTCGCATGTTCTGCCAGGCAACATGAAAGATAATTTTTGGGAAATGGGTGAAACTGGACCCTGTGGACCATGTAGCGAACTACACTACGATCGTATTGGTGGTAGAGAAGCGGCTCATCTTGTAAACATGGATGATCCCGATGTGTTGGAAATCTGGAATCTGGTCTTTATACAATACAATAGGTATTTAATTTACATGTAAATTCTAATATATTTATAAACTCGTTATAAACTTATTTATAAATCATATAAATTTTTATTTAATTAATTATTTTAAGTTTAATAAACAATTTAATTATGTTAATTATATTAATTCCAGGGAATCAGATGGCAGTCTTAAATCATTACCAAGAAAACATATAGATTGTGGTTTGGGCTTAGAACGATTGGTATCGGTAATTCAGAATAAACGTGCTAATTATGATACTGATTTATTCATGCCTCTGTTTGCTGCAATTGAAAAGGCCACAGGTGCCCCATCTTATCAAGGTAAAGTAGGAGCCGAAGATGTTGATGGAATTGATATGGCATATAGAGTTTTGGCGGATCATGCTCGTACTATCACAATTGCTTTAGCAGATGGAGGAATGCCTGATAATACTGGTAGAGGGTAAGCGAGATTATTTAAAACATCTTGTCTCTTTTCTTTTATATTTAATATAATATGAAATTTCTATTCGATGTAGATACGTTTTGAGAAGAATCTTACGGCGTGCTGTACGTTATGCGACCGAAAAATTAAATGCTAAGCCCGGATTCTTTGGATCTCTTGTAAATGTAGTTGTAGATCTTCTTGGTAAATATTTTGTATCATAATAAGTAAAGTCTCTATATTTATTATATTATTTAAAATCAATCTTTTGTTGTTACAGGGGAAGTTTTTCCAGAAGTAACAAAAGATCCACAAAATATAATTGATATTGTAAATGAGGAAGAAACTCAATTTTTAAAAACTTTATCGCGCGGTCGTAATTTGCTAAACAGAACTATAGCAAAATTAGAATCGAGTGATACTGTACCAGGTGATGTCGCGTGGCGCTTATATGATACTTATGGTTTTCCGGTAGATCTCACTCAGCTAATGACTGAGGAAAAAGGATTGAAAATCGATATGGCGGGTTATGAAGAATCTAAGAAACAAGCACAGGTATGTTTCGTTCATAACAATTAATTTATTAATTTAATGTGAATTAAACTTTTTTATATATTCCTTCATAAATATTTCCTCAATTATATAGTTAATTTCTCAAAATAAAGCTGGTGGAATAGATGACCAAATAAATTTGGATATCCATGCCATTACTGAAATGCAAGAACATGGTATAAAACCTACAGACGATTCTCCTAAATATGATTATAAAGTGATTAGTTCTGTTAAATATGAGGAATATGAGTTTGCACCGTGTATCGGTATTGTAATTGCATTGAGACGCGCTAAGACTTTCGTCGATCAAGTAACTTCTGGCGAAGAAGTTGGCATTTTATTGGATAAAACAAATTTTTATGCAGAACAAGGAGGACAGATATACGATGAGGGATTTTTAGTGAAAGTCGACGATGAGGTATGAATTTACTTTTAACCGCGATAAAAACTAATATTATTAATATTGCTATATTGTTTCTTACAAGGCTACAGAGATTCGTGTGAAGAATGTTCAAGTTAGAGCTGGTTATGTCCTACATATCGGTACCGTAGGCGAGGGTACGTTAAGAAAAGGAGATAAAGTTTATACAAACGTGGATACGGCACGCAGACGGCTGGTAATGGCTAATCATAGTGCCACACATGCCTTGAATTATGCGCTTAGGAAAGTTCTGGGAACAGGAGCCGATCAGAAAGGATCGTTAGTCGCGCCCGATAGACTCCGTTTCGACTTTACAAACAAAGGTATATTATTGAAAAATATATAATTATATCATGCAAATTTATTCTCATTATTTATTATTAATTTTCTAGGACCAATGACAACGGAACAAGTAAAGAACACGGAAAACATTACTGCTGATATGGTCAAAGAGAATAAAAAAATTTATGCTAAGGAGAGTAATCTAGCTTTAGCGAAAACTATTCAGGGTTTGCGTGCAATGTTCGAAGAGACGTATCCTGATCCAGTACGCGTTATTAGTATGGGTATACCGGTTGATGATCTAGAAAAGAATCCTCTGAGTACAGCTGCTCTTGAAACTAGCGTGGAATTTTGCGGTGGAACGTAAGTGCTATTCATAAAAGGTTGCAAACACATGTTTCAAATGTTCGCTTCTTTAAATTTACGATTTTTTTTCACAGACATTTACATTACACTGGCCATATAGGTGATTTTATAATAGCTAGCGAAGAAGCTATTGCTAAAGGTATTAGACGTATAGTAGCGCTGACCGGGCCGGAAGCAGCCAAAGCTTTCAGAACTGCAACATTGTTGCAAAATCAATTATCCCATCTTCGGGAAACGATTGAAACTGACAACTCTGGAACAAATTCCAAAGAATATGTGAAGAAAATAGTGGAATTGACAGAGGAAATAATGCATGCCGTTATTCCTAGCTGGAGAAAGGTAATTATGTTTAATGAAACTTTTGTTTAAATTAATAATAAATATTTTATTCGTTGTACAAATAATTTATTTCTTTGCATTTAGGATAACATGCGTGCCACGCTAAAAGAATTAAAGAAATCTCTCGACGATAAGGAACGAGCAGCAAAGGCAGCTGTTGCTAATACAGTTGTAGAAACTATTCAATCTATAATACAGTCCAGAGTTGGATGCCAAGTCTTAGTCGAGGTTCTGGAAGCGTACAGTAATACGAAAGCTCTGGATTCAGCATTAAAAAAGATTCGAGTTTTATCGCCAGAAACTAGCGCTTTGCTTATAAGTATCGATCGCGATGTCAAAAAGATATTTGCTCTCAGTTCTGTGCCAAAGGTAAAAAGGTTTTATTCTGAGATGCATCGTGATAGAAAAAAACAATCATATATCGAATGAAATTATTTATAGTCCGCAGTTTCTAAAGGACTGAAAGCAAACGAGTGGATCCAAGTAATCGCGCCTGCGATGCAAGGCAAAGGAGGCGGGAAACCTGAATCTGCTCAAGCTTCCGGAACTAATATAGCGTGTTTGAATGAAATAATAAGCAGAGCCAATGAGTTTGCCAACCAAAAACTTGGAATTATAGGTAAGTAGAAATTATATGTTGTTATTATATAATTTATTCTGTAGAAATGAGAGGAATTGTGTATTTGCTTTCAGACAATAATACCGCTAACAATAATAAGATTATAGAAAATGATAATCGATGTGATGTGGACTCGTCAAAATTGATACTTTACGCGAACATTGGGAGTGCTAAATGTTATTTGGCACAAATAATCGCGCGATATAGTAACAAATGCTTGACTATTAAGCAAATTGAAAATGAAAAATTATATTCCAGCAACATAATATTAAAAGCAGCAGATTTCACATTATATGATAGCAATGCTATCGCGTTCTTTTTATCGAATTCGCAGCTACGGCGTGAAGATGATTTGTTTGCATCTAGCAAAGTTTTGCAATGGACAAATTATGCACAAAATCACATTTTACCGGCAGTCAGTGGCTGGGTGCTTCCATCACTTGATATTTCGGTATCAAAAGAAATGAAAACAAACGCAAAGGTTTCGAAAGAAGATGTTCTTTTTGCTTTAAGAACATTGGACAATACATTACATATAAGAACATACTTGATAGGAGAAAGAATTACTCTTGCAGATATATCCGTTTTTGTTACATTATTACCTCTGTACGAATATGTATTGGATCCACATCATAGAAAGCAGTATATAAATTTAAATAGATGGTTTTCTACAATTTTGAATCAGCCGCAAGTAAAATGTGTAGTAGAGAATTTTACATTTTGTACAAAATGTAATTTTAATTATTAATAACTATTAGCTATTGCAATAAAAACATTTATTTGCACATTTTCCACTCAAATGCACTTCATTGTGTTAAGTCATTGTCATTTTCTTCTGATATATTGGTTTTAATATTATCATATAGTATCCTAATTTCCTTCAGTAAAGTAGAGATATTTGTACCTAACTTGGCAGAAATAGGAATAACTGGTAGATTTATATATTTCTTGAGCGATTGTAAATTAACCTGAAATATAAATTACAACTGTATTTAAAAATTACTTGAAATTTTTGAATGAATTAATCGGATAATAATTAATACATTGAGAGATTTTTAAATTGATTGCACGTACTTCAGCATTTGGCAAATCCATTTTGTTTGCTACAACAATTTGAGGTCTGTCGTTTAATTTTTCATTAAACTGACTAATTTCATATTTTAGAACTTCTAGAGCTTTCCATGGTTCATCCACTGTAATGTCTAAAATAAATATTAAAGCAGCACAACGTTCTGCATGCTTGAGGAAAGTTACACCAAGCCCTTTATTCTTGTGTGAGTCTTCTATAAGACCAGGCATATCGGCCACTGAAACAAATAATGGTAAAATAGAATGAGGAAAAAAAAAGAAAAAAAAATGGTTTCTCTTATATCAAATATAAATTACCTGCAACTTGTTCATAATCATCATACTGTATCATGCCTATGTGAGGTCTTAGAGTAGTGAAAGGATATGCTGCTACCTTTGGCCTAGCTCTAGATATAGCTCTTAAAAGTGTACTTTTGCCAGCATTTGGTAGACCAATCTATATACAAGTTCAGAGCAAAATATGAAATAAAAATTGTACACGCGTTCGCGATTTTATCTTAAATAATAAAAATATTTTATAATGTATTTATGATACTTTATAATATATAAATATTTAAATTATTGATTCTTGAAAATTAAATTTTTTCGACTAAATAATAACAGAGAATCATAACAATAATTATGATTTTCAAGAGATAATACATATACGTATAACACTCACTAATCCAACATGGGCCATACTTCTTATTTCTAATACATATCGTAAGTCTTCTCCTATCGCGCCATACTCGGATATTTCTGGCGATTGTTGAGTATCTGATTTAAAAAAAGAATTTCCATGTCCACCGGCACCACCTCTCGCGGCAATAAACATCATCCCATCTTGGTCCAAATCTGCTAATATTTTATTGTTTAGATCACGCACAATGGTTCCAATAGGTACTTTTACCACATTGTGTTCAGCGTTTTTGCCGAAGCAGTCTTTAGTATAACCCTTTTCACCATCTTCAGCTCTAATCACAGACTGTACATTTCGAAGATCTTTCACATCTTTTTTTGCCTAAAATAAAATGAACATTATATAATCTTTGCCATAAAATCAGATGTGATATATAAAGAGATTCATATTTTATTATTCACATATAATCTTACTTCAAATATTACATGACCACCACTTCCACCATCACCTCCATCAGGGCCAGCTCGGTCGTTGACCCACAATCGTAAAAATGATATTTCACCATCTCCACCTTTCCCTCCGATTGTTCTTGTCTAATAATTTCATATTTGTATAAACTGATGTTAAATATTTTAAATTTGATGCAAGACAATATTTCTACCTGTTTTATATCAACAAAATACTGCAGAGTATCATGTTTTGATTTTGGTTTTGTACTTCGTAAAGCTTTGGCTACAGATTTCTTCTCATGTACACATGCAGTGACAGACAATGTCCTAAATAAGTTCGTATTTGAGATTTTGCATTTATTCCTGTTCAATATAGTTTTGCAGCTTTGTATTTGAATTGTATTACATGCAACAATATTACTTAAACGACGAAGGCAATGCATCTGAAAATAATTACAAAAGAATTTATTATTTATGAATTTATATCATTAATATATATATATTAATATATATCTTAATTATATTAAGATAAATTAATGTATATATGTGTACCATTTTAATGAAATATAGCTTTATTTTTTAATGATTTGTGTTTTAGCTAGTTATGTATTTAGACTATCTTGAGATAGTAACTTGAAAATTATCCTCTATAAAATTTGTAATTGCATTATGATGCAATTCAATAACTCTTTTTTTATATAAAGGTATATAATTCGATTTGTAAGTTATTCTACAAGTTCTTTTTATCTTCTTGTCAATAGGAGACAGGTAATAATCAATAAAATCAATATTATGAATGATAACTCCTGCAGAATTATACAATGATTGATAAAATTCAGCTATATTAAAATCCATGTCAGTGGATAAAGTTAGATCAAATATAAATGTACATGGATAAATACACTTGACATTGTAAACTGATTTATTTTCGATATTGTTTGTTATTTCTTTCCATGTGATATTATTTATATTGTACTTCAAAATGTCTATTTTATTGCTAGGTACAATATTATATATTGTAGGTGGCTCGCTCTTTACAAAAAAATGTGTCAATGAGTCTGCTGTATGAAATTGCTTTTCTAAACTGCGATAGCCTGTTACAACAAAATCTTGAAAAGATTGCCATGAAAAGGGCTCTATTTTTGTTAATATAAAATTTCCATGTGCAGCCATTTCTACAATTTTCCATGAATCATCCCAACGTCTCTTGGGATTGTCCATAGGTGTTCCACCTTGACCATTACACAATGTCACTAGTACTTGACCATTTTCTTTTATCATTTTTTGGGATGATACAAAAAAGTTCTTTAGCAATTCCCTATTTTTTTCTATTCTCATTTTACCACCAACATGAGGAAAGTTAAAAATAATTTTATCAAATAGTTTAGATCTTAACGCAAGGCATTCTTCCAATTTTGTAGCATCCACATCAAATAATACACAGATACCTGGAAAGAAAAGCACAAATGAGTTTTCCTTTCAATTAATTGCACAATTTGATTACGATATTACGATATATACAGATTCATACAATTCACTAACCATTATTTTGAAGATATTTTATATTTTTTGTTGCAGTTTTTTGCTCTTGACTCATACTAGATTCGTAGCAACTAGCAATAAGCTTGATGTTTAAATTGTGCTGCAATAATGCTACCGAAAATGAGAAATTGCCTTCTCCTACTAGCAATACAAAATCATCTTTGTTAAATATCGAAGTCTTCATTCTTCTTTCTCGAAATAATCGAATTGTAAGATTTTATTGGATTAATGCTTTTCTTTCCAGATATAGAAAAACTTAATATTAAAATTCTTCAAATTTAAAAATGTTTTCAAAACTTATAAAAGTTATTTAGCACATATATATCTATATATTTGACTTAACACTTAGCATAGGTTAAGAAAATTAATTATCATTATTTGTATTTGTTTATAATTGCAAACAAACTGATTTTGAGTGTATTTGATAAATTGAACTAACCTTTTATCTTATTATAAAGAGATAAACTCTTTAAGAATATAATCAATTTTTATTAAAATATATTTTTCCTCACTACATTTAAAATATAACCATGAATTTTCATACATAAACGATGATGATTGGGCAAATGATTAGAAACTTTTACAGTATCAAATGGAATTCGACTTTAAAGCATTTGATTGACCAATCAGGTTAAAAAAATCTTTATTTCTTTTATCCTGATTAGTCAATGGCCGCATCCAGTGATTTCTACTTTCAGATCGGCCAATCAGCGTTGAATTACATCAGAAAATCTAGTAATGCTGTCCAACCATTGGGTCTGGTGAATGAGGCCAATCAAACGCTTCAAAACATCCTGAATGGTCAAATCAAACGCTTCAAAGCATCCTGAATGGTCAAATCAAAGGGTCTGTTCGTTTTAGCTGCACTGCTGCACTAGCTGCACCCTATCACTTCAAAGCATCCAGCGTCACTCCGACGTATCATAAACATCTGTATGTAATCGTATAAGTTGATAAATCATAAGTAAAGTAGAAGAGTTATATGATTAATTTATAATAAATATTCTAAATATTAATCTTTGCTTTATGAGGAAAACATTTAGTACGAAAAACCTGTTAAACTTATTTTCGTTACTCTTTCTCCCTCTTTTCTCGTTTTTCCTTTACGTATCATTTCACGTAATCACGTGTTCGGAATGAAAAGATTTTTGTACATACACATATGTAAAATATAAAAATACAACATTTAATATAAAAAAGAAATATTTAACATTACTGAAGAGAATGAAATGATAATTTCTTATATTATATATACAGAAAAATGAAAAATTAAACATTTTTTTAAAAGCTCGAGTGCATAACAAAATGCTTGCTAGCAAGCTTAAAATTGTACTTGGTGGTTGCACCAATACCATATCAAAATGCCACGTGCGACTGATGATGAATAATGTTTGTAAATTAAATGTAAGTTTTTTTAAGCACTTTACAAAGCGTAATTTCGATATAACTATCTTTATTGTAATCTAAAACATGTTATATATTTACATTGAAAATACAAATCTTATTTTTTAGTCCCTCCTAAGAAACCAAACACCATGTTTGGTAAGATGCGTACATAATTTAGTTATTGGCAAATCAACATCTACAATGAAAGAAGAAGTTTCGCCAGTTAATAGATATGTTTTGAGAACACATACATGTGGAGAATTAACACTTCAAAATGTTGGAGAGGAAGTGAAATTGAGCGGTTGGATGGAATTTCAAAGGATGGGAAAATTTCTAATATTACGAGATTCTTATGGATCAACACAATTACTTATACCGGAAGATGTAAGCAAAGATGTTATATAATAAAATATACTGATGAATATATTAATTTTAATAAAATACTTTTAGAGAAAGGATTTGTTTGAAACTGTTAAAAGTTTATCTTATGAGAGTGTTTTGAGTATAGTAGGCAAAGTTATATCAAGACCTAAAAATCAGCAGAATAAGGGAATGAAAACTGGTGATATAGAAGTATATGTAGAATCCTTGAAGATTCTAAATGTAGCATCACCTAATCTTCCAGTATTTATTAGGGAGTATAATAAAGCAAAGGAGAGTCAACAAATGAAATACAGATATCTTTCATTGAGATATCCTGAATTGCAAAGAAATTTAAGAATGCGTTCTTCTCTCATAACGAAGATGAGAGAATTTTTAATCAAAGAGTGCAATTTTGTAGATATTGAAACACCAACACTTTTTAAAAGTACACCGGGAGTATGTTTCTTATGTAAATATGTATAAAATAAATGCTTAATTTTTAATATAATTGTATAAAATGAATTTATTAATCAGGGTGCACAAGAATTTATAGTGCCTACTAGACAACCAGGCAACTTTTACTCACTAGTACAAAGTCCTCAACAGTTCAAGCAACTTCTTATGGTGGGTGGCTTTGATAGATATTTTCAAGTCGCTCGATGTTATAGGGATGAGAGTGCCAGGCATGATAGACAACCAGAATTTACTCAGGTAATTACATTGTATAAATATAAAAACAATGCATATATTTTATTATCAGTTATGTTACAGCTAGATATTGAAATGTCATTTGTTGATCGGGACGGCATAATGAACTTGATTGAACACTTATTAATGTACTCATGGCCAGAAGAATTAAGCCCTATAAAAATACCTTTCAAGCTCATGACATATAAAGATGCAATGGAATTGTATGGTACTGATCAACCAGACTTAAGGATACCATATCGAGTAAGAAAATCTTAACATATAAAACTTTTTAATCTTTTATTTCTTAATACACAAACGCGTATAATAATGTTAAGAGTTTTTCAGATACAAGACCTTACACATATCTCTGATTTATCAGTATTAAAAAGAACCATGAAACTCAATGATCAACAAAAGGTGTATGCATTAACCTTTCCAAATAAATTAGTAAGTTTTTATTTAAACTTTATTCTTAAATATATATATTTTGATATATTAATACCATATTAATACCATTTTCTATATTATAGAAATATTTGACAAACTCTGTCAGGAATAAATTCTCCAAGATCCGTGATGACTATTTCAATACAACAAAGCTAATTCAATTAAAAATTGAAAATAATTTGTGGAGAGCTCACTTAGACGAATTATTTTCAAGAAATGTAGCAGAAGATATATTGCAGTATTGTCAATTACAGGAAGGAGATGCGGTATTATTAGCAATTGGCCAGCAAATTGATGCAGTTAGTATAAAAAGTCTGGATTCTCTCTTTCTTAGTAGTAATAAAGTGTATAATTATTTCTTTCAGTTATAATAATTGTATTAATTAATATGTATATATTTTTAGTTGAAAATTTTAGGAAAACTGCGTGTAGAATTTACAAATATATTAGAAGAAAAAGGTGAACAGATACGTTCATCTGAAGCCGAAATTGTATGGATCACAGATTTTCCATTATTCACATTTGAAAAACAGTTGGAATCGACGCATCATCCGTTTACGCAACCTCATTCAGATGATATGGAATATTTTATAACCGATCCTTTAAAGGTGAAGGATCAAGATGTATATATAAGTATGACATGAATTATTTTTTGTTATAATTTTTTACATGTCTTTCTTTGGTATAGGTAAGAGGTTTACACTATGACTTGGTTATGAATGGATCAGAAATTGCGGGAGGTTCCATTCGAATCCACGATGCAAATTTACAAAGGCAGATATTGAAAATGTTGAACATAGATGAATCAGAATTATCTCACATGCTTGAAGCTTTGATGTATGGAGCTCCACCTCACGGTGGAATAGCTATAGGTACTTCTATTTGCCTGTTTTATATTTACATCTGAAAATTAAGATGATGTATGATTATTATATATGATTATATTATTCAAGGATTAGATCGCCTCGTTTGCTTACTCTGTAATGCGAAAAGCATACGGAATGTTATAGCTTTTCCAAAAACGATAGAAGGTCGAGATTTAATGTCCGGAGCACCGGATACCATATCCGCAGAGATAAAAACGCTGTATCATATACAAACAGCAGATAAATAAAAGGTCATAAATTCTTTTTCTACGGTAAGTAAAACAAAACAAAACGAAATCGAATTAATTGATTTCATTTGCATATATATATATATCACATGAAAAGATGAAAGACTTTCTTCTTTATAATATCTATAATTATGCACATATGAGAGAAATATATATATATATATATATATATATATAGTTATATAATTGGCATTTTTAATTGTTATTTACATTTTTATCAGTGTAAATTATTGAACAAGCTGATAGCTATCTAAGCTAGATAATAAAAGCATATAATTGCGAATCAAATAAATAAAAAGACGAGAAATAGATGTACAAAAAAAGTGTTTTTTTATTCTCTGAATAAAGTCTCGTGCGTTCGAGTCAAATAGTTTTACAGAAAAATAAAAAATACAATTTAGCCTGCACATTAAATGATCGAGATAATATTTATTTCCAAGAAGGATCTATAAAAAGATATCCTCCTTTTTGTACATTTCTTAAGAGAATCTCTCTTCTGTCAAATGAAATCTAATAAATGTCTTAACAAATATGCTGATATGTAGTGTGACTATCAATTGTCGGCGGACGAAAATTTACATCGCTGTTTACTTATGTAGTTATTTTTCTTGAAACAGCCCAAGAGTATAAATTGGAACGATTATATATTAATCAACAAAACATTATTAATGAAATATTTATATAGATGCGTCAAATTTGTCAAAATTAAAAATTCATTAATTAAGTGTACAAGAAATCAATAAGGCCTCTGAATATTAAAAAAATAAAGAGATTACAACGAACTTAAAAATAAGGCGCGAGGTAAAAAGTAATATTTCCTAATGGATATTAAGTGAATTTCTAATTTATTAATTAAAAAGTTTTGATTCCCTTTAGACCATCTTCAAATAAGAATCACATATATACAATAAAAAGGATGAGGAAATTATAAACATGTGAAGTGAATGCAAGATATATAAAACTAAAAAAATCCATCTTTGTAATTACATTTCATATCTATGGTTACTTCTACGAATTTTTAGTAAGTGGCTTCTTCTTTTTATGTTCCCAGTTCTCAACAGCAAGTATTGTATTATTTTCTAGTTTGTTAGCTAGTGTGAAGATGCAACACACTGTTTTGCATTGTTTTTCCTATTGGTTGAAACCAATATGGGATTCCTCGCATTCCTGGGTGTTTCATGGAAGACGCTAGCATCTTTGCTCACATGATATATATCTTATATACCTTTATTTCTCTTTGTTTTATTTATTATTATTACAAATATGGATTTTTTTTATTCTTATATTTTTTCTATTTTATTATATATATATATATATATATATATATATATATATATATATGTCATTCTATTTATTTAATTACAGATGATGGTCCAAAGTAAGCTCAAATCGAAATGTCTAATTAATTTACCTCGCGTCTATCTGTTATTAATCCCTTATATTTGTTTTATTTAAAGTAAGTGAATTCTTTTTTGTCACAATTCAAACAGAAAAAAAGATAAATAACTGTAAACTATAATATCGAAGATAGATTTTGATATCATTTTCTTCATGTCATTAAATATGTGAAATTATTTATAACTGATGAACACACAGTACGCATATCGGATCAAGTAGTTCTGACAATTTTTGCATCTTTTGAATCAAATTAGTAGCGGAAGAAAAATCTATGTTCCTCCTTCTCCTCCTCCTTCTCCTCTTAACATAAAAAATAAAATGCAACAAAAGAAATCTATGTGCTCTTTAACTTCTCGTATATGCTTTCAATAGACGAAAATACACACATACATATCGTTTCGTTAGTTATTGTAGTGCGTGATTATTCGAATCGCTCCAATTACAACGCGTCGTTATACGTTTCTAGTACTCTAAAACGCACACGGCAACTTGCGACGATCGGCACGAAGCCCTTCCGATACCGATCGCGCTGAACTCGTTGAGAGTCGAGATCAACAACGAGCGCGGGGAGGGTGGCCTTTTCGCGTTCCATCTACTTGACTATCGAAAACAATTCATACGAAGACTTAACGTAGGAACTTAGAAAAATCACGAAACTGAATGTTTTTGTTTCTTCATTACAAGATACATCGTGTGCTTTTCGAATGCAAGCGATTACAGTAAAGAGTCATTATTATTCGACTCGGGAGAACCATCACATGTCTTTCGAAGCGTATTGGAAATTTACAAATGACCTTCCTCGGATTTCAAAAGTCTCGCTTTACTCATCACTTGCACTAGATTTACATTTATCTTAAATTAAATCCAGACTCTAAATCCCTATGTTAAATGGCCGTACTGAACCGACGATCTCGGAGGGGCGTATAATCACGTTATTATAGCGCACGTTAAACGCGTCGCAATTCGAAACACAATCAAGCTCTTTAAATTGAACACGGATACACTGTCTTATACAGCGATAGGTTCTATATATCACGTGAGATGATCATCCTATGCATCGCGATATTTTGGTTTCGCCAAAAATCACGAATCATCTTGAGACCTATCGCGAATTTATTCGGTAGAAAAGATATCGATTGCGACATGTAAGAAACTACAGAGGCTTGGCTTCATTTGGCTATATACACGAAACGATGTTTCATAGACGACTCCTCGTAAACGATAAGCTACTTTTGTACGAAACACAAGTAGTTCGCGCGTCGACTGTATTTCGTCTCCTTTTTTTTTTTCTGGGTATATACAATTTATCATTATGCGTATCCGTTTTTATCCTGAAGAAGGGAACACACAGTTCTTCGTATTTTCGCGCGTCTACAGGTCTATAGGTCTTCTACAGGTTGTCGGTCGGGGTGGTCGATCACTGTTAATTCGCCGATCGCGGATAGGACTTCGAGAATCCGCGATTTACACGCTTAACATAGTGTAATAATAGTAGTAATAGTAGCACAGTCGATCGCTCGATTTCGAAGGGCTCTCAAAAATTCGGCATCGAACGAAATTGAAGGCGCGGGCCCGCGATCGGACACTCGCTCGGTTGGTTGGCAGTATGACGTGCGTCGAATTGTGTGTTTAATCTAAATACGTGGATCGTTCGTAGCGATACGAGATGATGCGACATCAATCTTCGATCCTTTCGTCGCACAGCGTCCATAATTTAAAAAAAAAAAAGAGATACAAAATATCACATCTTCATCGAAAACTGACGAGTAATTTAAAGATAGACATATTTTTGCTCAACGAAAGGCGCGTTGAAATTCATAAACAATATCTATTAATTCCAATGCGTCACTCGTTGAATAAAAAGCAGCTATGAATAATCAATCGCCAATCGTAATTATATAGTATATTTAATGAAAGAGAATTTAGTATGTAACGTGATATTGTGTCCCTCATAAGCATATATATTCGCATTACGCTCTATCCCTCGTTTTAAAATTATAATATAATAAATGTTTATAATTTAATGCATCTGTTTATAGATATTATTAGCATTAAAGATTAAGTATGAAGGCGATGGAGGTAACATACACACATATATACATCAAAGACAATTTTTTTCATGTAAAGTTTAATTTCGAATATTTAAATTTGCGGCACTCGCGTAAAATATGCGGAGTTTGAAAATTTGGAAATCGGATACCGTACCGACTAAAGGATCGAAGTCTTTATGCGCATCTCTTTCCGACAATTTTTCCTCTCAAGAAGTGTACGCGAGAGATTCCATCTCGCGCAAATTCGCCCCTATCGATACGATTTTTTACGCGCCACCGTGTCGTCATGTTATAAAAAAATACTATTTTACAGCGCAGGAGACAAGCTCTCGCCCATACAGATCGCATACCCTCGCATGAACTTGCACACATATGCAAATACGTATACAAAAAACACATACAATCATTTGCACGGAGAACACGCATCATATAATCGTTCATATAATTCGCTCGCTCATTCATACACACAGAAACACATGCCTCTGTCGAATAAAATATCATTAATCATACATGCTCTTGCACAAAACATGTTAAACGCGCGCAGAAGATGTGTAGAAACTCTACAAGAAATATATGTATGTGTGTGTGTGTTTGTGTGTGAATACTATTGTATATTATATACATAAGAATGGAGGCAGGAGCGGACAATCGAATATACATATATATATGTATAAATCGAGCAGATCGGTCGAGAGGAAACGTATCTTTTGACTGGCAAAAATGCGAAAAGTAAAGATCCAGAGATTGCAAAAATTTCCGCGCGAAAACAAAGATAAACGGCATTTACGGCATTATACAGTATACAAGTAAACAGATTTGCTATTGTGCAGTTTCGAATAATCGTGCATCTAACAAGCAGCGCGATAGAAATTTCTTTCTCATTTTTCTGACAAGAGAACAAAGCTGAATGACGACGTTCGCCCATTCATCCGCTTCGCTTTTCGCGGAGGCGGAATATAACATGTACGTCCAAATGAGATATTCAATTACATCTCAAGGAAAAAGAAAACTTGCATTCTTATTCCTACGAGACATCGACATGTAAATTCTTACCCGGCCCGCCGGTTCCACGCATGTAGATTAAAAACGATTACCGTATCTACAATAATTTGCGAACGCGAGAATCTGTTGTTCACAATTGTTTATATACGTGTCCACAACAGATATACATCGCAATAGAGTTTTATTTGTCGCGCGATGATTCGTAAAAATTCGCAATGTGACTTTTTTTCTTTTTACTTCATTTTTTTTCTTTTTCCGTGTCTCATTATCATCCAGTTATGTCGACATTATATAAACGGATTTATTATCGTGCAAAATAAATAAGGTCGAGCGTTCTATCGTACGTCGCATATCTAGATTTCGGGAATTTTGATGATAATAAATGGCGATGATGATGATCAAATACTATCATCGGATCATCACCATCGCTTCCATTTACAGATGGAAACATACGAGAGGAACATTGCTCAGATTGTTCTTGAAATGGTTGTTTCATTTTCTCGAAGGCAATGTAGTTAAAAATACAACGGTATCTTTTTCCATTATTCATCTCTTCCTTTTGTCACTTTCGATTATTGATGCCTGGAATCCGTCAGATATATGATAAACACATTTTCGACTCGCTTTCGCTATGTGTGTGTATATGTATACAGGATGTATTACTGACAATCTACATACAACGATTAGACATAGCCGTATACAGAAGCGAGAAAGATGTTCGACATCTGTCATACGTTTACATGGACTTTTCAACAGACGGTATTCTATGCCTCACCATACATTTAAAGCTAAAAATGTCCACATGATTCTAAATCTTCGTTTCACATAATAGTTACGTCTCGATATATTATTAATGACCTATACGTACGCTTTTATATACGTAATATTAAACACGTGAAGACGCGAATGATGGAGAGAAAAAAATCGAAAGTGACTAATTGTAAGATTGCAACTGATCACTTATGTCCAAATAAACAAGTTATTAATGCCACATTATATGTCGCGACAGTGACATTCCTTTACGATTTCGTAGAATCAGCGTAAAAATCAGCCTTATCCTATATACGGCCATGCGAATCAGATTAATCGAAAAATCGTAATTAATCACAGGTTCTGAATGATTATTTGGTAATCATTCGCACACGCTCTTTTATAATTTTTAATTACTCTTAATCATTCTAATCCTGTTTCCAAGACAATGTATGTGAGACCAGAGTTATAAAAAATGTAAAATATTAGACATGTAACAGTAATGTAATGTAACAATTGCGCTGAATATTCCTGAATATTCGATGAATGAATTATCGGCGATATCGTGTAATTTAATATAAGGTAATTGGCTTGGAAACGGACACAAAATACGCAAAATCCAAAAATTACTTCTTTCAGTGTATAATAAATTTCGTCCCGTCAAACATTACATATAAATATACCGGAAGAAGCTATGTACATATATGAGACATATTTGAAACTTTTAATATAAGATGGAATCATGGAATTTGCAATTTTTTTATATCGCTAGCTTGTAGATTGTAATAATGAAAACAACGATGATGATGGTGATAGATGAAAAAGACGATATTCCATTATATGGATCTTGTTGAAACGCGAGCAAACGAGCGAGCGACGATCCAGCGATTCTCACGCGATTTGCCGTTCGCTCTTTCGGATACGTTTCTGAAATTAGTGTGCCATACAATAATTACTTATTTCTGTACACGCAATAAACATGCAACATAAATATATTTGCTCAACCAAGTTGTTTATATTTCTGCTGTCTCTAATTAGCTGTTATTCTCTCTGGCTCTTTTCTCTCACTCTTCTGTCTGTCTCTCTCTCTCTCTCTCTCTTTTCTCTCTCTCTCTCTTTCCTTCTCTTTTGCACAAATTATATACGAGCGATACTTCTTAATGTTGCTCAGTATTTCTTATAAATTAATAGTCTTATGCACTTTCATCGACAGTAGGTAACCAGAAAGCCATGTTGGTGCACGCCGATGCTAGCATCATGTATTTGGGATTGAATTGGATACACTGCACTGGCGCCGGATGATCACCGTTCAGCACGCAAACTTTGTAACCGGTCTCTGCGTTCCACACGTGCACCCTACCATCTGTAGATCCACTAAACACAAATTGCGAATCCGGACTAAAACTGGCCTCTATGGCGATTCCCTTGTTGTTGAGGTATCCGGCAAAAGTCTGTAAGGGTGTACCATGAAAAGCATCGATTAAACGAATCGTACTACCGTTGGTAGAAATCAAAATGGTCTTGCCGTCCCTGCTGAATTTCAATCCTGTCCAATCGCATTCCTTCTCCTGAGAGAGCTTGAAGGTGACAAAGGGTCCCTTGTCGAAGCTGCGTAGATCATACAGTTTGATGCTCTCGGAATTGACTCCCGCTGCGAAGATAAGACCTTCGGGATCGTAGGCCGCGACCGGCCGGCCTGAGACGTTCATAACTCCGTGACAGTTCGGTGAGCGCAGGTCCCACAATCTTAGTGACTTGTCTAAGGAACCGGAGAGAAAAGTATCCTCGATAGGACTGATACATAGAGATACTACCTTTTTCGAGTGACCTGGAAAGTATCGTATGTACTTGTTATCGTGTAGACTGAGGTAACGGATCGTGTCGTCGACCTTGGTGCTGCTGTGAATCGCGGTGTTCTTGGCGTGGGTGAAGTGTATCAGATCGACGCCGTACTTCTTAGAGTTGACGGTTCGCACCTGCGTCCCCTTCTCGCAGTCGTATATCACGATCTGATCGTCCTCCGAACATGAGATCAGGGTGTCGCCGTTGGGCGAGAAGTCGATGCTGTTTATCCGATCCGAGTTCTCGCGGAAGATCTTGGCCACCTTGAAGCTCCTCACCACGTGGTCGACGAGCTTCATGGTGATGGACGGCGCGTCCTCCCGCTCGTGCCGTCCCCTTAACCTCCTCGACTCCGCAATCTCTGTGTTTGTGTCGCAACCGCTGGTGCAAAGACTCCGCGGAGTCGCCTCTCGCGGGAGGCGGGGGAGGGAGGAGTGAAAAAAACCCGCGTTGTCCGCCGAGTTCGGGGAGGGTCTTGGAACTCGAGCGGAATCGGAATCAAAAGCGGTCCGGGACGCCTCGCAACGCCTCGTCTCGTCTCGCCTCTCGCGTCCTTATCCTCGTAATCAAGCCCCGAACGTACGAGTTACGTACCTCCTTCCCGAGAACGAACGCCGTCGACGAAAACTACACCGCACACCACATACGTATGTACGACAAATTCTGCCAACTGTTTAGAGAAACGGACAGCGAATTACCGCGAATATTTTTTTTTTCTTCGTGTCGTCTCTCGGTCATGTCCCCCACCCCCCCGGTCAAACGCTCATGTATAGCGTGACGTCAACCGAAACGTGGACATGGACGAAACTACGTGGCCGAGGCGATTTCTCGGTCGATAACAGATCAAGGTGTCGATCGCAACGGTAGTTGATTGCGATACCTTCCGAAAGATGCGCTAGAGCGCGCATCTTCTCTATCACTTTTTTCCCTTTTTTCTATAACGCAAACCGTGACCTAATGTAATAATAATGTCCTGCGACATACATTATGTCCCGTCTAATTTATTCGGTTCAATTTAGCTCATCCGTGACGTGAACAATTACGCGCAAAAAGATTATGCTACGATTAATTTATTCAGCTTATCTGCAGCGTAGGTGAGTCTTTTTTTCTACGACAGATTGAAATGTCAACATGAACGGCGTCAAGAAGAAGAGCAATCATTTGGCAGTATTTAAGCAGCGCACTAGAAGCGACGACAATGCCGAATTGTCGAAAAGTATTATTATACGAGCGAGAAAGACAGGACAGTTGAATCTTTCGTCGAAAGGATTGTCTACGGGTATATTTGCAAATACAATCTGTGCATATCTATGTTAAAATTTATAAATTGCAGAGAAAAATCGGATGTTGATGTATTATTCAGAAATCTTCATGTATTTAGTTAATGAATCGCACAGTTATTTCGAGCATGCTTTATTCAAATCGATGTAAGAGCTTACACTCGAATATGCATGCTTGTTTACAATGCATTCATGTAAAATGTTTATCACAGATATCTTTATCAATTTCTTTAAAAAAATATAAATTTCAAATCTTTTATATTTTTTGATGTTGTTTATGTTGATTTGCTTGGTGATTGTAATAAATTTTGATTTTATGATGAAATTTGCGAATGAGAATGCAATGAAATGAAATGCGAAATAATATTTGTTATTGTGTCATATAAGATTATATTTGGAATGTTATAAAATATTAAAACTTATATCACAAAGTGTACTGGTATTAGATTTTAGAACAAGTGTAATAACTCTGGCATCTATTCAATATATATGTATATGTATTTTTTTATCTATCAATAATTTAATTAATATTGTAAATCCATGGAGAATCTTAAATAAATCTGATTTTGTGTGCAATTTGTTTCTTTTTTTTTTCTAAATTATACATAATTATAAGTTATGGATATGTATCAAAATTCGAAATTGTTAGCAAAAAAGAAATGTATAATTATAGATTAAGCTTATATATTTAATCTTTATCACTTAATTCATGTTATACATAATGTTTTAATGATGCTTCGCAATATATGCCACATAGAGGAATAGTTTATATTTATTATTAAACTATACATATATAAGTCATCATCACAAGTTGCTTTGCACGCTTTGCTAAAAATCGTGTAATAGAATTGATTACACTGCCAAAAACATTTAATTTAGAGTAACTTAAAAATAAATATACTTGCAATCTGAGGTAAGTCAAATTATATATCTTTATTTAAAAAAATGAATAGTAATATAATATTGCAACATATAAAAACATAGAATTAATGCACATTACAGTACCTGACCAAGTGTGGAATATAAACGAATTAACAGAAGAGGAATTACGTGATTTACATTTTGAACTTGATTACGAACATAAAGAAGAGCGATGGTGGGAACAAGAACCGTTAAAAACCTTGGATCTAAGTTCCAACAGCTTAATTACAATAGATGATAAAATACAATTTCTGACAGAATTGAGTAATTTAAATGTATGTATAAATCATTTCCTATGTATGTGCACATGATTTCAAATGTGCATACATCTAGCAGTTGCAATATTTTTTCATTTTATTAAACATTAATAAATATAACATCTTTAGTTGCAAAATAATTTACTAGAAGAATTACCGCCTGAAGTTGGGTCTCTGCATAAATTAAAAATAATAAATTTATCAGATAATAAGCTAGAAAATTTACCTCCTCAATTTTATATGTTGGAAGAATTACATGAATTGTATTTGAAGAATAATCATTTAAATATGCTTGAATCCGAGATTGGAAATTTAATTATGCTGACTTGTATGGTAATATATATATATATATGTATATATGTATCTCATTCAATTATATATATAATTATACCAAGTTAATTTCTTTAAGAGATAATTACATCTATACGTATGTCTTTTTAGGATTTATCATATAATAATTTAAATAAATTACCAATTGGAATGGGATATTTGGTGCGATTAGTTACATTAAATTTAAGTTACAATATGATTAAAGAGTTACCACCTGATATGACAAGTATGAGATGTAAGTTTTACATTAACAATACATGCAAGAAAAAATCTATATTTTTCAATAATTATTTTACTATTTTATTAATGTTTATATTTTGATATAAATAGCATTAAGAATACTTGATGTGAGCTTTAATCAGTTGGAGGTGTTACCACCATTAGGTGAATTGCGAAAAGCAGAGAAAATTATGTTTCAGTCCAACAATTTGAAGAAGTTTCCAGATATATCAGGTTGTTCAGCTTTAACAGTATTGCACTTGGATAACAATAACATTCCTGTATGTGTTAATATATATTTATATTTGAAATTAAATTGAAATTAAAATTCAAATTTTTGTATATAATATTTTATCAAGATAGTAATTTGTTCTTTTATAGGAAATTGATTCACAATGCTTAGAAACAGCAGGACATTTAAAAAAACTTACATTACAAAACAATAAAATTGAAGTAATACCTGAAGAAATAATCAAGTTAATAAATTTGGAAGTTTTTGATTTGTCGCATAATAATATATCTTTGTATGTCCTACATTTTTTTCGCATGATTCTTTATATTTAAATTATTTGTTAGAAAAGAATTATTAATGTTATTCTTACAGAATACCTTTCTGCATCGGCATATTGCCCAATCTAAAACAATTTGTAATTAAAGGGAATAATATAAAAAACATAAGAGCAGATATAATACGATGTGGTACACCTCGAATCTTGACACATATCCGTCAAATTACAGATAGTACAAGTGTAAATACCAGAGAATTATTACAATCTAGTATCAGCGTTAGCGTCAGATGTTATCCTGACAAGTATGCAAATATTAATTTTTTCTATTGTGTGTGTGTGTGTATGTGTGTGTGCAATCATTTTAAAAATATATATATTTATATATTTTAAAAATATCTATAGAATATGGAGAATATGTTTATATTATTCAATTTGACAATTATTAATGAAATTAAATAATACACATAATGATATACAGATATATGATGAAGAATACAAAATTGCTTAGCTTAGCTGGGCAAAATCTTTTGGACTTACCAGAAGAAGTCTTAGAGAATGCAGTTGAAGCTTCTGTCACGACTATTGATTTAAGTAGAAACAAATTATCAGAATTATCTGACAAAATGTCAATAGTCATTTCAGTGATGGATTTGAAATTAACTTCAAATCATTTAACACATTTACCTGAATGGATTGGTGAAAAGTACAAATATCTGCAAATTTTAGATATAAGTAAAAATTATTTAAAATCTTTACCATTGAGTATTAGTTGCCTGAAATATTTGCGAGATGTTGATCTTTCATTCAACAGGTATTATAAACATACTATTCATTTAAATTTGTGTAATTTGCAAAATTCATTTTTTTTTAGTTATAAATTTATACAATATATTTTATGTTTACTATTTTATACATTTTTCCATCATTTTTCTTAAAAATTTCTACAGATTTACTGAGATACCAGAAGCCATTTATGATGTTATATCTCTGGAAAGTTTAATTGCCAATGATAATGTAATTGCAGCGATAGATGTATCAGCTTTAGAAAAATTGAAAAAGTTAGCAGTGTTAAATCTGTCAAATAATAATATTGCTCATGTGCCACCTGAACTGGGTAACTTGAAAAACCTAAGGTAATATTTAATATTTTAAAATATATTTATATATATAACTATTTTTCAATTACGTAATGAATTTGATTGGATGTACTATTTAGTATGCATTGATGCACATTAAAAGCTGTCGTATATAAGTTTGTATATAGCATAAATATTATATAAATAGTAATTAGAACAGTAAGATAATTATGTTGTTGTCAATTTTTATGACAGCCTTTAATGTGCACCAGTGCATACTAATTAGTGCATCCAACCAAATTTGCTAATAGCATTATATATGTAAATTTATTGTTATACAACATTAAAATCATTTATAAACATATTTTTTCAGGAATCTATCATTGTCTGGAAACTGTTTCAAGTACCCTAGACAAGCAATTTTAATGAAAGAGACAGAGGAAATATTAAGCTATCTACGCAATCTAATACCTCAATAAGCAAACCAAATATCGTATGAGAAAATTGATTGATTCGCAAGTTTATTTTTAACAAAATATATGTAATTTGAAATTATATGTATGTGTGTGTGTCTATGAAAATGCATGTGTGTGGACAATATAAATTTGCAGGAAATGAAATGCCATTCAGTCAAATGCCAAATGTTGTTGACAAAGGATAAAAATAAAAATTAAAAATTCATGTTAAAAATAAAATAAAAGAATTTTTTTGTAATCAATAATATATCTTTTTTTATTTTTGTTTTATCTGCATTTTATCACTAAAATCGATCATGTGTTCGATGACGTGCCTTGTACATGCGCACGACAGTCCGGAGATATTTGTCCCTTCAATTCGCACAATTTATATAGATTCAAAATACATGTACAAAAAAATATTAATTAATCACATCAGCGGTTGAGTCCTTCGAATGCGACCATATTATTTGTACTAGACGAATTATTGATTGATTTTTCCATGCGTATATACATTACGAATTTTTCGTATATACGACTCACGTGGTGGTCAATCAATTTCCTGCTTCGGCCAAAATAAAATAGCGAGAGATAATTGGCTGGAGGCATTAAAGGTACCTTTATATGGCAGCATCGGGAGCGTCCCATTTGATGTTGCAACTGATCAATTAAGGTGCAATTTCATTGACGCTAGAAACCAGCGGCAAATTAAAATAGACTTTCTCTAGATTTGGCGTTAATAAAATAAAGTTCAACAGTTTCAACTTTTTCAGTGTGTAAAGCGGCCTTTTCATTGACGCTACTTTTTAGCGTCGATGAAATTGCACCTTAACAGTTGGCAGCCCTACGAGATAGGCTGTGCAGCACTGCGCGTATATAAAATAAATTTGAAATCGCTTCTAGCCTAACCATCTTCACGCGATCGACTTTATTTGAATTGCACGGCATCGCATCGAATTATGATGCGGCGCCGATTTGTTCGAACATAATTCGGGACATCGCGATACTGTATAAGCGTTGAATGAGCACGAATTGTCACGCAAATATGATAAATCACATCTACTCACCGTTCGCCGGTTGTTCCACAGGCCGCTCCACTCGCTCGCCTCGGGACGTCCCATTCTGATCTTAATGCACACGATATCATCAACGCGAACGCGCGATACTTTATTCGGCACTCCCGATATTCGCTTGCATCCGATAATCATCATCAAGGGCGCAAAAAACGCGACGCAACTTCGCTCCATCTTCGCGATCGCGCTATCACTGAACTGTGAAAAATAGCTGTCGCGCACTTTCACCGACATATTATGAAAGTCGCGCGATCATCCTTGGACACTTTCGACGTTCTTTCACTCGCGATATTCGTTTAAAAACGGTTAAAAGACGCGAAAAATGCGGACGTACGACGATCCGTGTAACTGCGTATGACTCCGATTCACGTATGACGCGTATGACGTAGCGACACGCGCCAACATGGCGGCCGAACCAGTGCGCACTGGTTCGGCCGCCATGTTGGCGCGTGCTGCTACGTCACAGATACGTCATACGCGTCATACGTGACTCGGAGTCATACGCAGTTACACGGATCGTCGTACGTCCGCATTTTTCGTGTCTTTTAACCGTTTTTAAACGAATATCGCGAGTGAACGAGCGTCGAAAGTGTCGAAGGATGATCGCGCGACTTTTATAGTGTGTCGATGGAAACGCGCGACAGCGATTTTTGACGATATTCAGTGATGGCGTCATCGCGAAGATGGAGCGAAGTCGCGTCGCGTTATTTGCGCCCTTGATGATGATTATCGGATGCGAGCGAATATCGGGAGTGCCGAATAAAGTGTCGCGCGTTCGCGTTGATGATATCGTGTGCATCAAGATCGGAATGGGACGTCCCGAGGCGAGCGAGTGGAGTGGCCTGTGGAACAGCCGGTGAACGGTGAGTAGATGTGATTTATCATATTTGCGTGACAATTCGTGCTCATTCGACGCTTATACAGCATCGCGATGTCCCGATTTACGTTCGAACAAATCGGCGCCGCATCATAATTCGATGCGATGCCGTGCAATTCAAATAAAGTCGATCGCGTGAAGATGGTTAGGCTAGAAGCGATTTCAAATTTATTTTATATACGCGCAGTGCTGCACAGCCTATCTCGTAGGGCTGCCAACTGTTAAACGATAAATTTTTTCGATCTAACCTAACCTAACATAACCTCTCAGTGCTTTGGATGTCGATGTAAACACAAGCGTATGCTGTCTGGATTTTATCATGCTTTCAAAAATAATATTTAATTATTTCATTAGTGTATTACATTTTATTACGTAGTATATTAATCGTATTAAATGTGCGACGTACAGTTTTACACATTTTAATGAGAAGCATATAATATAATTGGTTAGGTTAGATTAAATTAAAACAAGCTGCGTGCAGCTGTTGAAGTTAAAAGGCCCGTCTACAATGGCAGTATCAGTAGGTCGTAGCAGTTGTAAGCGAAATGAACCACATCCATTTCCTACGGTTTTCGTGAGTTCTACGGCGGTTGCGCATACGCAGTCACGGAAGAATTCTGCGTTTTTAATTCTGATTGCGCGTTCGCCGTAGAACATACATCGTAGCCGTAGGAAATGGATTTAGTTCATTTCGTTTACAACTGCTACGACCTACTGATACTGCCATTGTAGACGGGCCTAAAGACTTCAACAGCTGCACATTCGTCAAATTAATCCTATTACGTTAAATGAATCACAGCAGCTTGTTTTAATTTAATCTAACCTAACCTTTTATATTATATGCTTCTCATTAAAATGTGTAAAACTGTTACATGATATTTGTGGACACATTTTTAAAGTAATCATGAGTGTCTTATCTCATCTTGATTATATGAAATTAAAATATAAAATATTTTTATTATGTATTCCACATTAACGTTATTCATTACAAGTACTATATTACTTTTCTTATATCTCAATCATATTTCATCGATGAAGCTTTTCATATATCGCAGACAATATGATACTGTGTGTGGAATTTTACACAGGTAATACATGGCACAAAAATAATTTGTTCTCAAATATTGTGCGCATTTCTCAAAAATAAATCAAATTAAATTATTTTAAGTAGGATCCAAAAATTACTACATTGCCAGGATCGTATCTTATTATAACTGCAATATTATCACCTTTTAATATGTGTGCGCAGTATTACATACATAAAATATATAAATTTATTTGAAACGTACGGAAATCTTTATCTTATTTATAATATTTATGATATAAAAGAAAATTGCAACTCTAATGAAACAGAGCGGTGGAATAATTGGTTGATACTTATCCTGGTCTACAATATTTATTCTTTTTTCATCATTAGATTTTTAGTGCTTTTTTTATTATACAGATGTTATCTGTAAATATAGTACTTGTAATGTTGCTTCTGTATCACTGTAAGCACACAAAGTGATAGCATTTGCAGGTAATTATGTTATACTTATATATCATAAGAAAGAGAAAATAAAATTAAAGTTGAATACTGAATGTGCTCTAAAGTAAATCTCATCCAAATAAATAAATGCATAAATGTGCGCCCCACATTCCTCATGAAAAAAATACATAATATTAATTTTTATGTTTAATTATTATTTTTAGATTTTTATTCTTTTAAATTCTCTAGATGCACTTTTCATTTCTCTTCTCTTTCTTTCCAACTACTAAATATAGATCTATCATTTTTAATATAGATCTGTCATTTTTAATGTACATTATTGCAGTAAGTGAAATAAAGAGCAAATCTTTTGGCGCATTTAAAATGTACAGGAAAGTTTTATCTGATGCGTTTTTTTCAATAGAAATATCTGAAAAAAATGCATACGTCTTTTTTAATCTTAGTCTTTCTAAATAAAAATTAGAATAATAAATTTGCAAAATAATTTGCTTTAATATATTTTTATTGCAAACATATGAAGCAAAGTGCTCAAGGTACATCACTATGAAAACATCGATAGAATAAAAAATAGATCGCATACAAAAAAATTAAAATATTTACATTACATATTTGATATTTCTGCAAATATTTCCATTATTTTGAGATTGATTTGTTTCATGATATATTGCAATAATTAAAGTATGATTTCTGATATAATCTGCCATGAGACTGCAGAGAAAGCCAGCTTTAATTCTTTATTTTGTTCAATATTTTTAATAATATAATAATTAAATTAAAGTTCTATGAAAATATGCTTGAAATACTAAATAAAAAAGATTGTTTCTTATGTACAACCTTATACCTTATAGTGTAAGTAAACAAAAAATTATTGTTAATAATATACATATATAAATTGATAATTAAATAAAACAATTAATTAATTAATCGACACAATCCACGTTTTTTTTTAGCTTTATGTCTAATATATATATATATATATATATATATATATATATATATATATATATTTTTATAAATAAAAAATGTTTCTTTCTAATATAAATTAAATAAAAATTATAATATGCCTTTAAATACTTTATATACATACCTGTTGCAATAAACCAATAAAGAATGCTTTTACATTCCTCCTTGTACTTTGGCATACATATCCTTTATGCCAATTATCTCGCAACACGCTTTTATCGCATGATGACAAACAAGCCTATTATCCTTCATGAATTTTCTTTACAAATATTTTTATATTCTCAAACTGTGTAAAGAAATCATGTAACACTGAAAAATACAAAGTGATATTAAAAGAGAAGAAATAAATTTTATATTATATAGTATTGACAATTATTTTCTTACCAGTGTATTCCTTATATGTAGGAATATACATTGGTCTTTGACCAGCCCTATTTTTAACCGTCTTTAGGGATGCTTTGGCTTTTGATAACGCAAATCCAGCTAACCCATTTCCATTTCCAGTTACTATAAATGAACTGATTCTAGTCTTATGTGCTAAATTACTGGTCATACAAGTTATCATTTTGTTTTCCAAAATCCAGGTTTCAAAACTTTCAAATGTATCTATAGAAAATAAAGATATTAATTATATAAGATTCTAATATTTAGAACTGAAACATCAAAAAAAAATTGAAAATAGACATCATATCACATGATTTTTGTATGTGTGTGATTTAACCATTATAATCCAATAATAGCATAAATATTAACCTTTTCCAATAAGATCTGATTCAATGCTTCAATGCCATCCATTGTAACACTCGTCCAACCACATTCCAATGGCGATAATTTTATTTGCATTGGTCTGGTCTGACTTTGTGGTAATTCCATAAGTTTTTGCTTTCTTTCAAGATTTACAAGCAGTTTTTGCTGTTGAATTAATGCTTTTCCTCTAAACACAGGAGTGTTTAGACCAGGAAATTGTATCGGAATTTTTCCCATGCCAATAATTTGCTCCTTATTTAGGAGCTTTCTCTTTTCACTGCTATTCTTGCTCTTCCTGCATTACTGATACTTGTCACACCCTTTCATAATTCATCTTCAGGTCCTATAGAACAAAAGCACAGTGAAATACAAATTATTTTCTACTGTAAATATAAACTATTATCAAAATGCTATATCCATAAAAATTTTCCTTACTATTCGCAAAAAATATAGAGTTTCTCACATTATTTAATAAAGTGACTATTTTTAATAAATGTGAATGACTGACAAGCAATAAATTAAACAATATTAAACAATAATATACCTGAAAAAAATTTCATAATTTTATTGGAGTTAAATTGATAAATTAATTTTAAATACACATTATATATGTTAATTACATATAATGATTTAAAGACAATGATATATTTCATTTGCATTACCATTGTTTATAGATTGAACATTTTTTATCAAATTATTTACAACTCTAAATATGTATAGCGACATACGACAAGCCATTTTTAAACTCTATAAAACAAACAACAAAGTTGTTCATAGTTTTCACTCTTTTTTGTCATAGTCTGCTTTTAGGCGATCTTAAAGTCACTAGATTAACAAAGTATCCGGCTTTAAGTTATCCCTGAAAGGACGATGCGTCCTCTATAAACATAAAAATATGAACTTAAGGTGCAATTTCATTGACGCTACTTTTTAGCGTCAATGAAATTGCACCTTTATATCGACCTGTGCCAAGGATAACCAGCAACAATCGACCGATCAGAGGCCGGTATTCATAGTCTGATCTTATATTTAAGATCGTCTTAAGTCTGGTCCGAGGTTGACTTAAGACCTCATTCAACCAATCAAATAGCTGCGTAGCATCTCAAGCTCGAACTTAAGACGATCTCAAATATAAGATCGGACTATGAATACCGGCCAGAGAGTCCTATTTTGAATTGGTCAATTGGCGACGTGATCAATGGTCCGGGTGCTACTCGGCAGCGTCGAGCGTTTGCGCAGAAAACCATTGCGCATGCCTGCGCGATGCCATTGCGCAAGATTCAAAATGAGTTCGACTCCAGCTTCTTACGACGGATAACAAACATGGTAAGTCACACGAGACAGAAAGAGTTAGATATTCTAATATATAATATTTATATAATGTATTATATATTATAATATATTATAGAACATTATTACATCGATTAATGTTAGAATCTAACGTTTGCGCAGAAAACTATTGCACATGCTTGCGCGGTGTCATTGCGCAGGATTCAAAATGAGTTCGACTCCAGCTTCTTACAACGAACATGGTAAGTCACACGAAATAGAAAGGGTTAAATATTCTAATATTTACTAAAATTAATATTTATTAATATTATACATAATAGTATTATTATTATTAAACTAAATATATTATAAAACACACATCTTTTACTACATCAATGCATGTTAGAATCTAACCAAACATTAAGAATTAATTTTCTTGCATGCTTTTTGTAACATACACAGATCTATTTTATATATCTCTAGGTTAGAAATATTTTGTAATATTGTTTTATAGATAATAAATTTGGTATTTTCTTGTGGAATTTATATGTCAAGTATGAAAATGAAATTTTAAATCATCATTACATTAAGGATTAATATTCGGTCACCATTAATTTACAGTCTTAAACTTTTTATTCTACTAATAATAAATATTATAATTGATTAAATTATATGTACGACAAATAATGTACAACTATTTTTGTAGGTGAACTCGAATTCGTTCTAAATCTGCGCAATGGTACCGGTAATGGTTTTCTGCGCAGACGCTCGATGCTCGATGCTGCCATCTGTCATATGTCCAAAGACACCTTTACGGTTGATTACAATAGCCCACATGTTTGTAGTTGCGCGCACCGTCAACTGTGTACCGCCCTGTTTTGGAGAGATCGAGCATCGAGCACGCATATGAGAAATTCTACACGCGCTTTTGACGCCGCATGACTTGTTCGCAGCAGCACGCATACTAATTCGACTGCCCGCAAAGCTCCAGCGAACGCTTCGGTGAATCCAATCGCCGAGACAGTCTATCAGAACGTGGGGTAAAAGAGTCGGTATAAAGCTGAACAGAGCAATCGTCTGCCACAGCGAGCCAACATGCAGGAATCTCAGCCGAAAAAGGGCAAGAAAGGTTAGTTAAATCGACAATATCCTCGAGGCGATGCGAATATCGTCCCGGGGATATTGTTTCGTCCAACGAACGTGCGTAGTGAATTAACATATGTACGCTCTTTTTTTTTCCGATGTGGCAAATGTCGTCTGCTACCTAACCTCAACGCAAACATGTTCGTGTTACATACAGATTTTATTAACTTTTTTTCTTTTCGATGCAACATATGGCTACGATTATGATATTCGATGTGTTTCATATCGGTATCTATGCGATACAATCGAGCGAAGCAGAAAAAATTATCGGCGCTAATTTTTGTAACAAAAATCCTTGACTCATTCTAATATTGTCTGAAGTTAGGTAACAGTATAATTCAAACTATGCACGAGAATGTAGACAAGTTTTATAAATTGATTGAACTTTCTGCAATATATGGGTCAGTCTGTCAGTTAATTAATTATATCGCAAGTGAAAGTTACTCATTCTTGATGGGTAGTGAAAGTTGGTGACCTCTAAATTGTTTCAATTTTATAATTATTATAGCTGTATGTGTACTTTATTTTAATTTAAAATTTCGTAATCAATTTTTTGCTTATTTGAATACCTTAAAACTTTTAAATTTATTATTCCTGTTGAAGTTTTTAAATGATATATATCGCTAAGTAAAAGTATTTAATTATAAATTATTATATCGTAATATATTAAGTTTTGTATTTGTATGAAGAATTATATTTTTGTGCACTATCTTTATACTTATTAAATTGACATCTGTAATAATGTATCGTCAATATTTTATAGATACTTTACATAACGAAACAGTTTTATCTTAATTCTTTATTTTCTTTTTTTTTTCTCTGCTATATTTATATACATGGATCTTTCATTCAACTAAAATTTCATTTCCTCGCCTGCAAAAGTAAACTGATTTAAAAAACTACTTTAAAAATTGTAGTTTTTACTACAACCTTTGAGAAAATTTTTTAAATCAATTTATCAAATTGTAATTTTATTCCAATCTATTGTTATATATATATTATATATATATATATATATATATATATATATATATGCTGTACAATAAATTTAATTTTTTGTAATTTAGCTCAATGGTTATCGATATAAAAAATAATGTGCGTGATTTATATCAATAGCTAGAAGAAAGCGCAATGATAGTGACGAAGACATTGAACAAGTATTGGCAGAGTTGGCACTGGAATATTCTGGAGAGAAATCAGTTGATGACAATAAAATTGAAGACAAGTCGGAATCAAATGAACAAAAGATTAATGATGAAGATAAAAAGAAAAAAGGGAAAAAGGATAAGAAGAAGGAAAAGGTTGAAAAGGATGATATTAAAGATGAAACTACAGACAATAATATAATAGAACCAGAATTAAATGATACTAATATGGACACTGAAGTTAGTACTGTAAAAACAGCGGCGCAAAAGAAAAAGGAAAAGAAAGAAAGGGAAAAGCAAAAAAAATTAGCTCAAAAGAAAGTTGTAAGTAAGCAATATATAAATTATTTATAAATGTTTCACAAATTTTATTTTATAAAATATTTTTTTTAATGCTATTGAAATTGTATTATTTAACTTCCATTACAATAGGAAATTTCTAAGGACGTTAACAAGAATGCAGAGAATGGTGAAGCTACAGCCTTTGATGAGAAAAAAAATGATAAAGTGGTATCTGAAAAGAAGCAGGACAATGTGGAAGCTGATGGTGATGTTGAACCAGAAGAGGGTTCAAAGAAAAAAAAGAAAAAAGCCAAGGAAGAAACTAAAGAGAAAGAGAAAGGTAATTGGATTGATTTAATAATATATATATATATATGTATATATAAATATATATATATATTTATATAATAATATATTAATTATTATATAAATATATAATATTTTTATATTTATATAATTATTCTTCTAACATAGCAGAGGGGATTTTGTAACAGGCAAAGGTCCTGGGAAGAAAACTATTGCTGCTATGCAAGAGGCTTTAAGGAAATTGAAAGAAGAGGAAGAAAGATTAAAACGCGAGGAAGAGGAAAGGATACGGCAAGAGGAATTACGAGAGCAAGCAAGACTGGAACAATTACGACTTGAACAGGAGCGTAAAGAGAAGAAGAAATTGAAAGAAAAACAACGAAAAGAGAGACTCAAGGCAGAAGGAAAGTTTTTAACTACAAAACAAAAGCAGGACAGAGCTAGAGCACAAGCGATGATTGAAGCGCTTAAAGCTCAGGGTCTTGACTTGCCAGATGTAGGAGAAAAAAAGCCTAGACCAGGTATTTCGCAAAATGCATATATAGGAAATATATTTATATTACATGTATAAAGTCATTATATTAATCATTGAATTATTTTTAGGAACTCGAGTCAGGCCAAACAAAATGAAACAACAAAGTAGTATAGAGAAGAAAGAAGAAGAAAAAGTTGAGACACCAGCAGCTCAAGTGCAAGTAGAAATTATAGATGAACCAGTAAAAGAAGTAAACGAGGAAAGGAAGGAAGAAGATGACGTCAAGGATTCATGGGATGCTGATACCACTGAAGATGAACAGGAAGATGAAGGTATTATAATAATATATATACATTATATATGCACACATACACACACACACACACAATCGTCATATAATTATACTTGTATAATAATTAGAATGATTAAGAGTTATATTATTTAAATTTAGATAAATCGGACGATATCCTCAAGATACCCGAAACAGCAGAAGAAACTGTTCGAAAAGTATCGACTGAATCGGAAAAGAAAGAATCTTCCGAAAGTGAAATAGAAAGCGAAAGTGGGAGTGAATCTGAATCTGAAGAAGATACTGAACAAGACAGTGAGGTAGAGGATAGAGTGCCAGATGCCGCACGTAAAAAGGAACGTGCGAAAGAACGAATTCAAAATCGTCGTATAGAAGCTGAAAAGAAGAAATCTTTGGATAATCTGAGAGCTGCCGTAGTCTGTGTCTTAGGCCATGTAGATACTGGCAAAACCAAAATTCTAGATAAACTTAGGAGAACGAATGTACAGGATGGAGAAGCTGGTGGTATAACTCAACAAATCGGTGCTACTAATGTACCGATTGAAGCTATCCAAGATTCGACAAAGCATGTAAAAGGCGTAAGTATTTACTTTAGATCCGAGTCGTGAAATATTAAAATTTTCTAAATATATTACAACATATATCGTTTTCTCTTTTGTTTTCAGTTTGCTGATAAGAAATTTAAAATTCCTGGTCTCTTGATCATAGATACGCCTGGTCACGAATCATTTAGTAACCTCAGGAGCAGAGGGTCTTCTCTTTGCGATATAGCAATTTTAGTTGTAGATATTATGCATGGATTGGAACCACAAACTCTAGAGAGTATCAATTTATTAAAAACAAAAAAATGTCCTTTTGTTGTTGCTCTTAATAAAATTGACAGGTAATTTTTCATATTAAGTAATCGATTTGCAATTAAATAATCTGCAATTTACAAATATAAAATTATAATTTAATCTTCTCAGGTTATACGATTGGCAAACTATGAGCCGTAAAGATGTTCAAGATATAGTAAAGAATCAAGCACCTAATACTCAGCGAGAATTTGAAAAGCGATCAAAGGAAGTAATTGTACAGTTTGCTGAACAAGGTCTCAATGCGGCATTGTATTATGAGAATCCAGATCCTAGGAATTATGTATCATTAGTTCCTACTAGTGCTATAACAGGTATAGAATAAATTATACATATTGCAACATAAAACAGCATGAAAGAATTGAAGTGATTTTTTATCTCATTGTATCATGATATGCAGGCGAAGGCATGGGTAATCTACTGGCGTTAATAGTCGATGCCTGTCAGGGTCCTCTAGCTAAGAGATTGATGTACAGCGAAGAACTTCAGGCTACTGTATTGGAGGTTAAAGCATTGCCTGGACTCGGCACTACAATAGACTGTATTCTAGTCAATGGAATATTAAAAGAAGGTGATACAGTTATTATTGCTGGGACAGATGGGCCTATTGTAACGCAAATTCGCTCGCTTCTTATGCCACAACCATTAAAGGAATTAAGAGTTAAGGTAATTCATCAAAATTACATTTTGCATATACACTTCAAATAGCGAAATGCCATTACAATTATTGTTTCTTGTTTTTATATTTTTGTATATCTTATTGAAATATAATTATTCTATTTTATATACATGTTTTTCGTTCCACAGAGTGCTTACATTGAACATCGCGAAGTCAAAGCAGCTCAAGGAATAAAAATTGCTGCAAAGGACTTGGAGAAAGCCATTGCTGGTATGCAACTTACTTTTGTGATTATTAATAATGATTATTAATAATCATTATTATTTGAATTTTTTGATAATTATAATGCAAAAATGTATTTGTATTTGTTTTTATATCCGAAAAATTAAGTAATACGATTTAATATTTGTGTACAGGATTAAATTTGCAAGTTGCACAAAAGCCAGATGAAGTGGATGTATTAAAAGAAGAAATAGCAAAGGAATTAACTAGTGCTCTTGGAAATATACGGTTAGCCGAACGAGGGGTTTATGTTCAGGCATCAACTTTGGGAGCTCTTGAAGCATTACTAGACTTTTTGAAGAGCAGTAAAATACCGGTGAGTACCTTTAAGTATATCAACCTATTTGAAAATTATTTTTTTATTATAATACAAGAGAGCGAGAGACATACACTCGTGTATTATATATAATACTGATCGAAAAAGAATGATATAATTATTATTGCGTATAATCGCTTATGTCGAGTAATATTAATTCTAGTAATAACTAAATTCATTGTTGATATTATTTTATACATATACATGTATACACACAAATACACATACATATACATTATATATATATATATATATATATATATATATATATATATATGTATATATATATATATATATATATATATATATAAAATAAATTTAAAACATAAAATATAAACTTATATAAAAAATATTCTTTTTTGATATATATAGAAATATTTCTTTTATTAAATATATTTAGTCTACTTCTCTCTAGCAAATAAAACTCATCGTTATTTCGATATTAATTTTATCAAAGGTCAAGATATTTTTAAGTGTCAAATTTATCTGCATGTATAAATATATGAGCAATATATATTTCTATAATTCTATAAAAATAAAATGTTTCTGCAATTAGATTTTTTATAAGTTTTATAATTATGTTTCCATTTACAATTACATTTTTTGTAATTTATAATATTAATTTATAATATTGTAATTTATAATATTAAGGGAATAGTGTGATTCTCCTTCTGCATTTAATGCAAACGTGTAAAAGATTTCAAAATCTCGAGAAAAAAAGCCAGACTTGCAATTATATAAATAAATAAAACGGACATATACATATATCTGATTAAGCGCGTGTAGATATGTAGGAAAAACGAACGGACAGACAGACAGATAGATCAGTAGCTAGATAGATAGACAGATGGAGAGAGAACAGCAGCAACAGCAGCAGCAACGAACCACTTCCTTCTTAACAGTTTAGCAGGATACGGCTCATTGGTCGCATACGGTGCTTGTACTCGTGATCCATCGTGCTATCAGCCGCGCTGTTCAACCGTGGGCACGCCTCATAGCCTTCTATAGGGTGTCTTATACATATGTCACATATTGACAAAAAATTCGCCATCCTTGAATGTATTTTTTGAATTTTTTCTAAAGCAAATATTTTAAATAATATTTAAAAAACGTGTGTTGCCATTTTACTTTACAATTAGTACGTTATTACAATTAGTACGCTATGCACAATTGTACGATTGTACGAACGTAAATTTTCTTTCGCTGATAATATGATGAAATTATTTGGTTTACATCAAACGTTTGCGAATTATTAATTTACATTAATATTTGGATAAATAAATATCGCGCGGATTATATTATTTCCGAGAAAACTATAAAATCATCCAACATTGATACGTGATGAAATTGCGATACGCATATTTGTTCTTAGACAAACTTATATACATATATTTATATGGGAAGCGAAAGAGGAATGACAAAAATGTCCCGTTATCTCTCAGAACCGAGATATCATTCATAACAAGCTGCGACTACGATACAATGAACGTAATAGTAGGGACAATTCCGCCAGAAATCTATAATGCATACATACATACATACGTATAGCGTGTGTAAAATATATACATGTATATATAAGTGTGTACGTTATATACGTTTTGCCAGTCGTGGCTGGTATTACTCGCATGTCCGTCCAAAAATATTTTTTTGCGGTGCCATATATAAAGAAAGAGAGGTAAAAGAGGAGAAGGGGGACAGAAATGGAGAAAGAGAGAGAGAGAGAGAGCACGATAAAAACTTCCTGTCATCTTGGAGCTCTCGCGGAGGTAACACACCGTCCGAAACGGCCTTAAGCCTGTCCTTGCTCAGGTTATGAATGGGTTCTCCCCACCGTATCGTACCATCACGTGGCTCCATGACGTCAGTTTTATCGCACGCACACGCGAGAGACACGCACGCACGATCGCCTGTCTTCCCCTCTCCTCTCTCCCCAGCTTTGTTTCTCTCTCTCTCTCTCTCTTTCTCTCTCCTTCCCTCTCTACTTCCTCACGTGCATACGGAACACGTTTCATGGTGCGAAAGGGGGGGGTGGGAGAGAGGGAGAGAGAATCGAGGTATCACAGTGCGACCAGAATCGTGAGGGAAAAGAGGCGGAGAGGGTTAAACTCACGCAACACACATGCGTGACAATGATGTTTTTTTTCCTATCTTTCTCTCTTTCTCTTTTATCTCTCTTATTTCTATATATTTATCAATTTATCTATCTATTCCTTTATCTATCAGTCTATCTCTCTCTCTCTCTCTCTTTCTCTGGAAACACCTCGCTTTTGCCAATATGGAAGCTCGCGCTCGCGGACGTGTGTAGGCTGGAAAAAAGGATACGTGATCACGCACAACGTACAGGAAACTGCCCACACTCGGCGCAGGCACGGTGGGTGGATGGATCGACGGATGAACGGACAGACTGACCGGTCGACCGACCGAACGATTCAGAAATCGTAGCAGTTTTAGGACAGGCGCCGATGAATAAATAGCGGCCCCATGGTTGACGAAATGAAAATATTTTTAAAATTTTTAAAAATCTATTTTTTAATCGATTTATTTGAATAACGTGTAGAGATAGAGGTGTATCTCTATAATTTTATAATCGTTGAATAATCCGCGAAATTAAAAGCACGCATTTTTGCGCGTTTCTTCATTATTAACTTTACATGCCTAGTTCTTATGTCAAATAATTGGATTATTTTCAATATATAATATTTATTTATTTATTTAAAAACAAGAAATTATTTTTAATAAATTAGAATATAAAAATATTTTTAAAGAAGTTCAAGAATATTTTTAAAGAAGTTTATTTTTAAAGAAGTATTTTATAAAAAAAAATTATTGGAGATTTGCAAGTTATTCAATATTAATATTTGATATTAATATAAATAAATAAATTAAAGCTAATAATATTTTTATATTATTTTGCCAACGCATGTTACGACAATAAAATGATTTTTGATTCAATGATTAACATAAAGGAGAATCAATGTAAAAGATTAAAAATATTTTCGATTAGTCCTGAAATTGTTTTTCAAGGCGCGATTTTATAAGCAGCTCCAGACTTGTTACCAATGTAAACAACGTATCGCGCTCTCGTCGTTATTAAATGACGCGAATAGCGCCGTTGAATCGACGATTCTTATCGGGCTCGTCTTCCTGTCCTCGTCACGTTTAGGCGAATGGGATCAGAATATATAGTTTAATCGGGACATTACGTGCTCTTCTTGGAACGTGCATATGATTGACGATTGCCAACTTGCAGACATACGTTCGCGAGACAGGTGCGACTGCGCGTAGCCTGTACCAATGATCGAAAACAAACAACAGACTCGTTCGAGCAACGAGTTCTTCTTATGGCACTTCGTGATTATCAAAATCATTATATAATAGATGTTGTTGACGCGATTGTGTAGCAATACCTACTCATTGATATCATTTCCGAAGCTGCGTAAGATATCGATGAATATGTCAATCAGATGTGCGGTTTGCATAATTAAAGATTTAATAATAATTAAATTATTACATAATTAAATTTATTATCAATATTTTATTAAATATTTTATTATTATATTTTATTAAATTTTATTAAATTGAAACTGTCAAACTTGTAGCGACCCAGAGCAAAATGAGAGATTACGCGTTGATAAAACTGCTTGTTAATGTTACGAAGAATATTATTAGATATATATTAATTACAAACGTATGGTATAAATATATATATTAATTGGCCGAAAGTATTCTCCTGCCAATACATCGATATTAATACGTCGAGGTACTTTTTTGCGCGCCACCCTGTACATTTGTCTGGCGCGGTCGAGTTTATTCGGTGTGCGTCTTCTCTCGAAAGCTCTCGTCGGAGTCGGAGCGCGCCTCGCGTCGTCACGAGCGGACGGAGTCCGCCTTTCTCGGCTACGTTTCAATGCGAGCACAACAGGAAAAGATGGTTCGCTTCCTCGCATTGTTTCCGAATGCTCGGCACGACAGCGGTTTCTTTACACGCCGGTTATGCATCGAGAAATGGGTTCCCTCGAAACGAGAATAATGCATTTTCATAATCGCGCCTATCGTTCGCGTCTAACAAATTACACAATCCGGTAATTAGGACTTCCGCTCCGCGACGATACGCCTGCTCCACTCTTCGTCTTCTCTCTTGGTTCGTTCCTTCTACAAATTATCCGTTCGGACGAACTTCTTCATCTTTGCCATCAGTCCTTTGTATCACGCGACGTCTGACCTTTCTACGGACCCGATGGCAAACCGAAACTTTTGGCAAGTTTCGAAGATACTTTTCGTTTTCTTCCCTCCACTTCTTCCACTTTTATTAACAAACAACATTTCGCAAAGTGAATGACAGTGTCTCATTGTTCCCTCAAATGAAACTTTATACTTTCGTGGAATTTAAACTCGAGTTTCAAACGTTTGGCGAGTGTTGGAATTCTTGTTACAGAATTCTTACACAATAGGAAAACTCAACTTTTACGGCTCGTCACCACGGGGATTTTCGACGACGGAAGGGATTCCTCGGGCTATTCTGTATTTGAAACTTCGCAGCATCTGGCCGGTACAGAAACGCTGGTCTCTACCTACCTCCTACCTACCTACCCATCTACCCACCTACCTACCTACCTACCTACCTATCTACCTATCTACCTACCTACCTACCTACCTACCTACCTACCTACCTACCTACCTACCTACCTACCTACCTACCTACCTACCTACCTACCTACCTACCTACCTACCTACCTACCTACCTACCTACCTACCTACCTACCTACCTACCTACCTACCTACCTACCCTACCTACCTACCTACCTATACCTACCTACCTACCTAACCTACCTACCTACCTACCTACCTAACCTACCTACCTACCTACCTACCTACCTACCTACCTACCTACCTACCACCCCCCCCCCCCCCCCCCCCCCCCTACCTACCTACCTACCTACCTACCTACCTACCTACCTACCTACCCCTACCTACCTACCTACCTACCTACCTACCTACCT